TATAACATCTGGCGAGTTCAAAGTATACTTTTAGCATCTTCACGATGTGTTCGCGATTGTGCATTGATCTGGAAACGAGACGACGCGACGCTGTGTGGCATATACGTACTCGTACGTACGTACATATACGTGAGCGACTGACCGATAGACACGCTTGCTTGCTCGCTGATCACAACCGTGTTATTAGGTGTTGACGGATCTCCATTCAATTGAATAATATTTACTTATTTCCTTCGATCTCATAATGACCGACGTACGACTTCGAAATATAGGAATTTTAGCCATTTTTTGCTTTTATGAGACTCAACACTCACACATAACGACGTAAAATTTTGCCAAATTTCTCACATTTTTGCTGCAATTGTTTGCCACTCATTAAAGCAAACTGTATGAAGATTAATTGTAGAATTTGGAATGCCGTCGCTAACAGCTGCATCCTAAGGATAAATTAAATCTGGTCGCATTTCAAGCAAAAAGACTGTGCATATATTACACCTACTCGGTTGGTTGGTTTGACAAATTGTGAAACTTCCTTCATTTTAAAGTTTTCGAATATAGACTAATTGCTAATTGCAAGATTGACATATCATGCTAGGTGTAAGTCTTATAAAACAATTATCACAAGCTGCTGCCCGCTGTTCTACTCGTATGTTAGTTAATCGGAAACAGGCTGGTACAGTTAGAGAAGAAAAAAATTCTTTTTCAATCAACAAATATTGTAAGGTACCTACTTTGGTGCTTTTTTTTTAATTTTTGAAATCATTTTGTAAAATTGTGGGTAGGCACTGTCTGTAACAAATATATAACGCCTTTGAAACGTCTAAAACCTTAGTCTTTCCCGTGACTATGACTGCTGTAAACGAAACGTCGAGAACTGAAAATCAAAATAAATCCGCGAAATAATCCGAAAGGATAGTTTTATTTAAAATTTCTTTACATAAGACGTTTGAGCTTTGCTACATTTGATAGTAATAGCCATATGGAAATTAGTTATGTAGAAATCACCGACGTACACTTCCATTTTATTTATTAGTTGTTGTATTTAGAGGTTTAAATATCACCTAGCTTCTAGAATACTAGACATCTCAGGTGATTTTTGTGAAAGTCGTATAAGTTGTTTGTATTTGCATATTGTTACGTATATACACATCTTGAATCCATATGCATAACATATTTTACGTAAATGTTATCGAATTGATACATTTCTTTATCGAATAACAAACTTCTGGAATGTCATATCACTCTTTACATAATAACTACGTAATGTGTACATATAATAAAATTCTGAGTCGAATCTGTACAATAAATAATTTCTTGGAAAAGCTTATTGGAATAGTCATTATTAGCGATGCAGAGGCCGAATCTATAGTTTTTAGAATTTTTGTCTCTCTGTCTCCCTGTCTGTCAGTCTGAGATTTTCTTAATTGTTTTTTTAGAATTTAGCCTAATTTGCAGTTTAATTGACGTTCAATGCAGAAATTACACAAAAGTTTAGTGTTAGACATAAAAAGGAATAATTTGTTCTACAATCTGGTTCTGGGCATAGAAAATTTTACAAATGTATACAGGATATCGTCTCTTTGATTAGTTCATTTGTATTCTCACACGACTTTATCGGAAGAAACTTAACATTTTCATATTTTTATATTAAGTTTCTTCAATCAAGCAATAGATATAGTATCTATTATATGCCTAGGTAATATTAAAACAATATCGTCATGTACTGATTAATACAAGCGTATATTATTAAAAAATGTAATACTTTTTCTACAAATACGCGAAACTTAATTCTTAAAAACAAAGAAAGTAAAGCTAAGAGAAAAAATCAACATTCAATTGTACCTACTGCCCCAGCGCGGCGGCGCGGCGGGGCCTCGCGCTTGCATCTGACTCTCGTAAAACAACGACACATGAAATGTATACGTCAAAAGTAGCATTCGAAGAAAAAATATCATTCGAGATAACGTTTAACGAGAGTTTTGGTTACAGATTAGAAAATGCTTAAATACTTTCGTTTCTTAATGTAAATGGTTTCTACAGAAATATTTCTAAATGAAAGTATATAAACATTTGGGTACTAGTATTGACAATTTTTTTCCATGTTGAACAAGTATTTGTTGTACGTTAGAACAATTTCTCATATTCTACATACTTACGTCAACGTGGTGCCTTATTTTTAGGGTTTTGCACTTAAAGGCTCGAAACCCTTTTGGACACAGCATCAAGCTGAGTCCATATTGCCTGCATAACAGTCTGGCTGTGCTAATATACTTTATCTTTTCTATCGTTACTTTTACATCACTAAACAATAATCAACACTAAACAAACATGTTTTGGCTTTTAAATAGAGGTTATCAACGCTATGCAATAAATAAATAATTTTAATTAATTAACCAATTCAATACAAAAATGCTAATTCCTAATATGGATAATAACATATAAAACTAAAGCATATACATAATACTCGATAGTTAATGATAATCGTAATATTATCGATAAAAGTAATCACATTTCATCGGCGCAGCTTGATCGATTGCCGCAATGATTCTTTATCAGTCTCACGCAAGGTGTGCACCGTTCATGTTGTTACCGAGTTCTTTCATCGCCTGCAAATATTTTCTTTTTTTACAATTGGTCCATCGCTGTTTCCTAAGCAGATATATCATATACCTATTTATTTATATTGTGTGTATCATATAAATTAACAAATAAACAAAAAAATTACAAAGTAATAATTTCAGACTTAGTCCTAATTAGAGATTATTTATTTCTAGACATCGATCAAAAAAGTACCTACTAGATAGATACACAAAAGCTAAAGTTTTAAGCTCTTAAAACAATAAAACAACAACACAACAAAAAAAAAAGTGCGCTCAATTGTTCAAGCGCTCATTCGGTGAGGACATTTTTCTTCGCTGATTGTGTATCTATAGTCTGATTTTTAATTCGACGGAATTCTGACGTTTCAGAAGTGTTGTCAACTTTGAAACATTGTCACTAAAAACGAAAAGCATTTTAGCAAAATAAAAAAATAAACCTTTCTTGAAGTTAAGGTGTCAATTAGAAAAACTAAGACTTAAAAAATTATTGATAACTCTAAAATGGTAATTATTATCATATTATTGAAGTTACAATAATTATTAAGGAAATTATTTTTCTATTAAAGGAATCCCTGTCCAATAATCCATAGGTTGCAAGCCGTTTTTAGTAAAAGCCCTTTATTTTTAATATATTTTGTTTTTATTTACTCTGTTTTATTCAGTTAACCATTAAAAATGTACATTGTAGTTAGCGTGCATTGAATGCACAAAACAAAAACTATTTACATTGTCATACATATAGTTTACTTGATCTAATTCTGTTTCATATTTTTTGTTATTTTATATTTAAAAAATTCAAAGCAGAAAAGGTTTATGATATCTGAATTGTCAATGTATGAATGACAGCTGTCATATTTCCGTGGAATAAAAAATCACATTCTAGGTCACTTTTAGCTTATTAGAGGCACAAACATATATATATTTGTTCTTATATATATAGAATAATATATAGAATAATAATATCAGATTGTGTTAAAAAGAGGAAAACAAAACATATCGCCACACATTGTGTGGAGTGCTGGCTTATGTTACGTGAAGTTCGCATGTGAGCGTGTGACGTTTTTCCCTTGAACCTCAGGACCGGATTCCGCGCCGGTTACGAACTCGCTCCCCGCTTCAGGAAACCCGATGCACTGAGAAAATACTTTAAACCATTTCTGTATTAGGACCTCTGCACACTGTAGACCTTTTATCGGTACCACAGTTTAGTCGGCTACGTAACCAATATAAAGATTTATGCATTTGAATGTATTATACTAATATATTATTGGTACGTACCAATTTAAGTTGAGATTTGAATATTCTTTTTATATTAGCGAATTCGATTAAAGTATCATTATTTATTAGATAGAAAGTCTATAGTCTGTAGGGACCTTTCCTTTAGGGGAGGCCTAGTCCTAGATTGTGCCACACTGAATGGTACTATGTATGTTGTTAACCCTTTTAAAATATACTAACGTAATATTTCAAAATAACTCTTACATAAACATATTTTCTATAGCACTTAGTAAGTGCGAAATATCATTATCGTCAATGTGATGCAATTCATGATAATATATTATTTATTTCGTTAGCTTCCATTATCAATAAATACTATCAATAACCAGTGGCGAAGTAAACAGTACTTGCTTAGACATCTAGACCACTTAATAAAGCTGAAGAGTTTGTTTGTTAACAATAATCTCTAGAACTACTAGCCCGATATAAAAAATGTTTTTTTTTTAATTTTTTAGGCTATAGGTCACAATACTTGAGACCAGAGCATAATCAATATAATACGCAGGCGGAGACGCGGGCAAACGCTAGTTTGTGATACATTTATACTCAGGCCGCGGCTATATCCATACATAGAAAGAAGCAGAACCTCATTCTAACAAACACGATAAGAAGTCAATTCCCGTTTACGAGTGCCATATCGATGTTGCGACGTCTTACCATCCTACAGGCATAGACAACTGATTAACAAGAAAATAATTAACTTGAGATGCTCGTGTAAGATTTTTCGATAGGTAGGTACCTACCTACACGATCCAGTTAGAATGTTTATAGGATATAATAAATAAATAAATATATATGTAGATGCAGTTACATAACGATCTATTTATAACGTCACTCGTGTAAACCAAACAATGTTCTCTTTTTTATTAAATGTTATTTTATAATACTTATCTGTAATATAAAAAACTTTGGTAATGTATTACATTATGACTTAACTAATGAAATATGATCTTGGAGAAATACATATATTAATAATCTTTAAAAAATCGTATAAGAAATGTTTTAGATTTTCATTACATTGAAGTTTTGTCATCCAGAGAATGTAACCAATCTTATGCTTTTTAAGAAACTTAACGTGAATGCTCTATGCATTGTATTTCAATAGATATTATTTAATTCAAGGCTGGTGAAGCAGGCATAGTGGTGCTCCGGCCGGAGGCTCTAACGGCGGAGTCGGAGTCCGAGGAGGAGGATGCGCGACCGCCCTCGCCGTGTAGCGTGCGCTTCGTCAACGACAACGTTGTCATCAACGGCAAGTCCTCCATGGCTGCCAGGCCCACTAAGGCTACAAGGGACAGAGCTGCCAAGGTAAACATGTTCCTGATAATAAAATATTATATCTTTATTACATATAAAAAAAATCTGTACGTTTGTACCGCTATTCGAGAACTTACTGGCCTTACTTACATAACTCTTTTTTTGGTATGGAAATATATCTAGTAACATTTAAATATATTTAATTCAATAATAAAAGAATATGAGGAATTAATATGTATAAATAGTAAAATTTTAGTTATTGTGATGATTTACAGTTAAAGGTTTCTAAGAAATCATAACTGTATTTTTTATAGTAAACCAAAAATTCAACGTAATTAAAGGCATATTAAAAAATTGAAGCAAAATTAAAGCATATTTTGTACGTGCCGGTGCCTTCTTTTATACAACAAGGAGGTGATGGCGAATTTTCGCTTCTTATAAAATTTATATTGTACAAATGGTGACCCGCCCTCGCTGTACTTATCCCTCGCCCACGCCTTGCTCCTTTCGAAGTATTTTCAGCAGTATAATAAAATCTCATAGTAATCATTTTACGGACCGAAATACACATGTCACCCCTAACCTTCAAAACTATCTCTATATAAATGTATATAAATTAACTTGATTTCTTAGCATTGCATAAATGAGGAGCAATAAACAAATACTTTTGTATTTATAATAGTAGTAAGAATATTTGAGTATTTGTTACGATCGTAAGTGATATATGAGAGAGGCACTCATGACGTAGAATAATGCTTTCATAATAAGTGTTAACTTGTTCATATTACCCTGCTTACTGCTACTTGCCACCTGAAGATGTAGTACATTTTTTTTACTTTTATATTAAAATTATTAATTAAAATAATTTCTAAGACCTAATTTTATTCCTTGTCCTATTAAGTTTAGAATTCCATTCGGAATTTTCAGTTCAGTATTAAAAACTCCTGAAGAATAATTATATATTTATATTATAAGTGAACAAGTGTGTGCGCAACACAAGCGCACTCTGTATATTTCTTTTACTCTCAAATTTCGATCCAATGACAATGATAATACAAGGGGTGAGAGGTCAGGTGAACGGTCGACGGAATTACGAGGCATTGTGTAAAGTACCACTAACTTCCCAACTATTAGTTATTACTAAGAATTTCTTGACAGAAAAATCCTATAACTTACTTGACTCGAGCCGGTTCTCGAACTCAAGGCCTCCGAATTGGCATCCGATCCCTATAAAGTTTGAGTAAAATCAATTGTAATGAATGTTTTACTTTTTCACTTAGCTTTTTTGATTTGTCGGTTCACTGACAAACGTGGGAAATTGTAGGTCGCATAGGTCATTGAAATCTGTAGTAAGCGATACGCCGATAGCTGCCGGATACGTAAATAAGCTTAAATATAAAAATTCATTGGTATTTGGTTATTTAAGCAGATATTGCATTCTAAAATGTGTATATCTAGATTCTATCTACCTACATAAATAACGAAAGTATGCAGTTTAATTTATCACTATGAAATAGTCTATTCTGACAAATTAAATTGCAAGCTGACATTGCATATAAGCTACGTTTCGAAATATACTCGTAATTGAAGTAATGGCGGATTTATATTTTACACATTAGCATTGCCCGCGGCTCCGCCCGCGTTCAGATGACCAAAAACCAAATTAGGTTAGCTTAGGTTTTACATATAAGTATACTCTTACAATTCAGTTTTTGTATTTTTTCTCAGAAATGAGATATTTTCCCGCGGTAAAAAGTATCCTCTATGTTGAGCCGGATAACCAGCTATCATCATACCAAATTTCATCAAAATCTGTCCAGTGGTTTTCTCGTGATGCGGTAACAGACAGACAGACAGACTGACAAAAATTTTAAAAGCTGTAGATTCGGACTCTGTATCGATAATAATGTCTATTTCAATTAGATTTTCCAAAAAATATTTAATGTACAGATTCGACTTAGTTACAATTTTATTATATGTATAGATTTGCCGCCAGTAGGCTATTCAAATTTTGCCGCCCCTATCGACCTCTACAAGTGTCAGTTCCTAGATTAATTTTTTACAATCCCACGACTTAGTTAAGATTGCACAGGAAATAGTTTTTGGGTATACTTCTGAGGTAATAATAGCTCAATCATGGACTACTACTAATGAGGTGGGATAAAGTACGCCTTAATACCACATACACATTAATGTACTTTCCCGATTTCAGTCATTAATGTTTACCAGCCATAATTTCTTCAACCAATAATAAGCAAATTGTTGAAAAATATATGTTAGTGGTGAACCATATTATTACATGTTGAATTGTTTGTGGGGACCTAATAACATAGCTATGAAACTTTAGGTAACTATGAATCTTTTTAATTTCTGTAAAACAAAAAAAGTTTTGACCCTAAATTTGCCGCCCTAGGCTCCAGCTTACTGAGCCTGCTGGTAAATCCACGACATGGAACCGTCTGCCTGTAATTTAAAAAAAAACTTGTTTTAACTAAGTAGCTCAGCAATGGTTTTTTTTATTTAAAACTAGCATTGCCCGCGGCTCCGCCCGCGTTCAGATGACCAAAAACTAAATTCTTAGGTGTTACATATTAGTATACTCTTACATTGCAGTTTTTGTATTTTTCCTCAGAAATAAGATATTTTCCCGCGGTAAAAAGTATCCTAGGATCGCGCGCTACATCGCCCGGTTTATATAGCTTGAGCAGGCGGTCGAGCGATGCGGGGCAGAGGGGATGGACTCGCCGTAGGCATCTCAATGCTCGCCAAGCATTAAAAATGTTTCGCTACTAATTACTTCTAACAACGATATCTCAAAAACTATTCATCTGATTGATTTAGTGTAAAGAGCAATTTTAATCTGCATTAAATGACTAAGCTAACTAAAATATTCATTTGGATAAGGATTAATACCGAACTAAAGAAAATAACTTTGAAAATAACGTAATGTTTTTAATTAAAAATGTTAACATAAAAGTGGTTATTGTAAGTCAACCGTAAGAGATAGAGATATGCTATCGCGGACTTTTTTGTAGCATTTTTATAGATTTTGAATTCTCTAGTACATTACTTAACTGTATCTTTGCTAGTTTACGCGGCGTTCGCGTGGAAAGTTCCCATTTGGCGAGATTTTTTGCGACCTCTTCAACATTTGTCGCCGTATTTCAGCTAATTTACATAAAAGCATAATAAATTATATACCTAAACCTTCCTCAAGAATTACTCTTTCTATTGTTGAAAACCGTATAAAAATCCGTTCAGTAGTTTTCGAGTTTATCGCGTACAGACAGACAGGAGGACAGAAAGACGCGGCCGGGGGACTTATTTTTATAATAAGTATAGATACATATGTTTTTGTCTTTATATTTACGGATAGCCTTCTGGAAAAAGATACTGAATATTTTGATAGTATCTAAATATTCATATTATATTAAGACATTAACACCAGCGCTGTAAATCGATACATACAATTATAATCGATTTGAAATTTGATATCGTGAACCCAATATCTTACAATCTCGATTGAACTGCCTTCAAACATGAATGGCCTCGGGCCCAGACCATTCAAGAGCTGATCTAATTGTAAGTAGTAACATTAACCCCAAGGCCGGTGTAGAGTGAACTTAGAATGAGTTATAATGAGAGTACACACGCCACGCGCCAGTGCGTCCGGTGACCCGCGAAGTTCGGCACATTTATGTAGGTACACAACTGCACCGTGTGAACGTTTCATAACATATCAGTTACCTAGACCTGGCTAGGTCATGTACTACTTGTTATTCAAAAACAATTGAGATTACATTTAATAATAGAACTTTTATTATATTAATTAATTATATTAATTAATTATATTAATATGTAAGTTCGCGAAGGCCATCGTAGCTCTAAAGTTGACGTGGTGTTGAAATTCACTTCTTTAAATTTTAAAATATGACGAAGACGTATTTAATATGCATATAAAAAAACTAAAGTCCCGTAAGTTTAAACTTTAAAGAAATTGACGAAGACCCACCCGCACCCGGTCTATTTATATTCGGGATACAAAAGTATGTTTATTTCATTCTCGCCTTGTGCCTGCCTTCACTATAATATAAAATGTATATTCTATTTCATATACAAATTGGTCATGGTCTGTGGTAGCTTTATATTTTAATCTAGAAACTCTTACCGTTATGTTTTAATATTTATATCCATAAAGTAGAACAAATTTATTTAAACAACGCTAATCTCAGTGTTACTGTGTGATGTGTCCTTTTGTAGCGGCTGTCTGCTGTACGTGTTATTATTATTTAACAAATCTGCGGTCAAATAACCCCATTTATATTAGGATTTCACTCAATTGGTTTCCAATAATACAAAGAGACAAAATAAGGTCACTTAATTTATAATGTAAAATAGAAATAGATAATAATAGTTAAAAATTATAATCATGAAGCTAATTAGCATAATAAAAATATATCCTAAATGAATATAAATCTGGCAATAACCGGGGCGCAAAAGCCAATGGGACTTTCATAATAATGAAAGTTTGTATATGTGTGTACTGTGTATGTTTGTTACTCCTTTACTCTAAAGCGACTGAGTGAATTTGGATGAAATTTAGATTTGCTGACACATATTGCCTTATGACCTGGAGTAACACATAGACCACTGTTAGACACGTAGGGACGCACTGTAGCAAAGCGAGGTAAGTCGCTAGTGAGGAATAACAAAGCAAGCCCTAACATAAGCATGGTTCAAACAAATCTGCTTAAACATTTTCAGTTAAAGCTGCAGTTCGACGATTCCCTCACACGTACATTCGAGTATCCATCGGAGATATCACTCTGTGAGGATGGCTCGCCCGCCCCGCCCTCGCCTGCACCCGCGCCCGCGCCCGCCCTCGCCCCCGTCGACACTAACGGCGAACCCCACTTGACTCAGCCTGCCCTGTTGGCTCCACTCGCAGCCAACACACATATTGGTAAGAATTTAAAATCTATATATAGTTTAAACACTGTACTCATTTTAGACCCTCTTCCAACAGTGATGAGACCCTGGTCATTAAAGCACCTTTTTCACGCTGAATTTGGACTTAACTACCGTATAATGTTTTTTGCGGTATTATTTTGATTTTTTGGTCCCACGATTTCGAATGATTTACATCAAACAAGTCACGGAAGGAACCGACAGATGTCTCTCGCGGATTATCCCAAATAATAGTTTTATTTAAAATGTCAAATATTCCTATTAATCTTAGAAAATATAATGCAGTAGAATTGAATAAGTACACCTCGAAAGCTTTATATGGCATGGGCCTTATTAACGATGGCATATTAATTTGTCATATGAAAATGTTCACAGTCGTAATGCTACACATATAGTGTAGCTTCGTCATCTAACATCTTAAAAACATTGTCATATACATACAATTTGATTTCTACATAAATTTGTCTTCGAGTTCAGTAGTTTTTTGAAGGCAAATTTGTTCATTAATTAAAAATGTATTGTTTTTGATCTAAAAATACGTCACGTAGGTATGTCTTTGCAAGTCCACATGTCATACTCAGTGTAAATTGCCGAATTTATTGAAAACATAGTGATATAGAGCCTAGAGTGGTATTCCAAATTACGAAATAATTGTTTCATAACAATTGAGAACAGTTTATCAGTACTTAGTAGTTTTATATTATTCATACATATTTTTTTCTATAGAAAATATTTTGAAATATTGCAGTAATATTTACATATATTGTAGTAATACTTATTATTACGTTTTTACTGAAAGCAAATATACCTTTTTAATAATTAATTTGTAGCATTTAATAGAATAAATTATAAACACTTGTGTTGCGCAAACATATGTAGGTAAGTACCTATTGCAAAGCGTTTTATTGAAAATTACAAGTACAAATTTTCATATTAATTAAATTTTTATTAAAAGCTATAAAAACTTATCAAAGTAATGAAATATGATGTGATGCGAACAGCTTGCACACAGTGTATTGTTTGTGGTCCAGAAAAATATTGCACATTTAGATATTTGAACGTTAGATTTTCAGTCGAAGTGTCTGTGTGTGCGCACGTGTGACTAAATACTATCGGCATTACCTCGTACCTAAGGTCGCTGGTTCATTTTTCTTACTAAATAATCCTAGCTATAATCTGGCATTAAGCAATAGATAATTAAACTCAAACGTTAGTCCCAGTATAGCTTAATAAATAAACGGATCAAGATTAAATATTTATTTGTATAACTTATGCAAGAAATATTAAAATCGATTCATAATTTTTCTAAACATACTGTTTAATTTTTTCATTTGTGAAGTCTGTTTAAAGCGCCCAATTGGAGACGTATATTGGCGACAGCGCTTTAAAATAAATTTTGAAAAATGTTATAAGGCATGATAAGGCTGGTGCCACACTTGCGCCGCGCGCTGCGCCGCGCCGCGCCCGCGCCGCAGGAGACGTTTGTGTGACCGCGCCCTGGTGAATGTTACTACAGTATATTATACTGAACTACCACTTCTAGTCCTATTGTTAGACTGCCACCGCTACAAGTACCTACATCTATCATACGTATTCTCTAATCATGGCTATCTTAGTATCGTTAGATATCGAATTTATTTTCGCTAGATTTCAATGAAAGTAATTTTGATATACAATAATCTTTTACAATTGAATTTACAAATACACTAAATTATATATTATACCAAATAAATGTACACTTAATTATTACTGTACAACTTACAAGTTATGTCCGCGAATAGAGGCAAGAATGCTAGCCGCATTCCCCCGTTGAATGGCAATGTCGATTCTTTGGGCGAAAAACGAGCCAGATCTCTTGTCACCAAAGCGATAACACGATTATATGAATGTATGAATATTAAGTGGACGTATTTCCTGTCAGTGTACAATGATCAATTGGTGTTTGAGTATGTAACAAAATTGCTACGGGTCATAGGTCGTGAGTTTGTCACGTATCTTAATTACGTTAACAAATCTATTCTTAATGTTGTTGAGGAGAAGATACTCTATCAAAAAAGTACTAGATACACAATCCCATACAAAAGTTCTCTTCAAATTACCACCGATTGTGTTTAGGTAATTATTCTAGTTGAAATAAATATACAACAATGTAAATTGAACCTTATGCATTTAAAAAATTAAAGACAAAATAATGATAATTAATGACAGCTATTGATAAATGATAAGCTTAGTATCTTTTTGCAGTTAAATCTTAGTTAAAATGTATTTATACATATAATAAAATTGTAAGCGATCGCTGTCTGAACATGGAAGATATTTGAGAAAAACTATTATAGGGGGTCTTTATTAATGCAATAGAACCCAAAACAATGATTTTTAGAATTTTTGTCTGTTTGTTTATTTGTTTATGCGTGCTAATCTCAGAAATGGCTCAAGCGATTTTTTTGCGGTTTCACTAATGTATTGTAGTAAGCTTCACTTAACATTAAGTATTTATTTTATTTCAATCGGCTCATAAGTAAAAAAAATATATCAATTTAAAACATCACTAGTTGATGTTAATAATATGAGTGCACCACAGTTACTGACACAGGGAGATAAGCAGACCCTATTTGCGTGACAGTATAACACGACCTATGCACCACAGCAAACCGTATTGAATTCTTAACTAAATAGTAGCATCTAAGAAATTAGGGGTCATAAAACAAAATCCGAAAATTTCCTACCGATCCGACTGTAATTTAGTACGTCTATACATATCGACGTAGGAAAGCATATTTGCTGTAACTAGACAAAATACTTAAAGTGACTTTTTACTACTATTAGAATCAGAAAATAAAGCCGCATCGAATGACCCGGGTTCTGTATCTCTACGATGAAAAAAAAAATTACATACGCCGTAGAAAACGCCCATACTTATATTTTTAGCAAGATTAAATGCTGTATGTAGACCAAAATCTAGTCATTTTAGACATTTTGTACTTACAGCAAAAGAAAGACTGCATTTTTGCTTTACAAATACTTACTTCGTCCCATTTAAAAACTTAACGCTACTTACAGCATTTCATTTTTACATTGCAAATGGTGACTGGCAGTTAAATAAACCTTATGATCCAAAAATGGTAGCAATATCATGGATAGGTCAGTCACTATTAATTTTTTTCCGAAATTAATAAAGTTTTTTGGCTCTGGTGAACAATTGCAATATGTCTACTTACAGCAAATATACTTTCCTACGTCGATATAATAAAATTGTAACTAAGCCGAATCTGTACATTAGATATTTTTTGGAAAATCTAATTGAAATAGACATTATTATCGATACAGAGGCCGATTCTATAGTTTTTAGAATTTTAGTCTGTCTGTCTGTCTGTCTGTCTGTTACCGCATCACGAGAAAACCACTGGACAGATTTTGATGAAATTTGGTATGATGATAGCTGTTTATCTGGGTCAACATGTAGGATACTTTTTACCGCGTGAAAATAAATATCTCATTCCTGAGAAAAAATGCAAAAACTGCATTGTAAGAGTATACGAGTATATAGGTAAAACCTAAGAATTTGGTTTTTGGTCATCTGGACGCGGGCGGAGCCGCGGGCAATGCTAGTCTTCAATAAAAATGTTTTGTCAATAAAAATTTCCGATCTTAGAAGATTTTTGAAGTTAATACAGATTTATGACTTGCGTGATCTTTTACTCCAAACTTTGTTTTACTTTTAAAATATAAAATACTTAATGAACACAAAGTGCTACTTGTATCCATCACGTTTCGTGTGGACACGAGTAGCACTTGTTTTTTCAAGTTTGACGATAAAAATTATAGTGTTTGCCATTGGCAAAATACATAGTGGTGCCATTTTCCGACTTGAAATATTAAACTAAAATCCAAAGCTACATACAAAAATAGAAAGTACATATGAAAAGTCCTTATATAAGCCCTTCATTATTTATGCAATACAATTGGGTACACTAAGTTCATACCCTGTATATTTCCTGGGTAAGTGTACTATTATTATCATAAAGATCTAAACTACTGAAAGAGTAGTTTGGCGTGAAATGCGAACATAAAAAACTTTAATGCCAAATTTTGATCCCGTTACTAGTTTATTGTACTAATAGATATCATTAAATGCGAAACAGTAAAAGCTAGTACTTATTATTGTTATGTAACGTTTCTCAGAGATCTGATATTTTCCCGCAGTTACAAGTACCTATATATATAGTAAGATAATCAATTATCGTCATACCAAATTTCATCAAAATCTGTCCAGTGGTTTTCTCGTGATACGTTCTCAGACAGGCAAAAGTTCTAAAAAATATATATTCAGCCTCTATGACTATTTCAATAAGAGTTTCCAAAAAATATTTAATAGATATACAGATTCCACTCAGAGTTTTATTATAGGTATGTATAGATAACATTTGTAATTGTGTATTAAACAAAATTAACCTCAATTACAATGTGTACACTCGTCATGGATAGAGAGCGGCGTGGAGTCTCGTGACCTGCAGAGCAATCTGTCACTCGGGTAAATTATGAACCGCCTCATGCCGCCGCAAATTAAGTCATTTATATACAGATTGATATGTAAAGGTTATTAGGTGATATATAATGTTATTGCCCATAATCTAAATGTACATATATTATTATTATGGGTGTATATGTCTGTTAGTCTCATATGAGAACAATCGATGAGATTTTTGTATACAACTAGCGATTTACCCTCGCATCGCTCTCGGTGCGTTAGATACGTTTTAAATAGTTAAAACACGTAGTACATTTTAAAAAGATGGTTTCCCATACATAGTTTCGACTTCTATTGATTGGGGAGTAAAATTGAATGACCCCTTTTAATAATTTTTATTTTCGCGACAAACCGTAGTCAAGGTCCCATATTTTCTTTCGTATTTATAACATTAAATTTGGATTATTTAACTCCATATAAAAATTTTTTTGCACTTTTCGTGAAAGAATGATGATGGATGACGTGAAAGTTAATTCATTTCTAATTTAAATCTCAAACTGTTAGTATCTTTAAATGATTTTAATAACTATAACAATTTGGCAATAAAAATTACACTACACGTCTTAAAAAATATACTTTAAAACTTATGACCCATATAAATAGTGATAATGAGCCTGTACTCTACACAGGAATGGAACCCAAAACTTTCGACGAGAGGTTGATATATTACAACGAAACGCTTATCAAACTCAGAGACTAGCAACTAGTTCTTATTGTAACTACTCAAGATATGAGAACTAGAACGTAAATATTTATAAACGCTGAGGTTATCTGTCTGTTATGCTACTTTGTCTTATTAGGTAATATTATATAATGTCAATAAACAAACAGATAGTGTTATGTAATATTTTTATTGTGTTTTGTTATGTGTAATGTGTATGGCTGATTTTTACTACGTCAGGGGTCGAGAGTTCTATTTAAAGATGGGGTAAATGTTTGTGGTAACTGTAATATATTTTAGTTTAGTTTGTCTTGAACTTGTTAAGACAATTCAGGGATGTAACAGAATAATAATCCATTTGAAGGTACATTTTGTACTTTTTATTTTATAAAGATACTATTTATACTAGTAGTGTAAGTATGTATGCTTGTTTATATAAGCTCGTTTATAGTTTATATTGTTATGATTTTAAAAATATTAGCAATTACAATATTATGTACAACAATAACGTGCTAGCGATTGCATATCATTATGTAGATATTTAATTAGGCACATATTAGTTAGTAACTTAGGTACCTATTGGTACATTATCAACTTGAACTCATTCTCTCAGTCATAACTCATAAGCTAATGTCAATTGTAATCGCTAGTGCATAATAAAATGCTCGTTATTTTAAGTATTGACGGTGACCAGATTTTCTACCGGCGACTTTAACTGATATAGCTTTAAAAGTATCAATTTTAAGAGGTCAAAATATCATACCTAAGTGAATAAAATATACTACATAAGAGTTCACTTAAGTATTGTACCTGGTTTTCGTACAAAAACAGCCTCTATGGAAGTCTAATCTCCACTCATTTATTAATATTTCGATTGGTATCTTAGACTATGAATGTGATAAGCTAGATATAATCACAGTGTATAAACCTATATGGTAGGCGAATTTAAAAGAAATAGTGTCTTAAATGAATCTAAAAAAGTATTATAGAAATGGTGTCAATTGCAGGAGTTGTCAGATAATACCAGTCTTCTTGGCGAACGCTTTCCAAGTTACAGTACACTCTCATGGCAAGTTACCGTTGTACCTGTCAACCCTAAAGCTGTTACCCAACTGTCATATTATAGTAAGTTTGATAGTTGGAAGCGTTTCCCCTCACCCAGCACCATTACTCTGTCTAGACGCCTTTTTAGACCACTATAGATTAATACACTGTGATATAATAGTATACAAGTAAAATAATGCAAGTATGTGTTTTGTGTATGTATGTACGTGTGTCTGTGCGCAGTGTCCGCGTCGCTGGGCCGCTACACGCCGAGCAAGACGTGCGCGGACGAGTTCCAGCTCGGGCTCACACGCCGCCCCGACCCCGCGCCCGACTCGCACAACCAACACGGTGAGAACTTACTATCTTATTGTTTTCGTTTAATATAAAAAGAATGTAGAAGTTGATTTTTCTGTGTTGATTTGATATTGTCTAGAATTAACATTTTAAAATTAAAAGTGTAATTAAACTTATTACTCGTATAATAGATGGATAGCTTTTGCGTTGCAATGAAAATACTGGAAATCGATTATTAAAAGACCTACTTTTTTATTTCTCGCTGACTCTTTTTACCAGAACTGATTTCCGAGTAGATGGCTCCCTACGAACTGACTACGGAGTTACATATATGAATGACTCAATGACAAACGGGTTCATTTTAAAGACGAATGAGTAAACTAAAAAAAAACATCCCAACAAAAGTATTAATGTATATTTTTTTAATATTAAATTTACTATTTTAAAGATGTAAGATGTTCCTCCGTTGTTAAATGTGTTAATAATTAATTATTACATAACATGGCATTGCAGAATCAGAGCGACTAGAGGGCGAGGCGGCGGAGGCGGCGGCGGCGGGCGCGGGCGAGGAGGAGGACGCACGGCCGTGCGGCGCCGACAACGCGCGCTCCTGGAGCGAGGCGCGCACGCACGCCACCGACCTGCTCTTCTGAACACGCTCGCCGCTCGCGTTCTCATTTCAAATTCATTCGTTCACCTGTGACAGCTGACAGGTGACAGTCGGCACGAGTGTTTAGTTTTTGTACATTCATTTTTGACGTTTGACGGTTGACGCTTGTGACGTGCATGAGGTGAACTGGAAATTGTAATAGGGATTTATTCATTCATTCATTCGTTCGTTTAATTTATTATATGTATTTCGAAAGACGGTGATGTGTGTATTGTTCAAATTTATTTACATTCGCTCAGTTTTTGTTCATTATTCGCTGTAATTTAGTTGAGGTCAATTATTGGCTGATGGATATAATATAAGCCTTTATTGTTATTCTAAATGCAATTAAAAGTAAAACGATTTGTATTTATAGTATTTTTTGAGTATTAAAAACATTCGAAAACCTTTGTATTCCCAAATTTTTTTATCGTGTAAAATTATACAAAATCAAACTAGATGGGGTGATGTAATTTATAATATTGTTTGATTTAATAAAGGTGTGTTTATATGATTGTTGGCAAACTTTAATATTATGATAGATTGAGTTTCGAGATGTAATTTTTATAATAGAGAGCGTCAATGTAAGCACACTTACTAATATTTATAAATATATCAAAATTATTCAAATAGAAAGGACGCGGGTTCGCTTCCTGTGCTCATTTTTATATACTTTATAATGTTGCTTGTATCATGTACGTCTTACTGTAGTGACATATAAAATATTAAATGTATCAAAGCGAGTATATGAAAGTCTAGTCGCTTATAATCTACTACCTATTCAATAAAAAAGTAAAAAAAAAACCAAAATGATTCAACAGTAATTAATAATGTTTGATACGTTATCTGTAACATTATGACATTCCTTATACTTTATATTATATTGTAGTAGTTTAACATATTGAGGACATGTAATTACCATGACAGTATATTATAGAATAACAACGTTTAGTTTTACTGCGGTCTTCCATTGAGAAAGTCGATTATAAAACGATTATTATTTGGAGAACTTTGACGTCGATATATCGATTTTGATTCAACTCGCCAAATCGACTTCGTATTAGCGATTTTTTACGAGTAATCGATTTTGTCGAAAATCTATAAAAAAATAAAAATAGTCGAAGATGAAGTTCTTCTCAAAATAACCGCTACTGTCTTTTAATCAAAAATACCATATTTTTGTAATAATATTGAATTGTAATATTCTTTTAATCATTCTATGAAATTATTAATTAGTTAGTAGTCACTTGAGATCAGTTTGTTACGTTACTTTGTATGTTGATGCTAAATCATATAAAATACCAACAAACAGAGAAAGAGTGTAGATTTTAATACTCGCGAATGTTCTAGAAACATAACAATACTGCCAAAAGCATAGGAACATTCTAATCTCAAGTAACCTGTATGTTAGTGTTATATATACGAGACGATATAATGCCAAAAGGACGTAAGTTAAGCTCTGCTCAAGTAAGCAAGTCATATCTAAGTACTTAACGAGTTAATTAGCGCGACTGATTAGGGATTAAAGTGTTTTGAAACATTTTCCATTTACAATAATATTTATTAAAATATTCCAAATTATTGCAAATTGGATCACTATTTTGTAATTAAATTTTGTCTCCTCTAACAACACTGTTTTATATACGCGTGTGCAAGGAACAATATAGTAACTCAGTTTTGTGACAATTCAGGGATAAAGTTAAATACTTTGTAGACTCTATTTAAAAATTGAGACAGTTCTGTTTTACAATATTGTTCCTTGCATATGTTGATACTATGAACTTATAATGTAATAAATGTAATGTATTTAGTGTAACCCACATATACATATATATTTGGTAATATTTACAATAATACACGTTGCCCATTTATTATACATATGTGTACGCTGTTGTTAGCTGGCGATATTTTGTTATTTTGTAATCATTCCTTAAAATTCATTCCTGAAATTTTTGCCAGTTTACAATGTTTATATAATATATGTAATACAAATATGAAGTGATACGTATTGCAGTTCGATTCGTGTGAGAGTTGGTCCATGGAACATGTTGCAGTGTACAGTATAGCTTTGTTATGAGCAAGGTACAAACGTGAGACGTACTGGGCTCTGTGTAATCATCGCTAGGTTATATACATATAATGTGATTGTAATTTTTATATTTTTGCCTTACGAGAGGAGGGCGGTGTTGCCAGGCCGGGTGCCAGGTGCCGGTGCACAGTGACGGTGCATGAATTAATTAATGTTATCTTATGAATATATTTTAGTTTATAAAATGTATGGTTTCTCTAAAATGCTTGTGATCGAAATGTATACTATTATTTATTATTTTTGTACTTTTATATTGAAATTTTTTGCTACCGTCTATGGAAATTACAATTTATTTAATGATCTTGGATTATCTAGAATGACGTCGGCCTGGCCGCCGCGCGCAGGGCGAGGCTCGCGAGCATTTATATTAGGATTAATTAGCGTAGCTTAATTTAGCCGATTCGTTCAGGCACGCTTTAAGAGTGTCATATTATTGTTACGCGGACTGCCCGCGGGCGCCGCCGGCCTCTGCGATCGACGTCGCTAGTTAAAATTCATATTTATAGTTTTTTAAAACTAAAAAAAATATGCTTTTGTCCATATGGTCGTCGAAATACATCAAATGAACCCAAATTCGAATTTTTTACTAAATAGCTGTTGAAGTACAAATTATTATATTGTCGGATTTTACATACATATTTACAAAATTTTACATCATTTTAAAAAGTTAAAATCAATCTGCTAGTACAATAGCGTTATTTAAAGATAATATTATATAAAAATGACACACGTGAGCGATATGTCACGTAGTCATAATATGTCATCTATATATATAAAAGAAAGTCGTGTTAGTTACTTCGCTTATAACTCAAGAACGGCTGAACCGATTTAGCTGAAAATTGGCAGGGAGGTAGTTTAGAGCCAGGAGAAGGACATAGGATACTTTTTATCCCGTTCGACCGCGTTCCAATTTTTATGATATTTTAATTTTTGGATTTCTCTTAGTCCGGAATAGGTAAGTATTAAAACATATAATTAAAATGTGAGAAAGAAAGATTTTTTCTTTTTATATCTATTTAAAACGTACCTAGCGACGAACCCGAGCGAAGCGAGGGTGAGCCGCTAGTATTCTATATATTTATTAATTTTCTATTAGCGATGTCGATTGTAGAGAGTGAGCTAGCCCGCGAGGTAGCCGCTGGCTGCGGCCGACACTTGCCAATGCCTAGGTGTATTTACGCAGTAGTTTACGTAGTTATTGTTTAGTTTTGTATCTCTTATGTTATACGATGTCGTGCTGAAACAAGAGGAGCTTACGATGAGTAGCTGAGGGGCCTTATGACCAAATATATTTTACCTTGTCGGGATTTTACAAGACAGTCTTATGTTCTACCCACGGCTACGTTGGAGTTTGTAAAACTATAATACTCAAGCATTCCCCTTGTTTTAGATGAAACCAATGACAATTGACAATGAAAGCGTCTACCGGCCGGCGGAGACGCCGGCGCGGGCTCTCTTTGGTCGTGCTGCGTGCTTATAGTATATACTAATGCTGAAACGGCAATAAAATGTACACAAATATATATTACACGTTTTAATGCTTTACCCCTCTTCCCTTTTATTTAACATCGATGAAACTTTCAAATATACATATATACTAAATACAAGTATATGAAACAGTTCACTCAAACCAATAAGACGTCAACTATTACAGGAAATGTAATCGTTTTATATCTAATTACATTAAATAATCCAATTTGTACGTTTTGCCGGCAGGCGCCCTCGATTCTAAAGCCTCTGATTTTTATTGCTCAAAATGAAAACTTCAAGTTTTAAGTTAATACTGATATATCTATACATATAATAAAATTCTAACATTGTCGAATCTGTACATTAAATATTTTTTGGAAAATCTTATTGAAATACTCATTATTATCGATACAGAGGCCGAAAATATAGTTTTTAGAATTTTTGTCTGTCCGTCTGTCTGTCTGTCACCGCATCACGAGAATACCACTGTACAGATTTTGATCAAATTTGGTATGATGATAACTGGCTATCTGGGTTAACATATAGGATACTTTTTACCCTAGGAAAATATCTCATTTCTGAGAAAAATACAAAAACTGCAATGTAAGGGTATACTAATATGTAAAACCTAAGAATTTGGTTTTTGGTCATCTGAACGCGGGCGGAGAAAAATCGCACAATAATAAAAAATGTGTGGTAGTCGCCAGAAGAAACTTATTCGCCACCAGAACGAAGATCTAGGTATAATCCCACTACCACTGCTAGAGCAGTGTTTAGTGAACCTTCATGTACCTATATTGTATGTAATTCTGTATATCGAACCTAATAAAATTAACGCCTAATAATAAGATTTTGACAAATATTGAAATGTTGTTTCATTGATTATATACTTAAGTCTTAAAAAGCCAGGATAAGATATTAAGTTACTAAAGGGATTCTATATGAAAATCTATGAATGTACGTTTGTTACTCTTTTACACGAAACTACTGAACGGATTTTGATGAAACTTTTACATTAATATACCATATACATCAGAGTAACACATAGACTATAATTTAAAAAGATATAATTACACCTAATAATTATGTGAGTCACATAATTTATGTCCACAGTAAAATTATTGACACGGGTGGAACCGTTGAAAAACGCGTTCATTTCATGCGTTTTAAAATCTTTCTAGTACCAATCTATATAGATGAAAGTAGATAAATAATAAATTGTACATGTTCCTAGTGAATTCAAAGTTAATTTTATATAATTTCCCGCTAGTTACATAACCACCCACCGCCCAGTGCATTCGTACGCCTTTCCCTTCATTCCTTTGCGCCTGCGCCCTGCATGTAGGTCAATCTAGTTCGAATATGCGCGGTAGGGCTGCTATGTAATCACTAAATAAGGTGCGGTTTCCTTGAAGCGCTTATAATTTACAACACCTTTTGCAAAAAATTATATAAATTATTATTAGACTTTCGTGAGTCATAATCTGTTTAAAGATTTAATTTACATATATTTTAACATATTTTAATGTTTAAATACTATAATTTAATGTTTAAATACTAAAGAAAAAAATCTTATAAGTATAGGGATTATGAGTGATTTGTTTAATACAATTTGTAAATCGATACTAACATCGTTATATAATTATTGTAAAAAAACCAGCTCCTAAAAAAAAATAGTATTTTTTTTTGTATTATACCGATACAGATACTTTGAGCGCCCACCATTTCGCGCGCTTGACGTTACGTCAATGACGACTACAAAATCGCTAATCGCTCTGTTATGATAATACTTTGACGTCATATTCTGTTTACGTCTGACCAATGGCGTGCGTACTTTGAATTTCCCACCTTTATTTGCACTTTTTAAGAATTATTTTCTTAATCAAAAAGAAATTACATTAACAAATATTCATGTAATTCAAAAGCAATAAAGGTTATAAAAAAATCATTTTTATTTAAATCACACGCATATTTCTTTTGTTTGTTGTTTTACGCGTTAATGAAAACGAATCTTAAATGTCTATGGCCCATCAGCTGAGCTTGGAAAAACCAGAGAGAGAGATGCAATACATTATGCAATTTTTTACACTTTATTCCATTGTTTTCGAAAAAAATTCAATGCAGCTATTGTCGAAGAGACATCATTGTTGACTGTTCTGTCTTGTGAAACAGTTTTTCAATGACAAGATCCCATTTAAAAACAAATCGTGTGACATAAAATGTCCAACTAAAACTGTCACTGTAAATAATTTTACGAAGATTATCCAGTTCGGTAATCGGTTTTCTAAAATGTGAATTGGTGAAGGTCATTGTTCATACGTTGCTGCCAAAGTCAATTGCGTTTTTTCCGTGTCGTAGCTGCGAATTACGACCTGCATCAGTATTCAGTAGTGCTCAGAACGCCGAGACGCGTTGCGCGCGTGCTTTACGTAACGATCATCTACAATAAAGTACAATAAGGTTTAATCCATTTTCTATTAACTTTCGCCCACCGCAGAAAGAAATCAGCAAAATGATTTCTACAATATGTTCGAGAGCGGCGCTTCGGGCTCGCTCTATGGAGCGCTGCGCTTCGAGTATCGTCGAGCTACCGAAATTGCAGGATTTCGACGTACAGAACGAACCCGTGCTGGGGTACCGGGCCGGCAGTCGCGAGCGAACCGAATTAATAAACGAACTAAAACGAACCTCCGCCGTCACGGAGGAAGTGCCCATCGTAATCGGCAACGAGAACATCAAGGAGGGCGAGCCACGTTTCCAAGTGATGCCGCACGACCACGGTCGCAAGTTGGCCAAGTTTTATTATGCCAGTGAGAAGACAATCCAGAAAGCGATTCAAGTGTCGAGCGAGGCTCAGAAGCGATGGGACCGCACACCGTTAGAAGAGCGCATTCGCATTTGGCAGAAGGCGGCAGACATGATGGCCGGCGAGCACCGTCAGCGCCTTAACGCTGCCACCATGTTGGGACAGTCAAAGTCCGTGGTGCAAGCTGAAATCGATGCAGCGGCTGAACTTATTGATTTCTTCCGCTTCAATGTTTTCTTCTTAAAAGAGAATGCTAAATATCAACCTATCTCTGAGGATCCTTCTGTTACACGAAACTCACTGAGGTTCAGAGGTCTAGATGGGTTTATTGCCGCTATCAGCCCATTTAACTTCACTGCAATTGGAGGTAACTTGGCTTACACTCCTGCTCTCATGGGGAACGGTGTGGTGTGGAAGCCTTCTGATACAGCTCTTCTATCTAACTGGCGCATTTTCAATATTATGAGGGAAGCAGGCTTGCCTGATGGAATTGTTAATTTTGTGCCTGCCGATGGACCAACATTTGGACGTACCATTACTAAATCTCCACAATTAGCGGGTGTCAACTTCACTGGATCAGTACCTACATTTAATTGGTTGTGGAATGAGGTTGGTAAAAATCTTAATTTATATAAAAACTATCCTAGATTAATTGGAGAATGTGGTGGAAAGAACTATCATTTCATCCACCCCTCGGCAGATGTGCAGACTGTGGTAACTGGAACAATTCGGTCCGCTTTTGAATACTGTGGACAAAAATGCTCTGCTTGCTCGAGGATGTATGTTCCCAAATCTCTTTATGAGCCAATCAAACAAGGTCTGCTGGATGAGCGTTCTAAACTCAAAATTGGAGATCCCACAGACTTAAAGATCTTTACAGGTGCTGTTATTGATGATAAAGCTTTTGAAAGAATAACAGGATACATTAAAAACGCTAAGAAAAATCCAAAGAATAAAATTTTAGGTGGTGGTGAGTTTGATGGCAGCAAAGGATACTTTGTCCAGCCTACTATCATTGAGACTTCAGATCCACATGACAAACTGATGGTAGAAGAAATCTTTGGGCCTGTCCTCACTATGTATGTCTATGAAGACCGTGATGTTGACAAGGCTCTCTCCCTCGTAGGGTCATCCACCAAGTTTGCATTGACAGGAGCCGTCTTTGCTACAGATCAAAAGTTCCTGGAAGGTGCTCTAGATGAGCTGAAGATGACTGCTGGAAATTTCTATATTAATGATAAATCAACAGGGTCTGTAGTGGGCCAACAGCCCTTTGGGGGCGGACGCATGTCTGGAACCAACGACAAGGCCGGTGGACCCAACTATGTAATGAGGTGGACCACACCCCAATCTATCAAGGAAACATTTGTTCCCCTCCGAGACATTGATTACCCCTACATGAGAGATTAAACAAGCAGCGAGACCTGCTCAAATTTATCCTAGATAAAATAACCAGTACAATAAATACATTAGTATCATGTTACATAAAGCTTTCCAATATAGTATTAATTGATGAATTAGTATTAAACTTATATCTAGAAAGATGTCACAAAGACTGCCACTCGAGTCATATTTAATTGTAAAAAAAAGAATGTTCCATTCATATCACTGAACTGGCAGTGGCGGGCTAGAGATTGTTAAAATTAATTGATTGTCTTTTAGTAGTTAGAATTACTGTTTTACCTCCCTCTGCGGCGGGAGACCGTAGACGCAGTCCATGATTGTGATATTGTATGAAGTATATTTTATTGAGTCGGCCTCCAGCCGGCCGGCAGCAGCTCGGTCGCGGCGACGGACTCGAGACTACTGGTCTTATCTCTGTCGGTACTATTTGCTTGTTCCTTATCACTGCAGCTCCTTAATCTGCTATCTCACGCCCTCGTCTGCTCTCTTTATTTATTAACTGCATTTATGCTTATAAGATAAACTAAAATAAGTGGAGTAAACTCTACATTATGTAATTTATACCTATATTGTAATTGTTTTTGTTCTCCTGGAAAAACATTTATTTACTAACCGACCTTATTGGAGATATTAGAAAACATGTGATTGGGTGCCTGTTTCGTTTCAATTAAAGTATTAACAATAATATATTTAACGATGCTGTTAATTATTGTGTTTATGAATTAAATAAGTTAATAAATTATATTACTGCTCACAGAAGCATTTTATTTAAACTCCATAATCTTTCATATAAGTAAATGTAAATAATTCTAAAACCAAACCAACTAAAAACTAAAAAACTATTTATAGTGTTTAATATATGCTAAGAAGTATTTTTATCATTATAGAACATTGACATACATACATTACTCAACTCCTCAAGAGTAAATAATTTCATTTTTATCTACTAAACACACAAATTATGTAAATTTAAGTAATTATATATTTTAACCATTAACCAACTTATAAAAAGAAGGTATTTAGTGTTAGATGTTTGTTTTTTGTGTTTTTTTTACATTCTCTTGCTGTCAGTTATGAATTTTCATATATTTTAATTCATAATTAATATCTGCTTGAGTTTATACCTAGGAGCCTACCTATCTGAACAAAAGAATTGGATTGAAAGTCTATATCTCAATCTTGATCTTATATTTACATCAAGAAAAATATCTGTCCCTATACAACTATTACTTTTCATTGCTATTTTTATTTCTTTTAAGTTTCTATTAACTGAATATGAACCAGCACTAGTTAAAGGTACCTAAATTATTATAATTAATCTTCGAAAAGTAAAACCAAGGACTTCTAATATTTATAATGAAGTTCCTCACGCCATGTACTAAATAAACATGGCCGTTGTGTTAAGTATAGTGAAATGTAGAAAATATCAAATATCTATATAAAAAAACCATAATGAAGTAGGTATATATTATGTATGTATTTAGTCATTATAATAAATTAAGTTGATGTAGCAGTTGAATGGGCCGCATTACATCGACATAATCTCATTACCTACATTTTGTATACCGACACATAATACTTACATATATTAGTAATGAAATAAGGCACAACTAATGTTTGATATATTTTATTAAACTGTTTTAATTGGTTTTCGTGAAATGTGATACATTATAGGAAATAAACATATTTAAATAAATAAATAAAATTAACAATATTAAGTAACCCCTGACACAAAAAAAAACGGTAAAAAGTAAAATAATAATATGTCTATCTTAACCTTTTAACTATTAAAAGTAATTAATATTTTAAATTTTAATGCTTTGATTATGAGCATCGCCGCGTCGCGGGGAACCGATAAGTAAATAAAATAAAAACCAGAATACAAACAAAAAGGAGATTGATAATTAAAATGAAGTATTAATGAACCCCCGACGCGACGCAGCCACGCTCAGTGTTTACTTAAAACTTGTATTTTTATTTCATTCTTTTTAAATTACTTGTGGACACTGATTCCAATAGATAACTCTCCTTGAGACTATTCTTATGAGCCCAAATACGCTATAACTGCTTAAGTTTCCGAAGAATTGAGCATCCCGCAGACTATTCGATGCTATAGCGTCAGCTCAAGGTTAGTGTCTTGGAAATACCACCGAAGTAACAACTAACAGAAACAGTACACCAAATTTCAAATCTATCGGAACTGTGAAAGTTAGTAAAACACTTTTGTCCAGTAGGAAATGAGTGATGGTTATCAAACGCCTGAACAGATATTCGTAAATTATAGTTAATGCCTAAGAAACATCTCGATCACGTCAGCTTTCAATAAAAAAACCGCATCAAAAACGATTTATTTGTTTAAGAGCTACGGTGCCACAGACACACACACAAAGCGGTCAAACTTATAACGCCCCTCATTTTGCGCCGGGTGTTAAAAAAGGTATATAAATACCGAAATGTGTTAATTTTTTTCTTTCTCGCGGCTCCGCTCACAAGGTAAATGTATGTGTGTCGTCATGATGCAATTTTTGTTTTTGCCAAACTTCATCAAAATCTGTTTAATGTTTATCAGTCTAAGCCTACAACTTGAAAAACAGATAGACAGACTTACTTGCATCTTTTTGTATTTGTAAGAATACTATAATTAAAAATACATACTAACGTGTCCCTTCAAAAATATTAGCATTAGCTTACAAAGGTATTTTTTTTATTTCGTATTGATATACTACTTACAATGAATATTTTAAACACGGTAATGTATGCATAACATTACCGTGTTATAAATGAGTAGTTGTGTCTTTATTGCGAGGACAGTATAGATTTCTATAACCTACTAGCATTGCCCGCGGCTCCGCCCGCGTGCAGATGACCAAAAACCAAATTCTTAGGTTTTACATATTAGGATACTATTACATTGCAGTTTTTGTATTTTTTCTCAGAAATAAGACATTTTCCCGCGGTAAAAAGTATCCTATATATTGACCCGGATAACCAGCTACCATCATACCAAATTTCATCCAAATCCCTCCAGCGGTTTTTCCGTGATGCGGTAACAGACAGACAAAAATTCTAAAAACTATAGATTCGGACTCTGTGTCGATAATAATGTCTATTTCAATAAGATTTTCCAAAAAATATTTAATGTACAGATTCGGCTTAGTTACAATTTTATTATATGTGTAGATAGGTTCTATGTTATCTGCTTATCGTTATTTATGATACCAATACATTATATACAACTCATTATAATGTACATATACATATTATATGTATATATTAATATGAAATATCACGTGTAAATTATATTTTTTATGAAGTCGAATGCAAAATGTTTTATATTGCAAAGATACACATTTATTACCTGTGGTTAATGTCATTTGGTTTTGAAGTTTCTTTATTGATGGATTTCTACTGCATCGAAATGTGAAGTTCTTTCTAGAATAATATGTTACTTTTCTTTATTTAAGCTACATTCACTTAAAATCTGTGAAAGAAACTATCAAACATTTATTATTTTTAAGACATGACTAATATGTTTGGTTTGATCGTGTCAGGGAGACTTGTAAGTTAGAGTAATGTCAATATTTACGGTTTGCTTTTGTTGCATGTTTTATGAATGAAATCTTTTGTGTCCGCAGGTGCAGACGGATTTTACGCCTGTTTCAGAGACGAGTCTTATCACTACCATCTTGGATGTGGACTCTATAAACCACGCCGTCGTGTTCCTGACGGGCGCGACGCCGCTGCCGGTGGGCACGGTGGCCGTGGTCTACTGGAGCTGGCCGGACCCTAACGCTCCGCCTAACTGGCAACCTTTAGGACATATATCGAACGCTAAACCTTCTGCCATATTTAAGATCTCTAATTTGAAAAAATTACATGAATTATCTAGTAAGTTTATTAAAATAATACTTTATTAAATTTGTGATATTTTAATTAGTATTCAGTAGTAAATGAGACTACTATATAATTTTTAATATAAAAAATTTACATGAATAAAAATTAAGTACACCTTTTTCAATGTACAAGCTACACAAGCATTATATTTTAAATATAAACAAAAATTTGTATAATTTTCTTGTATATTATTGCAGGTGAAAATAAATTCATGAGTGCATTTGGTCAGCAACAGATTTGTAACAATGCTCAAATTGGAATTTCTATAGAACCAGAAGCGAATGTGCAACTACTTCCTAATTCTGAGGTGAATAAGATTTATTATTGTAAACACAACACACAACATACATTATTACTCTTTACATAAATAAACAGTACATATCCATTGTAAACAACTAATATAAAATTAACAATAAAGTATTTCTGTTTCAGATACAACAAGTTAATTCATATGTCACATTTGCACAGAAAATGTTAGAGAATTTAGTTAATTTTGTGGCATCCTTCTCCGTAACTCAAGACCAGATGACACCTACTCCCGGAGTCTCTTACATACCACTGAACACTCTCCACACCTGGTACCAGAACTTTGAGAGGAGACTACAACAAAACCCCAACTTTTGGAAAAATTAGTGGTGCCTTAATGCAAACTTATTTGATTATCATCAAGCAGTAAAATTAATTGGGGATTAAACATCAAATACATACCCGTAGAAACATAAACAGACACTAATTGTTTTAACTGTTGCACTGGAGCAATGTGAGCTTAGCACCTGGTGTGAATTAAAACAGCTTAAACAATACTCCCCAAGTACTACTAATTATATTACTTCATTTTCTTTATTTTTTGAGATTCCAATTTTTAAGTGATACCGAATTTTTAGAACAGTATAGATGTTTTTGATTGGTGTAAAGTGCTTGTATACACAAAATAAACTAACGAAATGAATTTAAAGCAGTGCAAGTTTGTCCCACAATACAATTGTCCTCGAGTATAAGTGTTAATGATTGCTTATTTACAATATAAATATTATAGACTTACATTTTTCTGTATTATTTATTCATTGAACCTTTTTATGTTTAGTCTACAAATATGAGGCACTAATATCATCTTAGTATTATTGCTTTTCATATAATTTAAATGTTTTCATATGCAATATCTTTTGTAATCCACTACAGTATGTCAGACTAATTAAGTGAATACAACCTTAGCGTTAATTTGCAATGTTATTTATTTGATACAAGACTGCTTGAATTTATATTTTTATAATAAATTCTTGATACAAGCACAAGGTGTTTTAAATGAAACTGCAGGTTCAGTGTCAACATGTATTACAGAGCAACAATGAGGTAACAACACCCGAGTGAACACATTCCCAAGGCACATTAATATTACAAACTGATCACATTAACAAAACAACCTCAACCTTATATATTACCAAACGGCATCGGCTAACTCGACTACTATTTTAATTTCTAAAGTTAAAAACTACTGTTGCATAAAATTACTTTATTAAAATATGGCAGATAAATAATTTTTGGTCTTGCTTATACAGAAAAGTTAGCCGGCTCTCAATTAGGATATCAATATTTTTACATTACTATTATCGGAAGACTTAGTGAGTCTCACACTCAGTCGCAGGCACAACACACAAAACATCAATTTTAATGAGAAATAGAGAGATAAATGAGAAATTATTGTAGGCTGTGCAGAAAAATAAGTTTTAGTATAAATATTCGTCCTTCTGTGGTTTATTACATTTTGATGTGTTATTTAGAGTTGCAAGTATCATGTTTCAATGTGACCAGCTGCTCAGCAACAAAGTACTGGCTTTGTACTTACTAATTAACTTAAATTAGCTTTGAGATCTCCTTTATAACTAATTAACAATGACTTCAACACAAGAGATGCCTTAGAGATTATTACAAGCGATTTATTCAAACAATGAAAATAACTTTTAACTTATAATCTGAACCGAGTTTCAACAAAAAGACTGATATCATTCGATTCAGAAAGTATAAATAAAAAATAAGGTAAATGGGAGTCACAGTGAACTAAAGTAAGCACAAGTTGCCATTACACGAAACTCCATTGTAAACATCAATTTAAATATTTTTTAAACCGTATACATGCATTTAACAAAACATACATAAGAATCAGCAAGGTGTTCAATTCATTTTGATTGTGAGAAATAGACCTGAGGGGACCTTATATATACATAGTGTTCTTCAATGACTGAGCATTTCATGTCAATAAAAATTAAAAACATACATAATACTAGTACAAAAGATATTGAAGAAATATTCATGCAACCTTGTCTTATAAAGTTAAATTATTAAAGCAAGAGCGACAAGCAAAAGTTAGGGCTTTATTGTTACACATTTAAGTTATTTTTCATAATTGATAATAGTTCTGTCAAAGACATACAATAAGCATCGTTTTAAATATCGATTTTTAAATTACTAAAAGGGAACTGTTACAGGGAATAGCATCGAGCACCCGCTGTCCAACATATCGAGCAGTGCTTGAAGTATCTATAGTGTATTATATATACATAGAAGCATATCAAAAAATTCAAACAACGTGATGCAACTAGCGCACGTAAATTGTTATTGGTAAAAATCGTAAATTGTTGTTGGTAAAAATAGTAATTGCCTACTGCAGTAGCAGCAGTACCGCAGCCATCTGCAGCGCACTTCAGAGGGCACGGTCACAAAATGAGTAATGTATGTGTGCACATATATAAAATCTTAATTTCTAAATATTATATAACCGTTAATGTAATCAATACATAATATATCTAAAAATTCAATTAATATCTTCAAAACATGCCAGTTGAGCCAAATTACTTCGCCAATAGACGAGACATGAGAGATTGGTCAGTGAAATAATGTGTAAAGAAATACACAGAAATACAAAAACATTCTAATCTTAAACATTGCCAATTTAATTTTTATAAAAAAAAATAGTCTGTTGGATTAAAAATAATTGTCATTTACATAAAAATCGGGCCATTCCTGCACTTTAGTGTTTTTGCTAAAAAATATCTATCCCTATTGATAAATACTTAGGTTAATAAACTAGTTTTCAAAAATGTACACAATTTACTGCATTAAGTTATACATACACGTTTGTAAAAAACAGGACATTAGATTAAAATATTACATTATTTTCTCAAAAGAGATGTACCGATCACAGCCGTAGTTGGCTTACACTTTAAATAAATACTTCACTAGCAGTTCAAGTCTATATTAAAGATATTCTAAAAAAATATGCCCATATTTTGATCTATACAGATAAATAAAATTGAAGTGTCTGTTTGTAATGTCAAAATAACAGCTTTGTACTCAATACATATGAAAGTAAATATATGGAACTTATAAGAATAGCACAATTTTTAAAACTTTTGTCAGTTTGTCTCTGTCTGTTTGTTCCGGCTAATATACGAAACGGCTAGATTGATTTTGACGGGACTTTCACTGAAAGATAGCTGCTGTTATAAGGAGTAACTTAGGCTTAATTAAATAAATTTAACTTTTATTTTAGAAAAAGAATTAGGCACTCGAGAGAAGCGAGGGTGAGTCGCTAGTCTATACATAATTTACTTCACAAAACTGTTCTTAAGTAAAGGCAATCACAGTGTTTGTAGATCATATAAATTGAGAAATTGCAGTTTTAATGGTTAATTATATTTCATGGAAACAACACGAACAAAAGTCGACATTTGAATTATAACTAGTAGCTTAGTTACATGTAAGACACTAATGTCTACAGTATTATAGGCAGTTACAATATTAATCTGAACACATTTTTTTAATTTTACACGTTTTTGGTTAATGGCTATTTACTAAGTACAGGTGAGTAGATGTGTTATATCTGGTTGATGTGTTTATACATAATTTTTTTTAAACTAGGTTGCTTCCCCATACAAACTTTCATCCCAATTTTCACCCCCTTAAGGGATGATTTCGGGTAAAAAGTATCCTATGTCCTTCCCGGGGTCTCAAACTATTTTCTTACGAAATTTCATCTAAATCGGTTCAGTAGATCCAGAGGTTACCCCCTACAACGTCACAAACTCACAAACTTTACCTCTTTATAATATTAGTATAGAAGTATAGATTTATTATTAAAATTCAACTAGAAGGTATTTCGGTAATGAGTAAACGTTATAGATGGTTGCTGCCGGTGGTGTGGGCGGTGACGGAGGTGACGGGGTGCGCCAGGAAGGGGTGCTCCAGGGCTTCAGCGGCGGATATGCGCGAGCGCGGGTCGGGGTCGAGCAGGCGCGCCGCGAGGGCGAAGGCCGAGTCCGGGAACCCCGCGATAGTCACGCCCGGCGTGATCCTGTCCGCCTGTGGAATGCGGACGTCATTTATGTGTAATAATAATGGCTATAAACAATTTATTTCTTATACACCATAACATAAGTTACTTATACACCATAATATTAAAAGAAACTCGCCATCTACCCGATTTTTTTCCTAACATAGGCATGAAGTATGATACTTAACATGTCATGAAAATAAACATATTATAATATAAGTGGTCATATTTAAAACCAATTGATAAAGAAAGTCAGTAGTTAGATGGCGCATCAACAAATAGTTATTTTATAGATATAACTAAAAGGATATCTCTGGCATTAAAATAAAAATACTTTTTACTTTAATAGAAAAAAATTATCTAAGCTATCAAATAAAATGTCAAGAGAACACTGACAGTGTCTGTTTCAACTTTCAACCAGGGCGCCAAACCGGTTTAAAAAACAGGAAATTTCAGTAATGTAATAGTTCATTGCTCATTCATTAACCGGTTAATAAAAACAAACGGTTTAGTCAACCGAAATATGGTTATTCAGAAAACGGTTAGACTTAGGTTTTGATACCGAAATAAACTGGTTAAATCACTCCCAAGTAAGATACGTACATGTATCCTTCTACTGCAAAAAATTCATCATTAGTAAAGATTCGAAAAATATAAACACGCAAAAAGTCATTTTAACCGGTTAATTTCGCACATGGAACCTAAATTCGTTTAAAATCGTTTTCCGGATTTCAACCAGTTAAAGAGCGTAACCGAATCATTATACCGAAAATCGAAAAGATTTTCGGTTTGGGATCAATTTCAAACCAAAATCGGTTTAAAAATTGAACGGGTTTCCAAGCCTTGGTTTCAACTATAGGTATACAGGATGTAGTGGGAGTGGTTCACCAATAATGACATGAGGTAGATTATTTCTATGGCTATTGATTTAAAAAAAAAGAAAAAAAATAAGTAAACACCAGAAAAGTGGCAATTTTTATAATTTCACAAATCTATACATATTTTTTAATTTTACCTCTGGTATTGTTATGTATATCATGTAGGGGTACTCACGGGCAGAGTCTCGTCCAGGCACAGACAGCCGTCCAGGGGCAGGCGGCAGTGCGCGCAGGGCGGCGCGTGGGCGGGCGGCGCGCCGTGGGCAGGCGGCGCGGGGGCGGCGCCGCGCAGGCGCGCCACTAGCTTGCGCAGGCAGATGCCGCGGCGGTGCGATGACGTCACCAGCCGGCGACCTGCCACCGATCACGGTATGTTATATATTGTACATAAATGAAATATAATAAAACGAATTTAAAAAGGTAAGAAACTATAAAGAAACTTATTACTTCGGCTCCATAGGCCACAAATTAATACTACAATAGATATAGAGGAACAATTTTGACTAAGAGAGACAGAAGATGTACATATCTATGTAAGTACCACCACTACACACCAGACGGTGTTGATAATTGATTATAAATTAATTAAAACTCAATTTAGTGAAAACTAGTTTACAAAAAATTGCAGAGGAAGTCACAAATTTCGTCAGAAAAGTTTTCATTTTAAAATATATAATTTTGTTTCTATATAATTAACTTATTTCTATTGTTGTTGATATCTTGTTTTGTTATCTATGAGTATTAGAGTATACAGATATTCGACAGTCATGGTTTTTAATATCAATATCTTATTTTAATCATTGTGACATTAAAACATGTTGTTTAAATATATAATATTTAGATTGCCATTTCTTTTTTTTTTTTAAATATAACAAACAGCTGACAAAACTTAATCTAAGAATTGCTTGAATTATCATTTTTTTTAAAGTTGTCTAATCAAACATCTACGTACAAAATCAACAGTACATTGTATTGTGGTATGAGAATATTCAATTATAATGAAAAATCACAGTTTTGAACTACAATAAAAAATATATATAGGTTGGAGTGATATGTTATTAAAAAACCGATCAAGTGCGAGTCAAACGCGCGCATGAAGGGTTCCTTTTGTACTATAATTGATTTTTTTTATTTGCATGGCAGCCTTTTTGAAATTTGTCAGCTTGGTTTTTATTATTTGTTATTATAGCGGCAATAGAAAAACACACTCGGTGAAAATTTTAACTTTCTATCTCATATATATGGTTCATGAGATACAGGCCTCTAACAGACGGATGGACGGATAGACCGTCATATAGCGGAGGCTTAGTAATAGTTGGTATCCTTTGGATACGATACCCTAAAAAACAATAGTTGAGTTCCTCACGGATTTACTTATCGGTATTTAATGTGAATTAAAAAATAGTAATTGACGGTTCAAAAATGCTCGTGTCTATTCGAATCAGATTATCTGTGTGGCGTACCGAGCGCGGCGGCCACGCGGCGCAGCGCGGCCGTGCCCAGCAGGTCGGCCAGCTCGGCCAGCGCGGCGGCGTCGTCGGGCGCGCGCAGCAGCGGGTAGCGCGCCGCCAGCGCACTCGCCAGCACCACGCCCGCCGCCCACGCGTCCACCGCCGCGCCCTGCCGCGGGCTCTTCAGCAGCACCTCGGGCGGCCGGAAGCCCTGCGTGCCGGCGCGCGGCGCCCGCGCCCCGCCGCGCGCCAGGCACGCGCCGCACACGCCGCCCGCGCCCGCGCACGCGCAGCCCCCACCCCCGCGCCAGTGCGCCGGCGGAGGCGGCGGCGTCTGGCCAAGGCAAACGTTAGTTTAAAATAAAATATTACATAACGAGAGAGTGACTTAATGACTAATGACACATTTTCAGTTTGCAGTGTGTTTTTGTAATATACAGATTCGGAGGTCGAAGCACAGCGGCGACGGCGGCCGCGGTCAGCGTGTACAAACAAGTTTATACTTACGTGCGAGGAACCCCCCTCCGGACCTCCCCCCATGTTTTCTGTCGTTTACTCTTTCACTTGTTGTTTTGTTTAATGAGAGGATTGGAATCGTGTCATCTATTTTGTTTCGTGCATTCGCACTTCATATAAACTTATCCAAGTTTTTGATGTTAGTGTTTCATTTGAGATGTAACAATTTTTTAGAATTGAACATAAGGAGACTGAATAATGTTTGTAATTTTATTTGACCTACACATAACACATCTCTCCGCCTTCGACTCCGATTTCGATTCTGACAAACCGAATTAAAAACTCCAATTCTGAATTTGGTACCTATAAAACCATCTCTATAACATCCCTATTTCAGATATGCTAAGGACATATAGCATTTGAAGTACCAAAATATGAAAACCTTTTATCACTTTTCTATACATTAAATTCTCTATACAAAACCCATTAGTACCAACTTATTAGTAAAAAATAAAAATACGATCACATTTATATCCTTTGAAAATATTTATATTTGTACCATATACCTTGGTCATGTTCTGGCGGGGTATCTGCACCTTGGGCAATGCGAGGCGGCGCAGCGCGGCGGGCGCGGGCGGCGCGGGGGCGGCGCGCGCGGCGCCCAGCGACAGGTCTAGCGCCATGCGCTTGGCGCTGGGGGACAGCTCCTCCTGGAATAAGTAAGACTTATATGAAATTTTGTTTAGTATTGAATAACCTCATCGTCCAACTTAAAAGTAAACTTAAGTTCAAGTTCTCAAGTAAACCTACTGTAGCTAACAGTATCATGGCAGAATAGTATAAATGTATGTTAAAATTTATTAAATAAAATACTATAAAGAATAAACGCTTCGCCACCTCGTCCCGGGGCCGCTTGCCGGCGGGCGGCGCGGAGAGCGCGGCGGGCGCGGGCAGCGGGCAGAGCGCGGGCAGGTGTGCGGGCGGCGGCGCCGGCTCCTCGCACACACGCTGCGCGAGCCCGAAGTCCACCAATAGGTACCTGCATCACCATATTACATATATAAATAAATATTATGTTTACAAGTATTATTCAAGTGAAATTTCTTTAGAATGTTTGAAACTTGATGAAACGGAAATATTAGCAACACTAAAAAGAGACAAACACACAAATATATACATAGAATTAAGCCGGCGAGAGAATGAGATAGAATACATTGCCATGTTGCCATGGTAACCATTGTTATTGGAGATAGAATACATTACACAGGAAGTGAAAAATAATAAAATTAATTACTAAATAATATGTAGTGTACATATATTTATGTCAAATAAAATGTAAAATAACTTTTGAACTTGGTATAAATAATATTAAAAAAAAATAAACCTTATAAGTAATTACGTTAATCCTGATACTATTCTACCATGAGTGAATTGCACACACACGCACTTTTTATATTATAATATTAACAGCAACTTACGCTCGCTTTGCTCGAGATTAGACTTCGTTCACAATTTCATGGTTGTTCTTTTTTTTTCGGCAGATCCCAACTCTTTTTCTAAAATAAGTAGTCTAAGTAGTCTAAGTCACTCCTTATACATCGGCTTTTCGCCAAAAACGTCTATCCAAAATCGGTTCAGCTTTTTCGGAGTTTAGCCGGAACAAACAGGGACAGACAGACAAAAAAAAATTGAAATATTTTTTTTCTTACAAGTACCTTACATAATTTCATGTGCATTTTAAATGATCATTTACCTTTTATTATCTCTATCATAAAGGAAGTTGCTGGGCTTTACATCTCTGTGTATGACGCCAAAGGAATGTACATGCTTCAGAGCTACCATGAGAGCCCGCATGTACTGCCGCACCTCCTCAGCATCCATATCTCCTACATATTCCTGTTTAATAATAAAAAAAATGTGTTCTTCTAATGGATATCATCACTCATTTTATCCTAAAATATTGACTTATTCTTTGAAATAAGTACTCTTAGGCAACAAATTAAACAAAAAGAACCAGTAGCTATTTTCATTTTAGCAATGTGCAAATAAAGCTTGTAAAATTAAAACTAAATATCTGTTTCATATGGTATACTGTAGAATTTCAGCATAAACAAAATTATTTTTTTTAAATGAATCTAATCATAAAAATAATAAAAATACAGCAATTTATGGGCATTGGGTAACTAAATGAAGCATGTTCAAAATCCGGGTCTCGAACCTCTGATATTTTTATGTGCAAATCATTTCCATTATGTCCACTACCACTTGTCTTAAGGTGAAGGAAATCATTGTGAGGAAACCTGCATATCTAAGAGAACCTAGCAAGTTTCCGAAAGACATAAAGTCTACCAAGCCATACATGATGGCGTAGTGGAGTATGGCCTGATCCACTATGTATTAAAGGGAGACCCACGCCAAGCAGCGTGATTTTAAAAAGAGCTGAATCACATACAATTTCTTTATAATCATTGCTGACTATTCTATAATAAGTATTTGCAAATAATGTGAGTCAATTTCATACAAACTGATTTTGATATCTATCTAACATGACGTTTTAGAAATAAATGATCAGTATAAAAATCTTGTTGCATACATTAATGATAACAATATAATCATGATGAGCGTGTTGTTGCAATTAATTAATTGCCACAATAAATGTGATTGTTATCAGTGTTTTATAAAAATATCATTTAAAATGAATTTTGTTTACTTATTCAAAGATTACTCTGTAGTTTATCCATGTTGCAGCGAATATGTTAATGACTAACGACTTACCATCGCTTTGCTTGGATGGGTCTGTGTTAACGTTTTGATTTTTTTGAGCAGAACCCTAATTCATTTTCTAAAATTAATGTAGCTTAAGTTACTCCTTATAACATCAACTATCTGTCAATTCAAAATCAGTTCAGTTGTTTAGGAGATTAGCCAGAACAAACAGACAGACAAAAAATTAAATAATATGTTTTTCTTATAAGTACCATGCAATAACTCACTTCTTATTTTCAAATATTGAGAATAATAATAATGATTGCTATAATTATATTGATAAGCAATAATTTACTATAGCACAATAGCAAATACTTACAGAAAATTTTCTATGGGGTATATAAGGCATCACAAACACAATAGTATCAAGATGCCGTAGACACAGCTCCACACCAATCACATTGTGCTTCCCACTGAAATTATAGGATACCAGATGAAGCAACAATAATCCAACTTTCTTAAGTAATAAATTTTATATATTAAATTATATGTATATAATAAGATTTTACCCCATTTCTTGAAGACAACGCAATTCATGTTCTATCCTGGCAGGATGCGCCGTGGGCACCAAGTGTTTTATAGCGAACCATGGTTTTTCAGCTTCTGTAAGTCCCGCGTGTTGTTTTAATGAGCCCAAATACACTGAGCTAAATGTGCCTTCACCTATCTTTCGGTGTACATCAAATATTTTGTCCAATTTTGGTAATTTATGTAATAATTCATTAATTTGTTGTTCTGTAATCAAAATTTACAATAAGTAAAGCATTCCCAAATCTAACCTTCAAAATCATATATTGACAAATTTATTTATTGAAATTTTTCACCTACTTTCCACGTCGCCTTTGTAACATATTGAGTTGTCGTTTTTCTTTTTGTTGGTTTCATTGCACTTGTTCTTACGTGTTTCCAAATTCTGTAAAGAAGCCTTTTGTACTTTATGCACTTTCCCAGCCTCTATTCCCCTTATCCTGGACATCACTTAAGTAATTAACTAGCAATATTTCATTATTTTAAATAAAAATAAAAAAATGGTAGGCAGCTTGTGAACAGTCTTTATTATGTGAAGCATAGAGTATATTGCTACATATATAAAAGGAAACAAAATAAACTCAATGAAAATATTAAAAGTCAACAATGTTGAATGTTGACGTCAATTTTCATGGACTGCACCACTGACCACAGATTAAACAAGTAGACTACACTTTCTACATGCTTGGGCTAAATTCAGGTACCCTACCCCAGCCTGCAAATTTATGATATTCGCAATGAAAAAAATACTAATCGATAGATTTTTAATAGCTCAATTCAACTACGTAGCCCTTTCAAATTGCTCACCATTAATTATAAAATTAAAAATCAATAAAGTCCTTGAAAAAAAATTCATTTATCCGTATATTCAAATTTCTATATCTTTTGATATATACAATATTTTAAATTGCTCAAAGTTCTAAAATACTGCTCAAGTTGCATTTGTAATTGCTCAAGTAGAGTTCTCACCAGCTCTACTTTCCTTAATTATTAAATAAATATAAATAATTTGAATAAATTTAACGTATAGATAGGTGAGTGCTGCGCATGCGCGCAAACAGTAACGCGAGTCGCAAGGCAAAAAAATCAAGTGTTTCATAACCTCATCATAGTGAAATGAAACTGTAATACTCCAAGCACAACATCATCTATTATCAGGTATTTTTATTATTTATTGACTTATTCATTATGTTCAATTTATACAAAAATCAAATCATGACTAAAAGGTAACTTTATTTTGTAACTTTATGTCTGTTTACAAAGTATTTTCTATATATTCTTCTTTGCTCCAAAACAAAATAAGTAGTAGTATACATGCTCATTATGTTTGCTGGATATTTTTCACTTTTTGACTATCGTATCACTTGACACTTTTTGACTGGAATCACGTAATGTGAACAATTCATAAATTCAATAAATTTAAAGAAATCCACCGAGAAACAGAATTAAGACGTTGAATTGGAACGATTGTCCAAGCCCGCCGAGGCCGACCGACAATGCGCGGTGCGCATGCGCACGCTCACTTAACCTACGTTACATTTATTACAACTATACTTTTAATTATTTAATAATCAGCGAAAGTGGAGCTGGTAAAAACTCTACTTGAGCAATTACAAATGCAACTTGAGCAGTGTTTTAGAACTTTGAGCAATTTGAAATATTGTATACATCAAAAGATATAGGAGTTTGAATATACAGATAAATTATTTTTTTTTCAAAGACTTTATTGATTTTTAATTAAATAATTAAAGGTGAGCAATTTGAAAGGGCTTCGTAGTTAAATTGAGCTATTGAAAATCTATCGATTAGTATTTTTTTCATTGCAAATATCATAAATTTGCAGGCTGGGGTAGGGTAGGTGCTAAATTCAAGCTTTTTCGCTTTAACTTAAAAATATTGATATATAATCTGTTGCAGTCAGCTGGTTCTTGAATTCTTGAATGACATATGTTTATATTTTATTTGTCATCCATGGTAGCAATATACTCTATGGACCACAGAGTACATTGGTATATACTATGGACATATCTAACCTAACAGATGAATCTATAAATTTATGATACTTTATCCCTTGGCTATATCTGTGTTTTTCTTATTAGATAAGATTGTGTCTTTAGATATTGGTTGCTTTTAGCAATACGTGATAAACGATTTACTGAAGTACGATCGTGTATCAAATAAAATTTTATGACATAAAGTAATCAATTCAATAAATAATGTTGCCTAGGAAGCTAAAGTATAGTACATTTAACTACTGCATAAAATCAGTGAGTGAATTAACATTTTAATTTATCAAAGCAATGATTTTTTAATTTAAAATTTAACTAATATAATTTAACATAAAAGTTATAAACATAACCTAAATATATTGTTTGAGTACAAAAAAAGCTATTGTAGCTTTATGATCAACCAGTTTATTAGTTTCAGGCGGGATATGTAACGAAAGCACCTAAACCAGAAATACCAAAAAATCCTTTAAATGAAGTATATTCGGCTAATGAGCAAACAAATAATGGTATTGTATATGATCGGAAACCTTTCAAAGTAGTACTTGAAGCTGGCAAGACATATAGCTGGTGTCTATGTGGTCGCTCTAAATCACAACCTTTATGTGATGGAACACATAGAGATATATTTTTGAAGATTACACAGAGGTTTGATACTGTTTTTAATTGTTGCTATTACAACATTATTTATCATGAATATAAAGTATTAATGACATAAATTAAACAGCTATGATATAATTAAACATTTATTTTCAGACCTATTAGATTTCAAGTTGACAAAACCAAGGAATATTGGCTGTGTAATTGCAAACAAACTAAAAATAGACCATTTTGCGATGGGACTCACAAGCAGAAAGAAATACAGGAATCAACTACTATTAGAGTTTAATTTAAATGTATAAAACAAAAATATAATTATTGTAAGTGTAGGATTTATAATTTGATTCTAAATAAATTTAGAACTTAGCATATTTTCTTTTATATCTACAATATTTTATGTAATGGTCTATTAAAATATAAACATTAATTAGATCCACATGCCAAGCTTTGACAAGCCATCATATGTGGCTTTTGTGAACAAATAGAAAGCACCTCTGCCAACTGCGAGAAGTGCTTGTGATGCATGCATACTCTTGTTGTTTATTTTATTTACATTTAAATATTTCATAAATTCTAAAAAACTACCATAAATGGTGTTTGTTAATTTTAACCATATGCTTTATTGACTTTTTCATTTCCTTTCATTTTATTTAGTTTCTTTTTATAATAGAAATAGGATAAACCAAAGGCACAACATTTGCAACCATATAGATATTGATGTTTTTCTCTTTAGTTTAGCCAAGCATTTGTAGAGGTTATAGCAAATCTTATGCAAGGTGATAAGAAATAATTTTAAAGACCTATGTAAAATATAAAAATTAATTCAAAATAGTAACCACTACAAAGTACAAATTACTTTTTCTGCACATTTTATTATATTTTGAATTTTGTCAGCAAAATATTTCATGAATTTTATTTCCTTTTACATTAATTAACTCACTTCTAAAAAGGAGGATGTTCTCAATTCGTCAGAATCTTTGTTTTTTTAAGTATCTTCACCGATTACTCGAAGACGCCGGAAGCGATTTGGAAATATTTTTTTTTGTTTCGAAAGGTATACTGGTGTACCATGTGTGTGGTACCATATAAATTTTATCGTAATCGGTCGAGCGGTTTTTAAAGAAATCAATGATAAACTATTTTTTTAAATAAATTGCTTATTTTTCGATTGTTATTAAAAATCTTTCTTGTTACAAACGTCTACACTAGAAATGGAAAAATAAAAACCAAATAACAACCGACTTCCAGGCTCAGACCAATAAAAAAGTATAGATAATAAGATAGACCAATAAAAAAGTATTTATATATCATAGAGTATATTGCTACATATTATATAAATTTATATATGTAGCAATATACTCTATGGTATAGACGGAGCCGTTGCAAACAAACGCGACGAAATAAGTGATGCAAAGTTTTGGCTTTGTGTGCGGAACTTTGTGTAAGATAGCGTAGATTTGCGCATGTGTGCTAGAGAAAAATGTTGGAAGCGTTGTGCTTACGACTCCCAAGCAGAGATGCGCAAACTAGGTCCTGGAGTGGATTGAACATGGAATAGTTCCTTTCCATAAAGGAACTATGTTCACGAAACATGTTCGCGGAACTATCTAGTTCCGATAGTTCATCCGATCCGATCGTTCCGATTTTAACAGGTTATCACTGTCATCGCTTCCCGAGGACAGCATAGCGGGAGATATTGTTTTAATTGACCGACTTCAAAAAAAGGAGGTTATCAATTCGACACGTATGTATATAATATTATTAGAACTGCAAGATATTAACATAATATGATATATTAGGGCTTCGAAGCAAATATACAAAATTTTATAGGTGTATAGATGTATGTATGTATGTATGTATGTTTGTTTGTTTGTTTGTTTGTTTGTGTGTATGTATGTTTGTCCACGCATTTCGCCGAATCTACTATTCCGACGTGATCATGCCTTTTTATTTGCTTACATTTATTTTAACTTAGGGAATAGTAAGAATTTCATCAAAATCGGTTCATTGGTTTTGAAGATATGGATAAAAAAGTGTATTTTTTGTAATTACTACTTTTTACAAAAACTATTTCAGTTTTTACTTAAAACTAAAAATTACGAAATAAAAAAAGGTTTAAAAAAAAATTAAACCAACTTCAAAAAACTACGGTGCTTTCGCGCGCAATGTGACTCTAGACGAACGCCACAAAGTACAAAAATATTGTGTCAAAAGTGAAAGAATATTATAATTTAAAAATATATTATTAATGTTTTAAAAGTTCAAAACGAAAATCAGATTTAATCAATGAATTATCGACTTTAACGCACAGTGAAGTTGGCACATTATTAATTGTAATAGCATAGTAAGAGATGACATTATAATTATTGCGAATACTCGCACACGCACTAGTCACTACAGAAGTTTACACACAGTACCTACGCGATATAATGGCGCTTCCACACAGCAGTGCAGCAGATAACATCACATACCTAACATTTTTTAACATGAAATAATTTTAAACCCACGAAAAAAAGGAGAAGGTTCTCAATTCGACACGTATAAATATTTTTTTTTATTGTTTGACCTCTTCTTACTTTGGTACTAGGTATCTACTATATCTACACTAAAAATGGAAAATAAAAACTTAAAAAAAACTACTTCAAATAAATGAAAATATTGTAAATGATTGTTTAACTTATGAATTATTTTATTATATACATTGATTTTAATTTTTAATTATTTATTGTTACTATTTTTATTAATTATAAATTCTAATTCATATTAGGTATTGTAAAAATTAAGAAAAAAGTTTAAATTAATAAACATTCTTTATATACATCATAATTAATATAACATTAGATCTAATACTATTATTATAATATAACTGAATATGAAAGGATTTTATTAATAATTAATAAATACTTACTTTCTTAAATTGTTTTAATAGCAATTTTAGTAAGCGCAAGAAATGAAAGGCTTTTTTATTTTAATTTAATGTATTTAGATTGTGTTCGGTGTTTGGCACGTGTTTATGATTCTCGGTGCTTGTGGCAAGCGCCCAGCATGTGGACGCGGCTTAACAGATTACTAAAAAAATTAACGCTTGTGAGGACGCACCTTAAAATTTAATATATACTAGCTATAGCTCGGGTAGGTTCGGCAGGAGTCGGTTACGTTCAGTTCAGTCAGTCGCTCCGGTGATCGGTCCAATATATTCGTTTCTCGCTCCATCTCACTCCTGCACATGTGGAACTATATGGAACTGTGAACCTGTTTCAATTGACATCGCGGATTGGAACGATATCGTTCCGGCCTAGGACATAGTTCCGGGAACTATTTCAATCCGGACCTACGCATGTCTACTCCCAAGTGCGAGAGATATACTTTGATGAAAAGTTTTATTATAGGCAGTATAGTTTTTTATTTGCCTTGTTTACATAAAATGAAAGGTAAATAAGTTTAATGAGTCATTTATTCTTAAATAAAAATAATTAATAATTTAACTATAGGTACACACAAAACTTACATATATTAGAATAATTATAACTAATTTGACGCGTTTTTCTTTTTAAGGCCTTTAACCTTCTCCTTCGTGCATGAATTTGATAACGTAATTTATACTTTCTAGCTTGTTGTATGAGTTTATTTCTTTTGGGAGTGTCAAATATTGATTCTAGTTCGAAATCACGGTTTTGACGTTTAATAATATACTTAATATACTCGAAAACTAAAATACAATATTAAGATTTAAAAAAAATAAGTTGTAACATGTACAAAAATCACAACTTCCCTTACTTTTGGGAAAACATAATGTTCGTAACTTGCAACATTGACACAATGGCGTCAAGAATTCGTGTTCGGATAATTATGTTAAATATTTTTTGCGATTTTGTTTAAATTATAGAGAAAATCAGTTACTTACTTGTGAAAAGTTGTCCCAGAAGACTTTTCTCGAAAACATGAATTGTTTTTGCAACAGTTTATAACACAGGACGGCTTATTTTCGCAATTATTATTTTACCAAGAGCACGTCACACGCTCTCACTCGCTCGCGGCCGCTACCGAGCGGCCGTCTTCATATGGCTCTATCGTCTTCATATTACTTGCATCACTTTTTGTGCGCAATTCTCTGTCTATACTTTTTTATTGGTCTGAGCTTCCAAGGGCACATTTTACATTTTAGGCACTAAAATGTAGAATAAATAACTAAACGGGGGTTTTCATTTAGAATAGATACCTAATCAGATATTTTCGAAGTCGGTGCCAGCCGATGCAAAGCAAATCTAATATATTTCGATACCTAAAATACATCACAAATTTGTATATAATATTTTAACTATAATTAGAATTTAGAGTTCATACTTAATCATATTTACCTATTAGATATTCATATCTTAAAATATTGTCGGCTGGAAAATATAGTATATGATGTCTATTTTTTTTTAATTATTCTAATCAAGCTGAAATATTCAAATAAGTGGGTTTCTATTGACGTCTGACGACTAGGAGTGCACGATACGATATATATCGATATTTTATAAATTATCGATATATGTACGCGATATATCGTTTCAACCCAATATTATCGAATCATATAGTATCGATATTATATATCGATATATTTCATCCGATATATCAAATATCGTGAGAAATTAAAAGCAAATTCAATTTCTTTTTTTGTAATATTGATTCCTTTATTTATGGATGGCAACTTGAAAAAGGATTGTTAGCAGACTTGAAACGGAAACCCCCGAATTATTGAAAAACTAGCCTTCGCAATAACGGAACGCAAAGACACGAAAATGAAAGCTAGTCTCCTAACTCTTCGTGAAGGCACACTAGTAGTAGTAGTAAAAATTTTATAATCTGTGACTGTAGTCGTAACTTGTAGTGTGTCTGTGCCTCGAGAGTCTCACTCGCTTGCGAAATCCGAGTTCAGACTTCCGCTTCGTTCATCGTTCTCACTTCTTAGTACAAATTACAAAATAACCTATAAAGTATAAATAAAAGTTGTCTGTTTTGTTTAATACAGTTTACGAAATTTAATTAAAAAAACAGCTATTATAACTCAGCGTCAGCACTTTAGTAAAATTTTGTTTCTGCAAGGTCTAAAGAAAAAGTATTGGGATTAATAAATAAATTAAATGTCTTGTTTCTTCACTAACTGTTTTTACTCATATAAACCTGATCCCTACCTAATATTTAATATTACAGACTAGTTAAATACAAACAAATAACTTACGATATATCGAAAATATCGATATATCTATACAATATATCGCAAATTATCGATACTACAATACGATATATTATATCAAAAAAAAAATCGATATTTTTTTTCATGAACATCCCTAGACGAGACGCCAAAGTTTTTTCTATAAAAAAACTGTATAATGCAAGGCGTCCACTGGCAAGTAACTTCCACAATTTCTTGTAGAAGTCAATTGACATCTGTTTCCACTGACTGCAATTTCTCTATATTCAAGTTGCTTGTAGAAATGTGTAGAAGCACAGATCATATAATACTATACTAGTAGTAGAAGTTAACTTCCTGCAAGATCTTGCAGAATCGTTTCGACACAAATTACATACAAATTACTTGAGCAAGAGCGGTCAAACACAATGCCTAGCTGCAGAAAAATACGAGCTGCGTCTCTTGTGTTGTTGTCTATACATATAATAAAATTGTAACTATATGCCAAATCTGTACATTAAATATTTTTTGGAAAATCTTATTTAAATAAACATTACTATCGATACAGAGGCCGGATCTATAATATTTAAAATTTTTGTCTGTCTGTCTGTTACCGCATCACAGAAAAACCACTGGAGGGATTTTGATGAAACTTTAGGATACCTTTTACCGCGGGAAAAAGTCTCATTTCTAAGAAAAAGAACAAAGACTGCAATGTAAGAGTAGTTTTGGGTCATTTGAACGCGGGCGGAGCCGCGGGCAATGCTAGTTATAACATAAAAATAAAAAACGTAAGGTGTGGGTACGAGATTGGATATTGAGGCATGATTACTTAGACGTGATGACTTGGTTTTCAAAGCCAATTATTAAAAGAACTCCAAAGCGAAGATCCCGTACAATTAAAAAACTTCCTACGAGTGATATAAGTTTCACTGTGTCTTCACGGAACCATACCTTTTTCTCGCTCATGTTATTAATTTAAAACTTGACACCAACGACTACTCAGCCCGATAGACGCCTAATTTATATACTTCTGCATCCAAAGTCTGCGACTCACCCTCGCTCCGCTCGAGTTCGTCCCTATTTAGTGAAAATTTGGGTTTGTATAATATATTTTTAATGCGGAATCATAAAAAAAAACATTGTCCAAAAAATAAAAAAGAATATTTTGGGGGGTGGACCACCCCTATCACTTAGGGGTATGGAAAATAGTTTTCGTCCTATTCTCAGACCTACTGAATATACACACAAAATATCAAAAGGATCGGTCAAGTCATTTCGGACGAGTTTAGTTATAATCACTGAGACACGAAAATTTTATACATTTAATAGATTAGAGATAAAGTTATACTATTTATAAAGGTGCAAATCATAGTGATATGAGATATCATTAAAGTTGAATTTTACATCTACTTATTGATCGTTGTTGCCAGTATTGAACGTGTTTTGATAAGTGGCAGTTCTTATACAGTTTCTCGACGAAATTTGCGGCACTTGACAACTGACATTTCACGATTCACTTTGTATTTGTGCACACGTCTTTGCTAAGTGGTTCTTGTTCGTGCTAATAAAACTAAATTAAATATTAAAAATATGACGGAAAAAGTAAAACTATTTACCAGAAAGGAGCTCGAAAGCCAGAACTCTCGTGAAGAGGCAATAATTATTATCGACAATTCTGTATATGATGTGACCAAGTTTTTGGACGAGGTAAGTACAAGTTACACACGTCATGACTTCTAATTTAATGAAAAGATTGGCTCTGTTTTTTGAGGACGCCTCGCTATCAATATATGCAATGAAGCACTGCATATTATTTTTACTTTAGTGTCTAAATATACAAAAAAACTACCTTTAGTGCCACTGATAATGACATTACAAGAGTTCATGGTGATGCTTAATTCAGGTCATTAAACATATGATAAGGTATATTAAGAAGGGAAATCTGCTTTTATCTTATGTTATTAACTATTAAAAAGACTGACCATGATTACTTACATTATAATTTACTGTTCAGAAATATAATATTTAAAAATTAGTATGATTGAAACAATTAGAAATTCACAACAAATTGGAATATAATAACATTTAATCAGTTATACTGAAATCAATATGGTAGTCTTCATCCTAAAGAAATATAAATTCTTCAAAGTACTGAAACTTTTTTATTAAGCCTGATAAGAAATATGTTTTAATTAGTAAGCAAAAATCATGCTCATTTACACATAAAACAGTTACCAACTGTATTAAAATAATCTTTCTAAGGTAAAGTGTAGCTTTTTTCTTAACTAAAACAAAATTGTAGCAAATTAACAGTCATTTTTAAAACACTAGGTAATATTTACAACTCACCCAAACTTAAGTAAGAAAAAAGTAGGTAACAATGAACTTGACCATTATTTTACATTCTTCTTACATTTCCATGGGATCTCTGTACTGTATCACTAAAAGTATAGCAAAACTAAGGGAACAAATAAACAGATACACATTGACATTATCCCTCCACAACCGCAGACATGCTGGTGTTACAGTTAACAATAAATTTCTTAGAAATTTAATTAATTTCTTAGAAACTTACCTGGAGGTGTTAAAAGCTTAATATAAACTTTTTAATAAGGACCTTATTATTTAGCAATAACAAGAGGTGGCAAAACGTTACACACACCATGATGAATTTTAATTGATCCCATGAAGAAAAAAATAAATATAAATTAACACTTTACAAGAACTTGTGGTTCGTTTTTTTTTTAATTTAAAGGGTCAGAGAAGTGAGTTATGAAGCTGTTAGCCTGTGCTAGCAGCTTCACAACTCACTTCTCTGATAGTCCTGTGCCTAGAATAGGTACTACTAATTACCATCTGGGCAATTCAGACGGGCGCGAATCTAAGAAATGTACTATCAGGCACTCCTTGGTGGGCAGTATGCCATGCAGGTTGCTCCAGGTACTTCTCTGATAGGAGAGTTGACTGTGGGAGCAACCCCTTGGCTGCGTGGTCTGCTTCGGCAGACCTGCCGTCATCGCATCGTGGTTGAGTGCGTAAGCGACCCTGCGACGCCTCATTAAGACGGGGGAGGTTCTGTTATGTTTTAATGGCGAGTACTGGCTTCTATAGCCGGTGAGTCCCTCATAACTACCTGTATGTGTATGCGTAAATGATTTTCCCAACATAAAAAAAAAACGCCTAGAATACTAACTTGATAGTTGCTGTTAAAAATCTTTTAATCTCAAAAGTTCAATGTACCTATATCAATGAATAAATATCGCTAGATCAGTTTTTGTTGATTATTCCATATTTCTGCTTGACTGCAGTACTAGTCACTAAGTCGAGTGTTGCACTTTCGAATCCCATTTGGCAAATATTTATATTTGCATTGGCGTGTGTGCTAGTCTTTGTATCATGTTTATTTTAAAGCTCGAAAAATGTGACTGCATTGTGTCGTATTGTCTTTTAATATACTTTCAAGCATATTTAAAAAGATAGATAGTTAAATACTATATTGCAGACACAAGGAAGAATACAGAAGATGAAAAGAAAACTGACAAAAAGGCATGCAAAGGCGGTCTTACTGCTATGGGCAATCTCTTAAAGGCAACCTTTGGTGAAAGTATTAATGGAACTGTAGACGGGACGGTACAATTAATACTAAATACAACAATGATAAACTACGATAAAATAATATTATTATTATAATATAATAAAAAGATATTATTATTATTAAATTAAAAATTAAAAAAAAACCCGACCATCTTGGACCGATTTTCATCAAACATAGCTAAGAACACTCCGGAATAATTCACCTTTCAAACCAAAAAAAAAAACAAAATCAAAATCGGTACGTCCGTTCGGGAGCTACGATGCCACAGACGGACACACATACAGACACGTCAAAACTTATACCTAACATCCCGTCGTTTTTGCGTCGGGAGTTAAAAAATATAAATTAAAAAATTATTCCATAACACAGTAACGAACATATTTTTTCGCATTAAAAATTTCGATGATGAACGTGATACGTTCATGTGGTTTCTTTTATTTTGGTTGAATAAGTGCTTCCCATCGCATAGGTAGAGAATTAAAGAGAAGAAAACGAAGCACCATAGGGTCGTTAGAATTTTAATCATTTATTTTCAGACACTTATAACAAACGTTAATATAAATATATCAAATTCATTATATTTCAATAATATAGAGAAAATCCGTTAGCTAATAATTAATCTAATCTCAATATTTCATTCAATAGGTACTACAAAAAATTTAATTATGGCGAAAATATGTACGCGTACTTGTAAACCGTAATAAAGGCCGAGTGAAGAACGCCAGAGAATGTGAAATGAGGCATGCATTTATTTCCCTTCAAGCGAAATGATATTAGAAAATTCCGCACATTTCCTGAATCCTGCGGATTGCGTTCAGCACCAATATGATCGTCATTCTATTATCACTACATATTATAAAACAAAGTCCTCCGTCGCGTCTGTCTGTCTGTCTGTTCCCGATAAACTCAAAAACTACTACACCGATTTTCATGCTGTTTTCACCAATGGATAGAGTGGTTCTCGAGGAAGGTTTTAGTATATAATTTGTTAAGTTTATGAATACATTGGCTAAAATATAACGATATTTGTTGGAGGTGTCGGTAATTACCGCATTATTGCGGTAATGTAGAAGCTATTTACACAAATACGGTTTTAATCATTATCCTTATCATTTTAAATGAGTTAGAAGATTTAAGCATTTCATGCAAATTATTTTACTTTTTTACACCAATTATAATTTAAATGAATATCTTAGGAGTAATCGCAAAAAAATTACGGACGCGAGAATAAATACTGTTAAAACGTAGGTACATCGCTAATCTTCTATAATATGAATTTATGGTTTTTGCAATTATTATTATATCCGTACTAGCATTGCCCGTGGCTCCGCCCGCGTTCAGATGACCAAAAACCAAATTCTTAGGTTTTACATATTAATATACTCTTACATTGCAGTTTTTGTATTTTTTCTCAGTAATGACACATTTCCCGAGGTAAAAAGCCAACAAACGGATAACCAACTATCACCATACCAAATTTCATCCAAATCCCTCCAGTGGTTTTTCTGTGATGCGGTAACAGACAGACATACGGTAACGATAGGGCCGACGAGCTAGCAAGAAGAGGATCGGACCTGAATGCAATAGGTCCTGAGCCCATCGTGGCGCTACCTTCTTGCTGGCTCAAAGGTCAAATACGACAACGCACAAGACGACTACACGAAAATATATGGCGTGAAGTCGCAGACTGCAGGCAAGCAAAGGAATAGCTTCCTTTCATTAACACTAAAACGACTAACCGTCTGATTAATCTCAACAGATCTCAGCTCAGACAGATAACCGCGGCTCTAACAGGCCACGGACCCTATAACAAACACCTATTTAATTTAGGTATAACTGACAGCCCACTCTGCAGAGCCTGCATGAGGGCAGATGAAACGGCTGCACATGTGATTTTACATTGTCCAGGTGTAGCGGCGTACCGGGCTCAACATCTTGGCACCCCTAGTACACTCCCGGAGGTCTTCGGTAGGACGAAGAGACTAACAAAAATTCTAGAAACTATAGATTCGGCTTCTGTATCGATAATAATGTTTATTTCAATAAGATTTTACAAAAAATATTTAACGTACAGATTTGGCTTAGTTACAACTTTATTATATATCTATATAGATTAATATTATAAATGTGAAAGTTTGTGAGTATGTATGGATATATGTTACTCTTTTATGCCAGAACGGTTGAACGGATTGGATGAAGGGAGTTAGATTATAGTGTGGAATAACACATAGGCTACTTTTTATCCCGGAAAAGCGTACGGTTCCCGTGGGATAGGTTTGTCTTCGTTTTCCGCGTCCGTCCGCGAACCCTAGCGAAGCGAGGGTGAGCCGCTAGTAGACAATATTACCGGGTGACTTGCGATGAAAGTAATTATAGATAGTTTTCAATTGAGTAACATGGAAGCGACTTTGTTTTGATACTACGCCACACCCGTGTAACGTAATATTTTAACATACTTATCGGCGTGTTTTAGTAGGCAGTTTAGGCACTGTAACTACTTATCAGATATTACTAATACTTTTGTCTTTACGATCTAATTTTCAGTAGAAAGCTGTATTTTATTATTTAACTTAGGTACGTACGTATGTACGTCGTTCTGGTGCCTACCGCGTATACCTTGCTGTATTGAAATTACACCTTATTTCCCCTATACTAATAAAAAAATTTACATCTTTAAAATATGTAATGATAATAATTGATGAGATCACTGTAGGTAAATACTCCATTTAACTTACTGACAACATTCACTACTTCGTCATTTAGATAAAACAGCTAAATATAGAATATCTAGAAGGGTGTTCTCACTTCTCATACGAGGGGGTTTATCTTAACTTTTTTTTATTTATTTATTTTAGGGAAATAAACAGTACAATATTACATAAATAATAATAGGATAACACATAAATCAATCAAGTTTCCACATATCAAAAATACAAACGAGACAGTTGATGATTGATGAATTGATGAGACAATGAAAAAAAAAACAAAAAGTTAAACACAAATTACAAAAAGAAACACTGATTAAAATTAATAATAAAAAAATAAGGAAAAACATTAAATAGGTATTAAAAAAACATTTTTTTATTCATTTTTGTTTCATTATACATCTTAACCTTTTTCTAAACAACATCTGTTGATTAAACTTATAAGGGTGTGCCGTTAAATTATGTACATCCATTATTTGCTGCATGAAGAAATATTAACAAACAAGCTTTAGATTTTTAGGTCGTAGCAATCTATACATATAATAAAATTGTACCGAAGCCGAATCAGTACATTAAATATTTTTTGGAAAATCTTATTGAAATGAACATTATTATCGATACAGAGGCCGAATCTATAGTTTTTAGGATTTTTGTCTGTCTGTTACTGCATCACAGAAAAACCACTGGAGGGATTTTCATGAAATTTGGGATGGTGATAGCTAGTTATTCGGGTCAACATATAGGATACTTTTTACCGCGGGAAAATGTCTCATTTCTGAGAAAAAATACAAAAAGTGCAATGTAAGAGTATACTAATGAGTAAAACCTAAGAATTTGGTTTTCGGTCATTTGAACGCGGGCGGAGCCGCGGGCAACGCTAGTAATCTATAAAAGTATTTAATTGTGGTGTTATCACAAAGATGTCTTATGTAATATTTTTTCTATGTTGCCACCAAAGACGGTCTTATCTAATCGTTTTATGGCAGTTAGAATTAACTTTAAATTCTAAATAATACACAAAATTAATAATAATCTGCAAGAAGAATAGACGTATTGTAATTTTATTAATTATTTTATTCCATCCACGTATAGGTGTGGGAAATGTTTAAAAAAATATACATTTAAACAATGCATAACCATTAATCACTTAGGTTTTTTTTATGTTTTATTTATGAGAAGTAATGGCAAAAAAATCCTCTCACGATATTTATGTAATCTTAGGCCGTACCAAAGTAGTAAATATATTTGGGAGCTAATATAAAATATTAGATCTCAGCAAATTATGGTCACGACTCACGGCCGTTACCTGTAAGTAACTGAACAGTACTGGGTCATCTGTAGATGTAAATTATAATAAAATACCAGTTTTCATTTTCCCTTACCTACTTGATGTTCTCGACAATGCGGTTCATAACAATATATGGCCGCAACTCGCAAGGACTTTTAAAGCGAGTTTAAAGATAAAAAAGTACCTATTCATTCATCAATCTCCGTATTCGAAAAATATTCAGAGTTTCTATTAGAACACAGATGGCTCTCGAGCAACACATTATCAGTTTTGTCTGTTTACGAAGAATGCGATTTTTTTATTACTGCTGATATGACTGTATCATAGGGTCAAATGGTAAATTATTATCCGGAAGTAATTACGCTTCTTCTTTGCAGCATCCTGGTGGTGAAGAAGTACTTTTAGAATTGGCAGGACAAGACGCCACAGATGCTTTTGAAGATATCAGTCACAGTTCTGACGCTAGGTAAGTTTCTAGTCGAGATACCAAAATAATTGAATATCATACTAAATTAGTATATCTACGTACAGCGATAAAATAAATAGAAGGAAAAGAAAGTCACTAGTTTCTTTTTTTTCGCACGCCATTTATGAGTGTGCAATAGTTCTAAAGTTTAAATTAATATTAATTAATTATTAGCATTAGCAAATCGTAGCAGTTACTGTCATAAAGCAGTTATTCTTAACTTACCGAGTATTTTTGTACACAGATCGTTAATGAAAAAGTACAAAATAGGCGAAGTGGTGGAGGCGGACCGGAGACAGATGAAACCCGCGCACCCGACCGTGTGGAACAACGACAAGCAGATCGAGTTGAACAAGTGCGTAATCTCCTAAACCTACCATTATACCCACACACCTTGCGACATACACTTCGTAGAGATTTATATTTCAGTTGCTTTGACTGTGAATTCAAATATTATGACCTAGTTATTTTCAATCGCGCTGACATCGCAAATATAGAATATTTAGCAATATTCATTCCGTAAAACAAGCAATTGATGAAACAGTCAGGGTAGCTGGCAACTTGTTTACACCCGTGTGGTAATTCTTAAACGATCCTGTGCTCTCCTTATAACATTCATCTGATAACACTATCTGAAAATCTAAATTCATTTGATGCTAAATAAAGAATCATTCGTCAAGAGGTTACCTCTTATAGAAAAGAAAAGAGGGTATATTTTAAGATGAACATATATTTTTTTATGTTAAAGAATGTTTACGAGTTTCATTTACTCTAAGTTAAAGGTCACTTGGTAAAGATAACATTCAAGCTATATAGTATTTCCATGCGTCGTTATCATCACTCAAAATATGATACAAACTCGAATAATTGAAATATTATAAGAAATATTTCCATATCATATTCGTTCATTATTTAGCTTTTACGTTATCTCGTGTCAATAAAAAATAAAGTTAAATAATGGCATTACACAGCAATATTTGTACTGAAAATGTTTATTTTAACAATATTATATTAATATATTTTCTAGGCATTACGTGTTTACTTTTGTCGTTCGGAGTGGTGTGCTTACATATAATGTCATAAAGAAAATATGTTTTACAAAGATCGTGGATATATAAAAAAAGTCATTTTTATGTACTCTTTTGATCGATGTTTTTTACAACTACGTTGGTAAGACATGGCAGAGATACAAGAACATACGTCATTCATACGTTAAGAGTAAAATGAGAGACGCCATTTAATGTTATTGTTTATTGACACTGATGGTTTATAGAATATTGTGTGCGTCGCACTTGTAGGCGAGGCGATAACTACACGAGTCCATAAAGGATTTACCTACAGATGGATAGTTTGCATGAGTTTGTGTACGAAGCACACTTTTTATTAACATAATCCATCTCCATTTATACAGATTTCAAATTTAAAAAATCTGATGTTTTCGCAATTTTAGTTAGATTTCTATAAAACCGTGAGAAATCTATTAAAAAACGGTGTTCAAATGTCGATAATTTTCACCCTTCATTAAAGTACCTAGCCATGCATCAACTTCCCATCATATGATCTCACTCCGACGATCTGATGTTTCAATTTCATACACGTTCCATGTAAAATGCACATTTAGCATATTATGTAGATCTATCGAGTAGACAATTATTTGCTCATTATTATGTACTTAACGATACTGCAAATCGTAATGTGATTTTTATCTGTTCCTTGCTTTTTTTTAATTTTAGTGCATAAATGTAGAGCGTAGGCAATCTATTCTTGTATAATATATTATAATCTATAAGTATTATTATATTATAAAAGTTATTTTTGTATATAAATCGATTATATATGCTAATATGGGGCTTATCGAATATTGTTATGTTTCATATTTTATATCAAACTCTCATAATGTTCACGGTAGAGTGTTAGAGCTTAGTGAGACGCGGACTTAGATGGCGTAGTTAAGGATTAAGTACTAATTTCTTATGTATTATACAACGTGCTGCCATTTGTGTGTAACTCCTTACTTTAAAGATGAAACTAACATTTTTAAATGTTTTTGTGAGATAGTATCGTACGTATCGACGGCGAAGTGCCAATACCTCCTAAGTAAAAATTTTCGAGAAATTCACTTTTTTATAGTTTTAAATTTAAAGGCGCTATTCACATGTTTTATTCAAATATATTAGTCATCATCAAGTCGTCGTATTATCTTCAATGAATAAATATACTTACTGATTTTCAACTTGTCAAGAAATTAAATGTTTTTTTTTTTAAGTTTGTGTAAATTCTTGACTATGACACTTAAGAGTTATTAGCACTTCGCCGTCGGTATGCTATTGTTAGTAAATATGATCTAGATGGCTGGATGGATGGTTGGATCGAACTGGCTAAATGATCAGGGAATTTTCCCGATTAAATTTTTTTTTATGGATGGCTATTTACATTGATTGCCTGTGGTTTTGTAGAGATCTTTAAATTAGGAACTATCTCATAAAATATAATAAAAATGTATGTTACGTATGTAACACGCGACTATAATAATGTATACACTAAAGCATTATGGGAAGTTAGTATCAGTGCCAGCACGTTATATAGGCAGGTCTTGTACACTTAGTGCTTAGCACACGGTCGCTGCGCGTCACAAAATGCCAAATGGGTGCTCTAGTTAATGTGTACGCGGACGAGGCGCTATGTTCTGTGATTGTAATCATTTTAAAAATAAAGCAAATAATCCTACATGGCTTATTATTTATCATTCCAATCTATACTTTTTTCTAACTAAGCTGTTGCGTTAGTCCTTCGTTATGTTATCTTTATCCATTTTATTTGATTAGAACATTTCAGCATTCATTATTATTTATTTATCGAGAAATCATATATATATAATTTGAATATTTAAGTGGCACAAAATAGTAATATTTACTTAACAAGATATATAGGTATGTGTGCGTGACTGAATGATTAAATTAATTTTTTTTCGTTTATGCTCTCTTTTTTTAATATTTACAGGAAACATGTACTATAAGTACAAAGTAAATATGACTCTCCTGACTGTAAATATGAAACTCGATGAATATGCGGATATTATAAAGTATTGTTCGCATGAATTTCTATAAATAGCGATATTTGTTCGTACTCCGATTTATCTAGATGTGGGTGCGATGAAGCTCTCTATAGTCTCTATATAACATTTAAATGCATTAACATATCTTTTAGACCAAACACAATGTTGATTTTGAACTTCGACTCTCGTTCTCAATTCATATGCAGATGTAAACCACTTACAATACTATTCTTTGTAAACTGTAAAAATATATTTTTTAGGTGGTATGACTAACAACAGTGAATCTGAATTAGTGAACTAATAGCATAATTATTTTAAGTAAAAACAAAACTATCAGAGTAACAAACATCTATACATCCAGACATTCATATATACTTACAAACTTTTGCGTTTATAATATAAGTAGAAGTAATATTCTAAGATAGTTAAAAGTATATACTAACTATAGTTGTTCCTTATATTCTTTGACGACACGTTTGGCTCAGTTTAGAGTGACCCTACTTGCTTTGCCAGCGGTCGCGGGTACGGATCCGACTGAGGGCATTCATTTGTGTCATAAGCACAAATGTTTGTAATCTATGTGTGTTTATATTTATAATATGTATGTATTTAAAGTTATATATGTGCAGTATATCAACTATCTGGAATTCATAACACAAGCCTCGTATCTTACCTTGGAACTATAATATGGTGCTATGTGTTAATATCCTAACATTTATTTATATAAGTGGTGTATCTATTTGCTGCAAACAATATTTGCTTAGGTATAGGTCGATAAGTGGTTCTATATTAAGGGATAATATTATGTATATTGTATGTATATGTACATATGATGGTAACGAGGTTACTTTTAATTAGAGCTTCTCATTCTGCCTGCTTGGTCAAAGAGTTAGCACGTCACTGATCATATTAAAGTATCTTTATAGGATAATTGGATCTGAAGTTGGTCTATTCTGGACAACCTCGCACGACGCCTATTCCTTCAAACTTCTGTTTTTCTTTGTTATATGATTTACTTTACATACATACATATAGGTATTTAATATTTATGACACATTACAAATCTTTATTTTGTATTATATAAATATAGCCGGTCTAAGGATGAGCAGGGTGATGGCGGTGTATTTTAATTCATTAGTCGTTATGATTTTGTTTGTCTTTCTTGTCTGCAGCTGGAGCTCCTGGCTGGTGCCGCTGATGCTGGGCCTGGCGGCCACGGTGCTCTTCCGATACCTTTTTCTCTAGTGCCATACGTCGAGAAAGCTCGCTAAGCTTCGCTATAGGGCTCAATGCGACATGAACTTGATTAGTCCTTATGGACTCACATGTTCACATGGATGGATATTATTATTTAAGAAATATTTTGTACGATTATAGTAACATATGGAAATTAAGAATTGTTTCGCAACGAAATAATTCGTGTCCATATTTTAAGCGTATCCTTCATTACAGCACTTAAATTTAAAAAAAAATGTTATAAACATTAGTAATCATAGAGTTATCCTATAATTTGTCCATATGATCGTAAGTTTTAATGAAATAGAAAGAAGCCCTTTAGCGCTTATTGTAATGTATTGTCATTACGAGATATTAGCATTTGATAGATAATTGTAAATAGCTTTTCTACTTCAGTTAACCATTAAGAAAAAACTTATTAAAATCATATTGACATAGCCTGGTCCAAAACATCGTATGTAACGTTGGTTCTATAAAATGACACAAAGTATGTATTGTAGTAATAATTAATTTATGTAAATAAATGATTTATACCAGCCTTAGTAAGTTATATTGTATTGTACTTTCACTTTTCACTATCTGGGTTTGGTTAAAAAGGGTTATAAACACTACTGTTGTAGTTGTTCCTATAAACCAGAACAATATTATGCTACATGAGTGTGACAAATACAAAAAAAACTCTATAATGTAAGTATATATATATACCTCTGTATATTAAAAAAAATACAATTCTATGTAAAAGTCATGGGTGTTTATATTAATAATATGTAGGTATGTATTTAAAGTTATATATGTGTAGTGTATCAACTATCTGGTATCCACCACACAGGCCTCGTAGCTTACCATGGAACTAGATGGTGCTGTGTGTTAATAATGTCCCAAGATATTTAGTATTATTATTAATTTTTAAATACATATACATTATTACTAGAATATATAGCTCAAACATACACAGAGTTCAAAGTATTTTAATTGTAATTGTGCACTTTGTATAAAATATTTTCTTATTACAGTGTATGGAAACATCCTTGAAATAAATAAAATACTTCCATGATTGTTGCAATAAAAAAGAATCTTTATGTTGTGACTCTTAAATTACACACAGTCTCATTTAATAATTATTATCCTTGATGAGCTGTTATATTAACTAATGAGATGCACACACAACTAAGATGTTTTTTTTTGAATGTTCACTCATATTATTGTTTTATTTTTTGTTAATACAACTTTTTATATTTAATTAAGGAGGAAAATTAAAAGGTGTGCTTGGAATCTATTATATTTAAATTTAGAGCAAATATAATATTTATTGAAATGTGTTATCGGTAGGTTATGGTAATTAAATGTATATGAGGGTATTTGGTTATAAGTTCGATATTATTGGGTCAGCCTCTAACAAAGATTGTTAGTGGAAAATAAATTGAAATCAATAAAAACAAGCTTTTAAAAGTCTTGGCCTTTTGTATGAAATAAATATAAGGTGCTAATTCACCCAGAGACATGTTTTAAAGTCAATTACATTTACCTATTAATATTATATTTATGAAAAATTAATTTGAATTGCACAAAATGACAAAACTTTTGGATTTGTGAAAGATATAAAAGTGGTTATTAGTCATAGATGTTTTATTAATAAGACTATATGTATCACTTATGTCCTTGAATGCTGCAATTACAAATCAATCAATCGCAATCCACATGTCTGCTAATGTGGTGTTAAAAATATTTTATATGGAAATAAAACATAATTTTTTTTATTTTTTTATTTGGTTCCTAAAATTACGATAACTTATATTACAGGGCTTAGCCCTCTATCACATTTGAAATCAATAATTATAAGTAAAGTGATCCAAGTAACAATCCAGCTTCATCATTTTAATACATGCTTAAGTTTAAATACTTCAGATATACTTAAAGGTCAATGTTCTTGGTCATTAACCATGTTAATAATTTCTGTTCTCATTTATAATTATAGTTCCAATACAATATATAATTTTTTGTTAGAAAAATGCCTTAACTATAACATGACACACATATTTCTGTTCCTTCAGACCTGAAAATAAAATTTTGGTGTGATCATAAAATTAATCTATTTGTTTTTCTATAAAACATTAAATAAATTCTTACCCATTTAAAGAGCATTTAGAGCAGTATGACAATTTACAGACTTTACATTGATGCTGACAAAAAGAACACAAGACAATTTCACAATAAGCACAGCAGTCTGATTTGAGCCCACTGCATGCACAGTGTTGAATTGTCAAATTTTTGTCTATAGTCTGTAAAAAAATAATTTTATTAAAACAGACTAAAATTGTCAAGGAAGTGTATCATATATGTAATACCAAATATATCTACCAAAGTTCCTGAATATAATAGGGATCCATCTTTTCCTATAAATAACTGCTTCATTCCATCTTTCTTTTCAATTGGTTTTAGATCAGGATTCTGCATAACATCTTCGGATCTTATTTTTTTAGAACCATGGAATAGAAGTTGCAAGGTCTTTTCTGCAAGCAATATAATATGTATATTATAATAATAGTATGTTCTTTTACTGTTGTCACGTAGTCATGTTTGTAAGGTAAGCAAAGGCAGTTAATAAGTAATTATAGGATGTTTACCATAAACTTTTTTTAGCTTGTCTTCATTGTTATTAAATTGCTTTAGGCCTACATGTATTTTGCTTTGTTGTATAAAATCATCTGCATAGGGATTACACCGTTTAGGCATTGTCTTAAAATTTATGAATCTTAGTCTAGCCTAGTACTCCACTTTCAATTTATTATTGTGCGGGTAAACTGTGGAAAAACCACGAAATAAAAGCATCTGGCATATTTTTATTAAGATGACATATTTGACAGTACACTTGACACTTGACGTATTTCAAAGTATAATTAAATAGTCGTTCAAAAATATTCAAATAATTATTGTAAGAATATTTTTTTAATAACAATGTTATATATATTGATAGTAGATCATGAATTCAGAACTGACAAACAAACATCTTTTTAAATGTTAGATTTTAGTAAGTTATTTTTTATTTATTAAAATGAACAAAAAAACAAGAACTTAACACAAAACAAAATGTAATTTTAATTTAAATGTGTAGTTTGATTAAAACATATATTATATTAAAAGTATTTACTTAAAAATTGCGATTTTCTATTATTCATAACAATTTAATATACCCTTAGCGCTACCTGTATCCGAATGCTTGTTACAAAATTAGCATTTAGCATGGCTACACTGCCAACAGGGCACCTTCGATCGATGTGTTGCTGTCAACAATTTTTTACGAAATTATAGATGAAATAATTAAATAAAACTTATCAATCTTGGAGCAAAAATTGTATCCGATTATTTATAGATCAGGTAGTGTATTAGTGTTGAAAATAATGCGGTGATGATAATCAAGTGTAAAAGTGAAAGTGTTTTCAATTTGATTTCATTCTGTGATAGTGACGAAGCTGTTTGTCGCAATCTAGCATATGTGAAGAGTTCTTTCACGAATGTTACGTAAGCGGCGATAGCGCAGCATGTCGTGGATGAAGCGGCAAGGCAGCGCGGCGCCGCCCAGGTCCGAGCAGCAGGCTTTTACTGCTCCTCAGGTGAGTCCGCGCAGGTTATATCGACACAGACGTAAACAATGACGTGGTCCAATACTTACTTCAGTAAGTAAAAGGCTATCATGTGATGTATAAATATTTTTTATATCAATTTTCTAATATTAATCTGTTTTTAAAGTTTGATACTTCATTAATGACATTAATTTGTTTGTATTCAATGCTGAATAAAATATATGAGTTGTATGTTATATGTATAAGTAGTTTTGTAATTTACTTATGTTTCAGCCATATGGAAACCAACAGAATATGTTTCCTACATACCAAGGACCATTACCTGGACACCAACAACAAACATGGCAAATACCCCAGCAGCAACAGCAATATAGTCAGCAATATGGCCAGGTGTATCAACAGCAACCCTTTGTGAACAATGCCAACCAATACTTTCAGCAGCCACAGCAACAATACAATCAAAATTATGTTAATCAGAATTTTGATAATGTTCAACCAGGCTATCAACAGAACTACAATCATAACCAGACACCTCAACAACAAAATTTCACACAGAATGAGGGAAATGTTGATGGATGGGAAGATAATTGGGGATGGGGATGGGACGATACATCAAAGCAGTATCAAAAGTCTATTAATCAACATGCTGCCCAACAACCGGTTTCTCAGCCCCAATTATTTAGCAATTCAAATGTGATAGAAGAAAGTTTTGCTCCTACAAATAGCTGGAATTGGTCTATGGAAGATAAAAAAGAACCTGAGGTACCTCCGTCTATGCAATCATTTCACCATAATCAAGAAGAACCTTTATATATTGAAAATGTAGTTAATGAAAATAATGTATTTAATGAAACAATGCAAGGAAATACTAATAATGTATCAGGACAAGATAATCCAGAAAAAGTGAAGAATTTAAGTGATAAAGAAGCTGTAAAGGAACAATTACCTAATTTAGCTCTAGGAAAACGTTTTAATTTAGAAAATTTAACACCGCAATGGTCAATAGAGTCACAAATGTCACAAGACTCTAGTGACGGACCTCACACACAGTCTGAAGGAACTTATAGAAGTGAAAATCAATCTAGAAATTCAAATAAAAGCAGCCCAGGGCCAAATACTGATGCAACTAATTTCAATTATTCACAATCTGGTCTTAATGAAATGGGCCTCACAAATAGTGAATTCAAGCATTCAAATGATGATTCTAATCCAACAAATAGTGGACAAGATAATAGCAGAAGAGAAAGCTATGATGAACTGGCAAACTCAGTTAAGGAAATGAACTTAGGAAACCATGAACTCACCCCTGTAGGTCAGCAACCTAGCCATAATATTGAAAATATACAAGAAAATATAGAATCTGTTAGGGCACCAGAGCCATCGGTTTCTCCAATTTCTTCTTTACCCAGTCAGTTAATACCACAAGCGATGCTATCTCCGCCACATGTAACATCTCAGCATGTACAAAATCCTCAATCGGCAATTTCTTCTCAAGGCAATGCTGTGCCTACACCGTCACAACCTCCAATAAATATGCCAACATCTTCACATGTTAGTGTTGCAAACTTACCACCACCTCCTACATCAATGCCTTTACTTCCTCCATCGAATTTTCCAACATCATCAACCCAAAATCCGTTTAAAAGTAGTGCACCCTTTTCACATAAAAGCATTGCTAAGACTCCTGCAAATCCTCAGCCTCAGTCCTTCCCGCCTCAAGTGCCCGGTGCAAACCTGACATCACCAGCTGTTGTTAATAAAGTTGTCCAACAAGACAGGCTTTCAGCAAGCTTCGGTGCTAATTTGGAAACTACCCCCGATAATTCAGAGAGGCCTGATCAGCCTCAAGTAACCAGCTACAGGTCTATGTCTATACCACCTCAAGTACCTGACAACTTGGAAATAGCACCCCAAAATGATAGAAATGAATATTTGCAGACTGCACATTTGTCGAGTGGAGATTATGGTGAAAACACAGATTTCAGTAGAAATATTCCGCCCCCGGGGCTTAGGCGCATGGGAGTAGGCCAGCAGGAGGGAGAATATAATCAAAGCTTGAATATTTCTGGGGATGAACCTCCTCCGGGCTTAGCGCGCATGGTACCCGGGCAACAGACGGAGATGGATAACTCGTACAATCAAGCCACCGACGACTACATGGACCGACAAATAGACGGTCAGCCTACCGACGGTAGTGGACGACCGTACAGACAAGCCGACGGACAGCAGATTGCTGATAATTATACACCATCTGTTGCCTCCCGTGGAGGGGATAGAAGACCTGTAGGCTTGGACCGGATGGTGCCAGGAGAGCCTAGCAACGATGAATATCCGCAATATCCGACATCCAACTTTGCTTCAGCAAATGAGCACAGGGTCGTCACTGGAGTTGATCATGACTACGCTGTATCAACTGACGCAGGTCGGATTGATATCCGTGAGCAAAACGTTGACGGTTCCGACTACACTGAACCACCGGCAAGGAATCCTAGAAGCGTAATTGGCGCGCGTGAAGCCAGTAACGACACCTCGCCTGACTTCAGCTTATCAGTTGATGATCAACAGAGAGAAATCACAATGGAAGGCGAAAACTTGCATGATTTAAGTGTCATGACGTACGACGGGTCCAATGCGAATGCCGTAGAAGTGCCCAAAGACCGGAGCCATGACGCAGCGGATGTTACAGAATATCCTAATAATTCAAGGAGGCAATCTCTTAGTCGCGTCACCTCAGGTGAGGATTCCGAGAGAGATAGAGCGTTCAAGGCGTCGCCTAGGAAGGACAGGGACAAACAGAAGTCGAGAGAGCGCGACAGGGAGCGGGACAAGGACAGAGGTCGTTACTCTCGAGGCGATAGGAAGTACGATCGCGAGTCGGAGAGGCGATCGACTAGAGAAGACCGTCGTGACCGCCGCGAGCGCGACGCCAGCCCCGAGCCCCGCCGCCACAGACGCAGCACTCGAAGCCATCGATACGAGACCGAAGATACCGACTATTATAGCGACCGTGACAGGGACCGCAGGTGAGATACGTTATACTTTTTTATGCATTGATATATACATAATTTTAACTAAAACATTGTTAAATTATTATTAAAATATTATTAAATTGATTTGATGAATTTTAAATAAAACTATCTTTTCGGATTATTTCGTGGATTTATTTTGATTTTTGGTTCCAGACGTTTCGAATGCTTTACAGCATCCATGGTCACGGGAGAGACTGAATGGAGAAAAATCAAAATAAATGCGCGAAATAATCCGAAAAGATACTTTTATTTAAAATGTCAAATATTCGCGTAAATCTAAGAAAGTATTATGATTTGATGAAATTTAATTTGGCCAAATATTCTACCTTACTTTCTAATATGCTAAAATTATCTGTGTACTGGCACTATGGTGTGATTGTCATTGTGCATTTCTCGTACTGGGTTAAATAACTATATTGATGTTTGTGTAGTTTTAGTTAAGGCATGTCTTATTGGTGACCACCACAACTCACATACCCTATAGGAAAATATGTTTATAATATTAACACAATAATGTTACAGACAATACAGAGAAGGATCGTACACGTCGTCCAAACCCCCTCGCGGAGATGACAAGGACAGGCGCCATGACGACCGCGAGCGCCGCCGATACAACACTATAGAGCGCGAGCGTCGCTATGAGGAGGATCGGGTTCGGCGCAGTGACCGCCATCGTGACCGAGACCGTGACCGAGACCGTGACCGCGACCGTGACCGTAATCCTGATCGCTTCGACAGACGATATAGGGACATCGACCCAAGGAAGTTCGCCTCGCTCCGACGTGATAAAGATGATGACGACAGAAGAAAAGGTGAGTCCTACGTGCTTATTAAATTATGGATAAAGTATGTCGCAACGTTACAATTCCGGCTATCACGATAACATGATAGTTGTGACAGCTGATAATAGTGTTGCGACATCATCTTAGTTAGTTACTTTCGTGTAGTAGGAGATGATTCGTGGTTAATTTTAATTTACCACACGAATATAAATAAAAAAGAACCGGCTCCAGCTTGATATGATTAACTTTTTAAGCGTCTTTGAGAATTTTTGTATTTTTTTTATGTTACTTCGCTATTATCAATTTTGATATTTTCGGTTGCATTTGCTAGAATTGTCTCAGAGTATTTAGAAAGTACATTATTTTATCACTAGCATTGCCCGCGGCTCCGCCCGCGTTCAGATGACCGAAAACTAAATTCTTAGGTTTTACATATTAGTATACTCTTACATTGCAGTTTTTGTATTTTTTCTCAGAAATGAGATATTTTCCCGCGGTAAAAAGTATCCAATATGTTGATCCGAATAACCAGCTATCACCATACCAAATTTCATCAAAATCCCTCCAGTGGTTTTTCTGTGACGCGGTAATAGACCGACAGACAGACACAGAAATACTAAAAACCTTAGATTCGGCCTTTGTATCGATAATAATGTTTATTTCAATAAGATTTTCCAAAAAATATTTAATGTACAGATTCGCCTTAGTTATAACATTATTTCACTATATATAGATTATGTCATTATTTAAAAATAAAATATGTACATTGTACATGCTTATTGAAGTTATGGGCACAAAGCTAGAGTAATTACTCGGCCATCCGCGGGCAGAGCTACATTTCCAGCTTATTTTAACTATGTACATTTTTTAAATCCCAATTGTTTTTTAAATACATTATTTATGTCAGTGATCAGTTGGAATATAATTTGTGTTGCAGTCGTAACGTTCAGTGGCGATGCTATATCTGATAGTAAATCCAAAGGTACTCGTACTTGTGACTGTGTTGCGGTGTTTTGTGCGCACGCGCAATCAATAAAGCTCTTTCTTTTTGCCGTGTAAAAATCAATTAGCTTCCGTTTGTCTTTCTGTTTTTCTTTTTTTTATTAAAAATATGTACTTTGCAATGATAAGTCGGAGTATTGTAAGGTAGACGAATGGTGTGTTCATTTGTATCAAGTAATGGCAATAAATTGGTGTACCTAGTTTACGGTCTACATACGTTTATTGTTCCGTTTCTTGAAGAAATTTTCTAATGTTTAACATAAACGTATGGTGGGACATAATAAGCGTAGCTGTTACTTGTAACAAATTACGCATGCTACAAGTAACAAGACTCGAATGTTCATCAAGTTTCGATAACACCCAGCTTTTTATTGGAAATTAAACTCTATTCATACACCATAAAAAACGAAATCATTTACGACATACGTTATGCAAAATTTAACAGCTACATTCATTTCAACATTAAAAAGGCATGTGCGAACGTTGCTAGCTTGTTTTCGTTTGAAAATGAATACAATATTTACTGTCATTGATTGATGTTAATAATAGTACTCGTAGGTGATACGAACGCCAATGCTAAGTTTTGATCTGAATTTAATATTTCAAACTTAAAATGAAGAATATCTCTATCTATTACTATGAATAATAATAAAAGCATGATATTGCTAACGTTGATATTTATTAAAAAAATTTTTTTTTCAAAGAATAAATGAATTGATTTTAGGCCAATTCCAATAACCTATCTGTGTCTTTAATTTTTCTTACTAGCAGTAAGAATTTGATATATGTAATTTGCATAGAGTAAAATATGATCTCTAGTAAGTTAAAGCACAGATATGTACAATATTAGGATTCATTGTCAGTAATTAATGTATGCCAATGTAGTCTGTGACAGAGAAGTTATAAGGAAATCGTCTGATTCGGTATGGACATGTGAAGAGGAGAGATGAATGAAATGGATGGAGAGGTAGAGGAAGACCGAAGAAAAGATGGATAGATTGTGAGAGAGAGAACATGAAAGAGAAAGAGGTGAATGTTGAGATACGAGTAATAGTAGAGAGTGGAAAAGGAAGACTTATTGTAACTGTTACGATCCCAAGTAATTTGGGAAACGGTCAGGGAGATGATGATGATGAGAGTATGTTCATATGTATACGAGTGGTCGTGTCTCGTGACAGGCGAGACGTACTCATCGGGGTCGCGCGCGGGCTCGCGCGAGGCGACGGCCACGGACGAGGACGGTGAGGAGCCGCGCCGGCGCGCGCCCCGCGACGACCGCCGCAGGCATCGACACCGTCATTATTATGAAGGTAGGAAGAATAGATCGCTTGCTAAATCACGGGAAACGGGTTCGTATTCCATGACCCATTCTCATATTCAACATTAATATCACTTGCCTTACGGTTAGGGTAAACATCATGAGGAAACCTGGTTGTCTGAGAAAACTTAATCATGTTTACAAAGACATGTGAAGTTTACCAACCCACACTTGGTTAGCGTGATGGACAATGGCTTTATTTTCATCGTTTTGGGGAAAGTTCATCCCATTAGACGTTGGAAAAAGCTGAATTTTTATTATGTTATTATATAGAGACAATTAAAATACTTAGCGTTTTACTTTGGACTCGAATATCGTAATAACTGTGTCTTAACTTGTGATTTTTTTTTTAAATATTAAAAATAAACAAGAAATATTAAATTTCTTGTTTATTTTTATGAGTATATCTTTATATTATCGCACTGTTATTATAAATCTGAAAGTATGTACGTGTGTATGTTTGTTATTTTTACATGTTGATTTTGATGAAATACGCAGATACGAACACTGTACTGTTAATAATATTTAAATCACTTTTTGTATTTAACGTTTAATTAAGATAACAATTAAAAATCAAAATATTTAACAAAAATACAAGTTTTTCTGACTACCCACATCCACAGGGTACGTCGGCGCGCCAGTGGCTGCGGTCCCGGGGGTGGTGGGCGCGGGGACGGCGGGCGCGGGGGCGGGGGCGTGGGATCGTGGGGCGCTGGAGGCGCAGTGCCGCCAGTACGAGTACTACGAGCGGCTGCGGCGCTCCGACCCCGCCGCCTACATGCGCGTCTACAAGCAGCTGCTGCACCCCGGCCTCTATGCCGCCAACCTTTACGACGGTGAGGGTCGCTTGCCTTCCACTACTCCACCTTATTGTATAGATTGATAGTTTATTTTCATTAATGTCATTTCTTTGTGTGTCAAAGGCTACGGCGCGATGGAGTACGAGGCGCGCGCGGAGGAGCGCGGCAGCGTGCACTCCGGCCGCTCCAGTGCCAACGGGCTCAAGCCCGCCGACACGTACGTATTGCGCCCATACAACCATACCATACAAACCATATGTCATTCATGCCATACATCATACACGCCACACAACATTATACACGCCATACATTAACTATCAAAGCTGTGTGAATTTGTTCTTACATGGAGTGTGCATTTTACTGCATTTAACGAGCACAATTTTATATGTTTATACAATCGTTACTTAGGTAATTTTTGGGAGCTTTACAAAATCAGTACATTTTAAAGCATTAAAGCAAAGCACGCGCCCGTATTTAATCAATTGCTTAACATGCATATTTATTTATTAGTAATTAAACCAGTGACTTATGTCCACTTTTCAATACATCAAATTCTATTAAAATATCGGTAAATATAAGCAATGTATATAAAAGCCTTTACTAATGTTAGTGGCTATATGCAGAGACCATACAGCCAGCCTCTTTGGTCCTTCGAGCCACATTGCCGGTGTTACTAGGTATGAAAAGGTTGTGATGCTTTCTATTTTGTATTGTATATAGCTTTCATAATATGTATATAAGTACTTATTCGACACACTATACGGGGACCATATAAATTGCCATAGAAATAAAAACAAAGAAGAGTTAACTCATTCACCAGCTTACAAATTACAACTAACATCATTTTAATGTCAAATTAATACTATTTTATATATTACTACGACTCACCCTCGCTCCGCTCGGGTTCGTTCCTGGGGTGGGGTCTGGGAGGACCACCTTATCACTTAGGGGATGGAAAATAGATAGTAGCCGATTCTCAGACCTACTGAATACGCATATAAAATTTGGTAAAAATCGGTAAAGCCGTTTCGGAGGAGTACGGTAACTAACATTGTGACATGGAAATTTTATATATTAGATTAAGTTTAGTAAGGTTTCAACATCACTTATTTAAACAAAGTATTGGTTAAAATAAAAATAATTTATAATTATATTCCCATAGATCAAAAAAGTATATAATCAGTGACAAAAAATATCCTCACCGAATGAGCGCTCATTTGAACATTTGAGCGCGCTTTTAATTATTTTTTTGTGAAAACAACTTTAAGCATTGCATGTAAGGTACAATTTACATTGTTGTATATTTATTTCAACTACTATAATTACCTAAACATAATCGGTGACAGTTTTAAGAGAACTTTTGCATGGGATTGTGTAGCTAGTATTTTTTTGATCGATATATATTTCTCATAAATATTATTGTAACTTTGAGTTAAGTGATGTTAAAACTTTATCATAACAGGTCTAGTTTATTAAGTTAAATATGGCTTAAGAAGAAAATTATTAGAATATATATATACGTATGCGTATACAAACTATACGCTTATATAATACTAAGATCAAAAATAGTCCGCTTTCAACAATAATTAGTCTTATCTATTAAATAATAGGTAGGTTTCTGTAGATAAAAATGTTTTTTTTACCAATATATTTTTAGTTAAAAAAAATATTTTAATTTCTTACACATTTTATTTCAATTTCTTTTTTTTTATAAATACAATTTAGTATATAAATGATTCATCAAAAGCACAATTGCTTGCGCACATTACTGTAATTACTAATTATAGATTTGTAATATTAACACAAACTACATTGACAGAAACATCGTCGTCTAAATTCTTTAAAAAGTGGAAATAATTGGATACATTAAATATATTAATGTATTATATTCATAGACGACAATATTAGTACATGAAAACACATAATATATGTATAGCAAAACTTTTTTTGAGATTTGTTTAGAAGTAAATAATGAATAGTGATACAGTAGTGTGCGCGTCGACCGGGTCGTAGTGTGCATAGTGTATAGTGTGGTGGGCGTAGGTACTGCGGGCGCGCGCGCGACGCCGCCTCGCTGCGCACCGACGGCTCCGACAGGTACGCGGGCACTCACCTCTAAAATATTCTTAAATCGTTTTATGGTATCTTAAAAACTTTCCTGAGTGACGTCAATATTTGACATTTTAAATAAAACTATTATTTTATGGAACGAAGTGCCGTATCGTACGTTACTCGGCATACTTGATGTATGAGAGCTAAACGGAACAAGTGTAATATTTCGAACGTCACGACACTTTTTGTTATATACTAAGAGCACTCCATGTGACGTCAGCACAAGTACCAGGCCAGCATAAGTGTTCATTAAGGATGTATGTTGTAAAAAAGAAATTCGTGTGCACTCTTTGCAAGTTTTTCTTTGATGATCTTCAAGTTGTATAATGTACGTTGATTGATGTGTATGCTACCCTGATACTCGTGACAATGTGTATGAGCCCAAAGCGGACAGCGACCAGGTGTTCCGCGATACAGACCGACTTTTTTTGCGGTGTGTTTTGTTCCCGACATTTCTCATGTTCATCTTTTAAATCATTTTATGATTAAAGGTAGCCACTGTATACATGGTCATTTTTAATTTACTGAAAACCTTTTGGGAATATACTATTTACATCATAACAACATCTGTAAGAAAAAAAAATCTTAAATTTAACAAAAATAAAAATATTTTTATTGCACCTTCTCAGCGGTAATAGTCCAGCATTAGCAAAAGAAAGTGCGTGTCCGGTGGAGGGGGAGGGGTGGAGGGGTGTAGGAAGCCGCGCTTACTCATTTAAACTTGGCCAGATGCTAGAACTTTAAAGTTTAGAAGGTGCACAAAAATATTTTTATTTTTGTATGAAAATAAAAATTTAAGATACGAGTATATTGTTTTTTTTCTTACAGATGTTGTTGTTATGTTGTAAATAGTGTATTCCCAAAAGGTTTTCAGTAAATTACAAATGACCCTGTATAATCATTATGATCTTTTAGAGGTCAAATCTCACGTAGTCTTTCCATGTCTCGTCACCACATTTGCTGTAAAGCATTCGAAACGTCAGGAACAAAAAAAATTACAATTGCACGGCAGGGAAACCCAAAAAGATAGTTTTATTTAAAGCCTGTTTTAAGTATTGATCGTTATATTATTTATTGGTTTTGGTTTGATCTTCATTGTTGTGCACGTAACTGCATCCTCACTACATGCTTGCTATTTCATGAATATTTTTATTTTTACTTACTTGGTAGATTGTTTTAATTTTTAAGTAAAAGTACAATTTTATATTTATTTGTATTTTGTATCGTTTACGGTAGAGGTGTACGCGATATATTATGTTGTTTGTTGTTATATTTTAATTAAATTAAAAAATAAATAATAACGTGCTAAAAACTTTATGAAAGTGAAATTTATTTATATGTACTGTTAACTAACTAGTCTTGATTAATAAAACAAACTGCTAATTAAATGTAAACGTGTAGTAGTTGTGACGTCTGTATGTATGTATATATGTATGTTAGCATGTTAGGGAGGAGTTTAAAAACTTTTTTAAGCTTGTGGGCAGAATTTGTAGCTTATAAAATATTTACTCAACATTATGAGGTGGCCCATTGATTATGATTGATGAATAAATAATTAATTTAAATTTTTGGTTTGGCCACCTAAAAATGTTGAGTAAAAAATTGATTTCTTTTTCTTTCAAAAAACTGTTTTTTTGTAAACAACAAATTCTACCCCCAAACTAAAAAAAAAATTTTTCCGCTCCTTCCTAATGTATATGACATTTGAATAGATATAATAGGTATTTTTAAATGATACCGATGTATGTGTATATCAACCAGGGAGCTGACGACAGACATGTCGCTGAACTTGCACCTGGAGGAGTCCACGGTGCGCTCGGAGCGCATGACGCCCTTCAAGTACTCCACCGCGCATGTTAAGGTATAGCTGTTATTTATAAATAATGATAAACATTTTTTGTTGGGTTTTAGGTTAGTAATTAAGATTTAAACAGATTTAATAATAAAAAATAAAAAATTAATGAAAATCAAAAAACAGCAATAGAGTTGACACTACAGTATTAGACTTCGAAACCGTTCGACATGAAAATTGGAATTTTTGACGAGTCCCACATTTTCATTAAGAACAAAAGCAGTCACATATTGTAGAGATTTTTATTCTGTGATACGAGGTTGATATAAAATAATTAAGTGCGAATTGGATTTGCATACGAAGGGTTCCATACTATCGCGTAACACAACACTAATTGTTTTTTTATTAGCATGGTGGCCATTTTGAAATTCGCCATCTTGGTTTTTCATTAATTATTGCTACAGCGGTAATGTAAATACACACTGTGTGAATAATTGAAGTGTGTACTTATGCCATGTGCGCGCAGGGCGTGCTGTGCGCGGACGCGCTGGTGGTGGTGCCGGCGGGCTACCCGGTGGACGCGCGCGCCGCGCCGCTGCGCGTGCTGCCGCTGCGCGCGCTGCTGCCCGCCGCCGGCCCCGCGCCCGCGCCCGGCCCGCTGGTCAAAGGTACGCACCGCTATTCTTGTATTCATTATTGCACAAATAGTACAAACGGTAAGTGGATAGAATAAGTAACTTCCCTCCTAATGTAGTGAGGTTCGTACCCAGAAGTAGGGCAATAATATAAGCTGAACATATTTCTTTAATTCATTGTTTGAAATGGAACAATTCATGGAACGACTCGTTGTCCAGGGTCACGGTTGGGGGAACGCGGTCGATCACCCACGTGGAGAGTTTGTTTGTTTTAATGTACTAAGGTCAGGAACCACTAATCCGATTTGAAAATTTTTTTTACAATAGATAGCCCATTTATTGGGGAAGGCTACAGGCTATATGTCATCATGCTACTACCGAAGGGAGCGGAGCAGTAATCATAAATGTCAGCAAACAAAATCGAGCAAATTTCCATACATTATTGTAAAGGGAAGGGAAAGGAGAGTTTGTTTTTTTGTACTTTGAATGCGGGCGAAGCCGCGGGTACTGCTAGTATTTTATAAAGGACAATTAAATAATTATCCCAAGTTTATATATAGCTTAAACAATGTCCCACGCAGGTGTGACCCACAAGAAGAGCGTGGTGGAGTACTGCGCGGCGCAGGCGCGGGCGGCGGCGGGGGAGGGCGCGGGGGAGAGGGACGGCGCCGGCTGGGCGCTCGTGTGGGAGCTGCTGGCGCTGCTGCTGCGGCAGAACGGGGTGCGCCCACGCTCACACTCATGATACCCCCACGTTTAATATCTTGATGACAATATCCTTTTGAAACTACAATTTTATACACACACATATATATATATATATACACATATATATATATATACACATATATATATATACACACATATATATATATATATATATATATATATATATATATATATATATAACAAAGTCGGGTTTGTTACAACACTTATAACTCGAAAACTGCTGGACCGATTTTTATGGTTTTTAATTTGTTGGATTTGTTTATATCCCGAATAGCAGAATAACTATTAAAATATCGAAAAAAATTAATTAAAACTTACATGGCTAATGCTGGCTAATAACTATTTAAAATTTACCTAGCGACGAACCCGAGCGAGGGTGAGCCGCTAGTAATAATATACCTAATATAATTAGGTAAATGTTACTTCAACAAATATATATTATATTATTTATATATATTTATAAATTACACAAACACTGTTTTGTTGTAATATTATTATATTAATTATAATATTATTACTAATTAAACATTTACACAATTGCAGGTTGTAGTGGGTTCTGATATCGCAGAACTGCTGATGAAGAATACGAAAGAGTTTGAATATAAGCCGCCATCTGTTAAGAACACTGGTAAATTTATATACTTTATACTATTATATACTCAAAAAATAGTATGTTCTCTTTACTTGAATTAAATATTTTACATATGTTTTAATATAGACAATAACATTAAGAATATTTTATCGAAAACGAATCGTCTCATTAATTTACTTTTTATAACGTCCCAAATACACAGTAGCCATACCCGTAAATATCAATTCTGATACTATGACATTTTTTATAGATAGTTTCATATAGTTATTGTTTAAATACAGATTATAAACGTGATTCGGAACCGTCCTCGGACGTCGAGGACGAGCCTGCCGCGCCCGCTGCGGAACTCATTCGTAAGTTATGCTTATTTTAAATGATTTATCATTTTAACGTTGATCTGTTGATGCTAAAACTATGTACTAAAGGTACCTGTAACTTATTCTCAGATGCACTAATCATTCAATAAATATTAGTATTTTAAAAACGCAGCCCAATCAAAATACATTTTTAAAATTGAAAACGTAACAACAATTTTACAAATATTTGGTCCTTCGAGCCGGATATTTGTGTAGCTTAATAAAATATTAATGCTGTTACAGTATCTGTAAAAAATGTTATTTATGAAATAATAAATGGTTGTCGGGGATGTTTTCAGCTCAAGAGGAGGAGGTGAAGAAGCCCGTGGTGGACGAGCGGGAGGCGCTGGAGCGCTTCCGGGAGTACCTCATTTATGGCAACAGGGAGGAGGCTTTGGGTGAGTGGCTGTCACACTATCCTTAATAATATTAGTGTTTTTTTTATTTAAAAAAAAAACTCTTCGATTTTTTTCGTGGATTTATTTTGATTTTTAGTTCCCGATGTTTAAAGATAGTTTTATTTAAAATGTCAAATAATCGGGTAAATCTAAGAAAGTTTTGATGTCATTATGGTTTTTTAATTTTAAATATTTCATACACACATTGCATACTAGCCACACCCTCGCTTGATTTCATGGGATTTAATTATTTTGCGGGAAACTTTAATTCCTTTTCTAAAGTAAAATTAACCTAATAACATTAGCTATCTACCAGTGAAAGTCCCGTCAAATGTGTACGTCAGCACTGTCACTATAATTGGTCCAGCCGTTTTGGAGATCAGCTGGAACAAATAGGCAGACAGACACACAAAAATTTAAACCCTACGAAAAATCGCTTGGAAAAGGGAATAAAGACCATATGGAAAAGGATCAAGATTTATAGTCTTTGGCACAGTTTTAATATAATGTACATATAACTAATGCAGTTATTAACATAGAAACTGTTTATGATATTATATGCGAAAATGATATTCTTAGTAAATAAATAATTAGTAAATAAATAAACGGTAAACAAATAATATAAATATTATGTGGTAACACTTGCACGTTCGCGCGCGTGTCCCGCAGAGTGGGCGATGCGGTGCGGGCTGTGGGGCCACGCGCTGCAGCTGGCGGGCGCGCGGCGGGAGCGCGCCGCCGTGTGCGCGCGCTTCGTGGCCGCGCTGGCGCCCGCCGACCCGCTGCACTCGCTTTACGCCGCGCTGGCGCTGCGCGCGCCGCCCGCCGCCACCGTCAGTACACACACACATTCTAATATTTCACCATTATTTATTTAGTATATCTAATATGTAATAATGTCACTACGGAAAAAAACGCACGAATTCGTATGTGGCTGGCTACCTTATCCCCGACTCTTCGACTGGGTTGCACTTATTTCATTTCATGCAAGATGAAATATTTTTTTTATAATCTTTATTGCTTTTGAAATAAGCCTATATCAATATTTTTACGTATTTTTTTAGGAAAATAATTATTAAAAACTGCAAATATAGGCGGAAAATTAAAAGTAGTTGAAACCATCGATCAGATCGAATATGGCGTTCAAATTAAGCATGGAAATGATTGCTACTTTTAAATCATTATCATGTGATAAAATTACGTATATTTTTCACGTGATTTCACCTGCTACTTTTCACGCATAGATTTTTGATTTCGACGGTCTGGTGTCACACTTTATATTATTTGCTATTAAAATGAAGTATGAAATGTCACCAATGGCGCTACTGATGTGATATGGAGCAGAGATATAGATCTGACGTAGTTGCATACGTACATGGTGCTTTGAATGAACCTATTTTCAAACAATGAACTTTCCCTCATACTTCTACAGGCTTGGGACTGACAATGTAAAATTAAATGAATTTTAAGTATATCAGAGTAATCACACGGTAAAATTGTATTAAGCTAAGTTCCATAATTACATTGGCGTATTTAAAAGTTCATTGTTTTTATGTACAATAAGAATTTTTATAAAAGAATTTTATACACTTTTTTTTTGTTTTTCTTAATTTTTTTAATTTGTTTATAATCATTTTTTTTGCTTTTTGATTTTTTTGATGATTGATTTTTTTATGAGATATCTATATACAATAGTCTTCATTGCTTTTTAAAAATACAAGTTCCGCTGTTCGTTTTCTGCTTAATCGTGCTCTTTTTTGGGTTGCAAAATTTCCCGCTTTTGAAAATACTCTCTCACACTCCACTGATGTCACCACGATGTGACAGTGCTCATGAAATATTTCCGCCAAATTGGGGTACATATAGGAGTGAGATTTCCACCAAACTAATGGCGAAGAATCGCGCGGAAGCACTGGTTCATTAATTTCTAGCTCGTTCTCAGCGTTGGTGGTTATGTCTGTACGTATTACACATAATCATTCAGTAAAAATTATCAGTATTTGTTGGATAAAAAACTAAAAATGTGCTCTAAATTTAATTGTTGTTTCTAATTTAAAATTATTTCTAAACAATATTTCTAAGAATCCGAAATCATGCAACTCGAAATAAATAAACTCCCCAATTTACTGATCAACGGTATTAACTGAAAATTGTATTTTGTTGAATAAAAAATCAATAAAAACATCGGTACGAAAATGTATACGGAAAATGCGAGTAACGAAATGCATTCGTGAGTAACGTTTCGGTACTCGGTACTAGATGGCGTACCCGTTACTCAGTAACGAATACATACGGTTTGCTACAGCTCTAGATTTCACCAAGTTGTGATTTGTAGCAGTCACTATGAATTTAAGTAGCAGGTGTGACGTATGATAACGCATTTCACGTTTTTACGTTACAACATTTTTCACTTGCTACTCGTGAAATGTTCCATGCCTAGTTCAAATCTATAATAACAGAGCCAGTGTTGCCAATTTAGCGACAGAATCTTTAAATTGCCAACACTGGTTCTGGTATTATAAACTATGACGTCCCACTAAGCGCGCCAATATAGCGGGCGTTTAAAGTATCTATATTAGTATAATTTTTTTTTAAATGTGTATTATATTGAATTTTAGTTATTTGGAGCTGTTTTTTTTTACAATTATATAACGACAAAATATAATATTATAATAAACGCAAAAATTAAAAGAATAAGAATATAACTATTTACCTAGGACAGGATGGTCTCGTTTAAATTATTGGACAAGTACAGTTTTATTGTATTATTGTTGTTACAAAATTCATTTTTTGGATTCAAATATTAAATAATTAAATACGTCATTCTTTATAATTTCTATTCAATTCGATTTTATGCCTCATTAATTTTTGCATAGTATTATATCTATAAATCTATACTACTATATGGAGAGCCGATTTATTTGTTTGGTTATACTGCGATAACTACTGAACCGATCGGTATAATAATCATACCATAAGATGCAGCGTGTTTCGGAGAAGGTTTTAGTATATGATATGTTGGTGATTTATGTACTATGCGGGCGGAGCCGCAAGAAAACGCTAGTCATTCTATATGCACGTAATGACGTATTGTATTATTTTAATAATTTTTTTTGTTATACAGTGTGTGTCGGACGAGCGGTGGGGCGACTGGCGCCCGCACGCCGCCATCATCCTCGCCAACGCCTCGTCCAAGCCGGAGCAGGACCGGCGCACGCTCACACAGCTCGGTCAGGCACCTATACTGTTTATTATTTACTATAATTTTGCATATTACCGTCATGTGTAATATAAATAAAATAAAGTAAAAAATTTGCTTTCATAAAATATTGAATGTACATTGTACATATTCAACTTCTTTCTGCTCTCACTTTTCTATATGTTGTTTTACTCGCCACAATAATGTTATTTATATTATAATTATTCTATTATTGCCTGTACAGGTGACTCGTTGAACGCGCGCGGGCTGCTGTATTCGGCGCAGTTCTGCTACCTGTCGGCGGGCGTGCCCTTCGCGGCGCACCCGCTGGCGCCGCACCGCGCGCCGCCCGCCCCCGGGCAGGACGCGCCGCCCGCCCACGGCACCGCGCCGCCGCGCCTGTCGCTGCTGCTGGCGGACCCGCGCGCGGAGTCGCTGGCGCGCTTCGCCACCGACCACGCGATCTTCGCCACGGAGATATACGAGTACGCGATGTCGCTCAGCCAGGACTTCGTGCTCGACGAGCTGGTGGTCAGTGTGCCTTCTGAATGTTTTGCCAGTTTCTTTTGTTTTATGATTGTTTTTTTTTAAATTTAAATTGAAAAATATAATGAAAAAGGAAATATTCATTTACTGATTTTTATTTACATTTAGCTTATTTTATATTACATTTTTATGATTATATCCGAAACTATGAGAAATATTAAAAATACTAAAAAAAGTCTAAGTCAATTTTGATTATAAATTGAAGTGGAATAATTATAGTTTGAAATAGAAATGTTTCGTGGCAGGTGTACAAGTTGGTGGCGGCGGCGCGGCTGGCGGACGCGGGACGCGGCGCGCGCGCGCTGCGCTACGCCGAGGCGGCCGCGCGCGCGCTCACCGCCGCGCCGCGCCGCCACGCGCCCTCACTGGCGCGCGCCGTGGCCGCGCTCGCCGACAGGTACCATACGTGTGCTTACACCACGACGCGACAGTCGGCTAGTGACAGAGAACACATTATATTATATAAATATATCCTATAGCATTCGGCAAAAATAGGTTCCTATTAATGAAACAATATTTAAAATCGGATCAATAGTTTCAAAGATTATAATATATTTAACTATAAACTATAAATACAAACTGAGAAACTACATTTTTCTCATTTTCTCTGTGTCGATTTTTATTCTATTTATTTTCTAGCTATTTTTTTTACTAACACCTAAATAATTATACAATTGTGTAATGTGATTATATGTGAACATCGTAGGCTGAAGTACTTCGACCCGGCGCTGCAGGACGAGGGCGCGGCGGGCGCGGAGGGCGCGGATTGCGCGGAGGGCGAGGGCGAGGGCGGGACGGAGGGCGAGCGCAGCGCCGGCGCCTCGCCGCGCCACCAGCAGTGGCTGCGCGATGTGCAGGCCGTCGCGCTGCAGCTCTCCGTGCGTAAACACCACACACACACATACGCGCGCGCGCACGCACACATACACACCTGCTAATAAAATCACAGAAGAAACTAAATTTACTAAGTCATTTTAATTAAAAGAGAATCAAAATAAACATGTGACAGAAAGGATTAACGATTTTTGAGTTATTGTTTAAAATAAAAATTTCATGTAATAGCTATTATTGATATTAATAGCCACACATATTTCACACTAATATTATAACTACAACAGTTTATGAATGAATGAATGAATGAATATTAATCGAAAAATTAAGGATGAAGATAGCTTATGTATTCTAAATCAACACAATACTACTTTAACAGAGATCCAAACTGAACAATTAATTAATTAATTAATTAAAAGAAGTGGTATATGTGTGTGCAGGCGGAGGCGTCGCAGCAGAGCACGCCGCAGCACCGCGCGCCCGGCGCCGGCTGGCTGGACCAGGTCGGCTTCCTACCATACTAGAGTTATTTATATTGAAATGAGACAATAATTTTCAATTGCCTTTCATATTAACAATGTTGAATTTGTAAGACAATTTTCAATGAAATTAAATAGCACTTACAATTTAATATAGTAAATATTAAATGGTTTTGTTGTTGTGCCGCGATTTTATGAATGAATGAAGATAAAACGGTCTATACCGTTTTATCTTCATTCCGATACACCTAATAATTTCGGTGTTTTAGTATACTGCCAAAGGTCAATAACTTGCATACTAAAGTTACAAATTATACATAATTTCAGACGCTCCAACAGACCCAGCAAGTCCCACAGTATCCCGAGCCATTGGAAGATACTACCGACTATTCCCAATACTACCAACAACAGAACCAGCAGCAGCAGCAGTTCCACCAACAGAACCAGCAGCAGCAGCAGTTCCTCCAACAGCATCAGCAACTGCAGCAGCAGCAGCTGCAGCAACAACAGCTACAGCAAGTGCCCGAGTACGTGCCGGAACAGCAGCAGTACGACCAGCAATACGGCTACGAGGAGCATGCGCAGTCCTACGCAGACCCGTACTGGCAGAATGACACACACTATGGATATGATGTGAGTACTCCTGTTGTTCTTCATAATATTATTAGATAATTTCTTATTTTGTTATGTTATATTACTTTTTCACAATGTGTTGTAATATTTATTATAGAAACATACTCTGAGAAATCAATTTTAAAGATTAAATACATAATTACAATTATTATGTCGGGTTATAAACTATATATTTTTTAATTATGAAATGGATTTTCTTTTTTTTTTCAAATTATAACAATATATATTTTCAAATTATATTTGAAGAACACGATAGTGTAGCAGAAGTGGAATTACATAACAGTTGTTAGTGTTTTATCACTTTAAAGCAAATGTATGAATGAAATCGTTCATATGTTGGAAAATGTTAAAATCATTTCATTTGCGGCATTGCTTTACGATGATAGACGCGTTAGTGTGGTGCCATGTGCTATGTGCGAGTGTGCTAACGCGTGTGTGTGGGGCAGCCCGCGCCGCCCCCCGCCTCCGTGTGCCGCCAGCGCCGCCCGCCCCGCCCGCCCTCGCGCCCCGCCCACCGCCCCGCGCCGCCCGCCCAGCGCGCCCCGCCCGCCCTTGCCGCCCGGCGCGCCGCCAGCGGGGACGTCATCGGCAACACGGTCGAAGCCTGGGCGCGCGCCGCCGCCCAGGAGCGCGCGTACAAGCCCCTCGTGTTCGGCGGCACCTACCCCATCGACGAGCCGGCCGACCCCGACGACGACGAAGACCCCCTGGCCCACAAACAGCGACTCAGGGAGACTGTGGAGAGGAGCGTGGAGAAGTTCGAGGCCATGTTGGCCAAGAGAGGGCAGAAAGTGTGGAGAGACCTGGCCGGCGGGGACGAGGCCTTCGCCCGCACGTTCGCCATCGACGAGCCCACGGCGTGGCGCGACGGCGACCCGCTGCCGCGGGACCGGGACGGCCGCTACTACGTTGCGGGGCCCGAGACCTTCGACATCGACGAGCCCGTCCCGCTCATTTAGAGTTGAATGGTGATTTTGTGACATTGTGCCGTTGTGTTAGGTAGCCGCCGCCCGACGACGCCCGCGCCCGCGCGCTGCCCGGAGCGGAGATGGTAAACCTTATTGAGTCCATTATAACTATAGTTATAGTGACACATAAGCAGTATTTTTGAGATTTTTATTACGTTTGCCGAATGAAACTTTGAATTAAAACCAAATGCAAGTGTTTTCAAAATGTTTATTACGCCAAACTTTTTGCCATCTCTGAATTAAAGTAATATATAAGTAGATACAGAGCTTCCAAGCAGGTAGGAAGTAGTGCAGAGACACATACAAATGATTTGCAATTCAGTTTCTTTACTCAATTTATCCATATTGTGGTCCAGGTCCATGGACCGTTCAGTAAATAATAGATTCCCTTTAATACATATCTTAATGGGTATATTCGATACTGACGAAACGTTAATTAATAAATAAAGTATTTAAAATTTTAATTCATTGAGTGGACTAATAATTGATCCATATGGACCAAGCTAAAATGCTTAATTGCTGCTTTAACTTAATCATTATGTACGCGTTTAATTTTAGAAAGGTGTTTATAAAATATATTGCGTTTACAAGCCTGTGATATTTTGGATTTAAAAAATCAAAATACCATTATTTTGATTTTTTAAATCGTGTTTGGTCTCAATGGATATTTTTCATCATAATTATTTATTAATTTATTTTTATAGTTTCCTAACTTTCTCTACATTTTGATTCATATGTCTTATTATTTATTTATATTAATTAAATACCAAAAAAAAAATAATCCAATTTTGTCACTGTTATTAATTATTTTTTTAATATTAAATGCTTACTGTTTTAACGTAAAATTATCTAAATCGAACATGTATATTGGTTACCACTGTTGTTATAGTTATACTTTACTGTTATGATGATGTCCTCCTAGCCGATTCCGGCTACGGCGGCCATTCTCATTGAGATTAGCCAACTGCGCAGGAGATATTATAGTGCTCAAGTGTACGCGCAGACACAAGTGCACTCTCTATTACTTTACAGAAGTGAAGATTTACTATACAGAAAGTCTCAATAACTAAACAGCCCGGAGTTGGGAAGTTGGCGGTGTTTCACTCCCGTGCCTCGGAGAGCACGTAAAGCCGTCGGTCCTGCGCAGACACTCACTGGTCGTGTCGAGTGTTCGTCCCACCGGAGTATGCGAGTGATAGGAATAGAGAGTGCACGTTGTGTCTGCGCGTACACTTGAGCACTATAATATCTCCTGCGCAGTTGGCTAATCTCATTGAGATTGGCCGCCGTGGCCGGAATCGGCTAGGAGAACATCATCATCATCACTTTAGTGTTGTATAGCACCCACTAACTAATCTATGTAATTTGTAGTGCTGCCAATAAATGTCTACTAAAATGTTTTTGTGTTTTATTTTAACTCCATAGTATAAAAAAATCTTAACGTTTATGGCGATGACCATCTGGCTCAGTGGTATCGGATGTGTAATATTGTTAAATTTTTTTGAAACATTCTATTTTCCAGATTTTGTTCAATTTTTTTATATTGGAAAATGATAATGATTCTAAATCTTATTACAGAAGTAATAAGGAATAAATTCTCTGCGAATTGAAATAAAATAGTTTAAATAAATCTTTTTTTTCGGATTTTTTCATGGATTTATTTTGATTTTTGGTTCCCGACGTTTCGAATGCTTTACAGGAATCATGGTCACGGGAAACTGAGGTTTTAGACCTCTGAAAGGCAACCAAAAGTCAAAATAAATCCGCGAAAAAATCCGAAAAGATAGTTTTTTTTTAAATGTTAAATATTCGCGTTAATGTAAGAAAGTATTATGTAATAAAATACTTAAAAATAATGTTTTCTAAAAGTTGGGATTTTGTTATTACTGGATATAAAAAAATAAAAATTTACCGTCATCAAAAATTAATCATACTACAGGCGCTGCCACTAATCCACTTCAGTCGTAGGCCTTCTTTCGATTTCCTTTAATTAAAATGATAAAAATATAAACCATAAGAGCAATAAATAAGTTGACCGGACTGAAGTTCTTTTCGTCATTTACGACCTTCCTCTCACCTCATTTAATCTCAAAAACTATCCATTGCGACGCGACTTGCACTACCTTCAACCCGGACAAGTTGGGTAGGCGTAGGTTAGACAGTAATGTGATATATCAATATACATTGGTGACTCCCGGCCGCCAGGGCGCGGCGGGCGCGGCGGAGGAGGCGCCGCCCACCATCACGATGCCGGGCTCCGCGCCCTCCAAACCCGCCATGTTCGGCGACATGGACGACGACCGGCCCGCCTCGGCTGATGTGAGTACACTCCATTCATATGTATACATATATTGATTTCTGTAGAGATTTAGTCTAGGCCGAGTTCACAATAACAAGCAAATATAATAAATTAAAAAATTAATGACATAAAAGGTCTTTTTAAGTCTAAATTACGAGCTCAATTACTTATACTCACAATTTTACGTGGTATTACTTAAACGATGGTCGTATCTAGTGAATGTCGCTGTCACCAGTAGATATACCGCAACCTTTTACCATAACGCACTCCTATATACACCCATCAGCAGACGGAACGAGAGACGGACACGCCGAAGACGAACGGCAAGAAAGCGGAATCGAAGAACTCTGAAGGCGGCAAGGACAAGAAATCCGGCTGGCTCGGCGGCATCCTCACCAAGCTGTCGCTACGCGCGCCCAACCAGATGATCCTGCCCGACGACACCAACCCCACCGTGAGTAGCCCACGCCCACACCCACACCCACTCCCACTCTCCTCGCTACACCTGCCCACTCTAATGTGACACTTGCACCACAACTTCTAGTGAGGTTCCCACTTATCGCATACACGCAACTGTCGCACCTATATTACTTAACACTGTCTTGAGCTTATGTACTATATTTTACTTTCTATAACACTATTATGTGTAACATATAAACTCACAATACTATTTATGATACTATGTAAATGGTGAAAGTTAACATTTTCTTTTTATATAAATATGTATATTATTCATCTTATATATGAAGTTAAATGTAATTATAAATCATCTATCCCTTTCTAAGTTATTTCGCTAGTACTAATTATTAATGTTTTGTCACGTAAAATCATGGTTTAGATATATAAACAGTTAATATCTCGTCCCGTTTCTGTGTAAACCTCGTATCTACAAAATCTTAATTTTCAGTAAATCGATAAAAACGTTTAGAGTTACTTAATTTTCATAAAAAGTTATAACTTATTTAAAATTTATACTCTTTATTTATCACCTTAAAATAATTAAACATCATTTTTGCTATCTGCATCGATACCTTGTTGTTATTATCAATTTAACGTAGATACGAGTTTTTTCATCAAATACCCTGGTAACTTTTTTGCAGATACGAGGTTTAGAAATTAATTTTTTTTTTCTATAAGATCATTGGCGAAAATTTTTATTATGCAAGGCTTTCACATTCAATTCATTATTATTTTATATTTATTAATTAAAACAAATTCATTTGATTTTGATTTAATGTGTTATAAATCATATGATTACTATTTATAATATGATTTAATTATTTTTCAACCGACTTCAAAAAGGAGGAGGTTCTTTCAAATATGTTTACAATTTATTGAATAATGTACAAATTAACAGCAGGATAATCTGAAAAATAAGTAATAAGAAATAACTTGAACAATAACTAGAACTAAGAAGTAAGAATCAATTTTACAATTTTTTAAACTTATTTTCTTGATGTAATAGAAATCGGTTTTTTATATAACGGAGTGATGATATTTTTTCGATTTACATTTATTCTAGATTTTTTTTGAGGTAATAAGGTCCAATCGTTCTGGTAATCGAGTTTATAACACAGCCCAGTTGAATCGTATTTAAGACATTTTAAATCAGTAACTTGTGGATCTCCTGTTTTTGAACCGGGTCTTATCGATTTGTAAAAATTTATTTTAGAAAAATCCTTAAAAAATGTGTGATCAACATGAATAACTTTATATGGCTCTGGATTCATTCTAGCTTCTTTGATGATGCGAACAAAATCTGATGGCACGTAGAGTTCCTTGTTTTTCTTTTTTCTTTCAATAGATGAATGAACAGAGTCGCACTCCATTTGTGTATGACCAACAGTTAAATATTTCTGATAAATAGTTGTCTCAAATTTTACCAAATTTTAATAATTTTATATGTATTCATATGAATAAAAAATAAATGTCAATCAACAAAATACAGTCAACTTAAGTGTGAACATGTTTACAAACATTCAGTAATAAGACAACAACGCCATCTTAACGTTTTCAGCGATACTTACGGTAGATACGAGGTTTTTGAATTCGAACATGTAGATACGAGAAAAATCAAAAGCCTCTAAAAAAAATTCTATCAACATTATGAACATTGCATGTTTTGTTTTACGTTACAAGAGTGCTAAGGAGTGATTTTCGCTAAAAATCTCAATTTCGAAAAAAATGGAGTTACGAGGTTTACACAGAAAGGGGACGATCTGTTATTATTATTATTATTTTATATGTGTAAAATATTTATACTACGTCATTACATATATGTAATATGTCATGTAAATAGATTGCACTAGTTATGTACCTAAGTTTGGGCTAAGAATGGTGTTTCTAGTAAATGTAGATCTGTTTGATGTAAAATAAAGGCATTATTTACTCGTGTCTTTTATTACTTATCTTCTAATACATATTTACTGTTGTTATATAATTTAATGAATAAGATTATTTTTATATATATTTTGTATGTAATTCTTTTGTTTTAAAGAGGCAAGAGTTGATATATATATTCCACAGTGAACGTGTAGTTGGTGAAATTATTTATGATGCTACATTTTAATTTTTTTATAAATATTTAAGTACATAGAATTGGCTTAATTTATACTTTTTCAACTTAAAACTTCATATTTCTATATAAAGCATATAAATTAGTTGAAATACTTTATATACACATGCAGTCATTATTATATTAGTAAATAATTACTTCATAATCAAACCAATCACGTTAAAAGATTGCAAAAGTAAGAACCAAACAAATATAATAAAAATGCAAATAAAAATATAATGAAATATGCATGTCTATATACTTTAAAACATATAAAATACAAATGATACAATATAATAGCAGTTGATGTTTAAGTTTCATTCGAAGCTTAATTATTATTTACAATATAACTTTTATGTCAATTATTAATATAATTATATTATTATTTGGTTTCTTAATTAAGTATATTACATATTTCATTAAATTATAGTAAAATAATTCGTGTGAGTAATAAATAGCTTTACAAATGTAAGATTTTAGTCAAAAAGTTTTTAACAGCAAATGCCTATATTATATTATAATATGTTCATATAAATACTATCAGTGAGCAAAATAGATATTATATAATATGTATGTCGTATGTATGTGTGTGCGCGCGCAGATCGTGTGGGACGAGGAGCACAAGCGCTGGCGCGACACCGCCGCCGGCGCCGGCGCCGCGCCCGCGCCGCCCGCGCCGCCGCCCGCGCTGCCCGCCATGTGAGTCACATTCTCATTCAGCCATTTGTCATTTTTCATTCGTCTCCCGAATGACACGGCTTTCTCAAATTAATTAACTAGCAAACTAAATATAAATTAAAACTGCAATTGGTGCACGCGGCAAGCGGAGTCGCGCGCGCAACGACTGGCAGAGTCGCCATGTGATGACGTTATTAAGTGAGACAACCTTTATTTCCCAAGACCTGTTTATTATTAACTTATATGTTTTACATAAGTAGATACCGCGAGCCCCACTACAATAAATAATAACATTTGCAGGAGCACGTCGACGCCGCTGCAGTCGCCGGGCGCGCCGCCCGCCGCCGGCGCCCCCGTCGCCAATATCTTCAAGATGCAGAAGGGCCGGCGTGAGTACACTATGGGCCATAACAACACTTATAATAATATATCATTTAAATAAATATATATGTACATTTCATTTTTTTATACATTAAAAAAACCATTAAAACAAATATATATTTAAATGCGTAACTAAATCACTATTTTATTGCTATTATTAATCCAACATTAAGAGGACGAGGGAGAAATTGTCAACGACCTCTTTCTAAATTAATTATCATATGGGCGGGCAGATATAAAGAAGTCGTACGTGGACGTGCTGAACCCGGGCGGCGCCCCCGCCGCGCCCGCCCCCGCGCCGCCCGCCCTCGCGCCGTCCGCGCTGCTGCCGCCCGCCCCCGACAACTACTTCGTGCCCGCGCCGCTGCACGACCAGGTAACACGCCATAACCATTACTATTGACCACACTATACACACTGTCACCTTTCAAAACCTTAGAATGAAAAATGAACCCTTATAAGATCACTTGATTGTCCGTCCGTTTGTCTCTCTGTCCGCCTGTCTAAACCATTTTTCTAAGGAACGCTCAAAGGTACCAAGTTGAAATTAAGAGTCAATCTCGCACTTGTCCGATATTTTTATTTCATATATCTCGCAATGGAAATTTATAAGCTCATGTTAACTTTCCGTAAAGATAACGATAAAGCCTACATAGCTTATAGATTAACCACATACATTTGTACTAATGTGTAACTTAAAGGGTTGTAGCATTAAGTTGTCAACTGTTCCGCCATATATGTAGTAGTTTAGAGAATAATGTTAAAGCATAAATCTGATTGGATTGCACGCAGTACTCCCCCCCGCCCGTGCACGTGTCCATGCCCCCCTCCCCCGCCGCGACCCCCCGCGCCGCCCCCTCCCCCGTCCCCGCGCCGCACCCCCCCGAGGTACTCGCGTCAAGAAAATATATATAATTTATTGTTTGTTTATGTACGTACATGCAATCAGGAGTCTGACGTGCCTAATGGCCACTAGCAGGTAAAGTCTAAACTAGTAGAGTGATATATAATTGATAACTTATTGTAAGTTTCGAAGAGGCGTTGTTTTATTGTATGTATTTGTAATTTGCTGTCGTTATATTATGTTAGAGTGTTGGATATTTTTTTGTTAGTTTTCTTTTTATTTAATGGTATAATTTATTTTTTATGCTAACATGCTTTCAGTAGTTAATAAGAGTATTATGTGTTTTTTTTTTTATTTATGGTGTAAATATCTTTGTGGCGTTGCGAATATTCTCACATTTTTATTTTTTTATCGAACTACTAAATGTAGCCCCGAACTGTCGCGTTTTCGAGGTATTCGAAGATACAAACCACCAAATGAATTTTTTTATAATCATCAAAACTGATAAGTACATGTTAATATGCTGCATAATTAACTGTATTCAAGTAATAGTTCCCATACTTATCAGATTTTAAATCCTTACAATCTTTATCTCAGAATATCTCGGAAACGTGACAACATTATGGTGTTTGTTTTTTGTTTTATATAAAACTCCTCTATACATAACCACCATTTTCATCTTGAGCTCTAATTTAAAAAGAAAAATAAAATGACCAGAAGTAGCTGATGCCAGTATACAAAATTGTTGAAATAATTATAATTATATTTATATTTGTAGGGCGGCATATACGAGACGGCGCACGTCGCCGCCGCCGCCGACGACTTCCGCAGCGGCATCTGATCGCAGACCGCGCCGGACCAGACCAGAACACACCAGACCACACTAGACCAGACCACGTTAGACTAGATCATAAAAACAAACACATTTTCCCATTAGAACAAGACGGACTTGTTATGTTAGGTGTTAAGTTAGAAATACTTTATTTCATAGTATTCTGACATTACTTTTGACTACATTCCTAACTTTAGATCACATTACAAAAATCTAGACAATAATAGTCCTGAATCATAAATATTCCTAGTGAACGAGTAACAACGCTGCGGACATCCACCACGACCACGGTCTACGCACATTTGATATTTACAAGGTTTTCTATTATTTACATAATACAGTCATAAATGAAATGAAACTTGATTCAAATGGACTTAATTCAAGCACTTTTGAATAATTTTATTTATTAAATCAATAAAATTGAATAGCATTTCTCGCAGCTAGTACATATTGTAGGCTTTAGAACATTACGGTCTCATTAGGTTTGTATAACAAAAAAAACCTTCAAACTATTGAATGTGCGCAGACCCTCATAGGATTTATTGGTTAAAATATTTATGTAACAAAATGAATTTTAGCGTTTGAATAATTAAAATTAAGCAAGACTACGATTAGGAAAAGAATACAATTAATATAAAGGAGGAGTTTAAACCTGACGTTACATACGAGTGGACCTCGCTGCAAGGGACATGGCGACAACTTAATAATATCTACGAAGCAGTTTGTGATCTTTTTATATAATCAATTTAGAAAGTGTTAGTGAAATGGTGTTACTTGGACACGTCGCAGTGTCGCAGGTGCGGGGGAGGTTCGTCTCTCGAACATTCGTCCTACATATTTAGAGAACGACAAACCTTTCCCACATAGAATTTAGATTAAAATTCATAATATTTCAGTTTGAATGTTTAATGTATGACATTAAGAATAATGTTCTCATAAATACAACAGTGTTACACATATGTATGTATGTATTCTATACAAGCGTGGCCTTGGAGCTGCGAGACTTGGGGATATGTTACGTAGCGATGCGACAGAGACTCGATATCGTACGATCATTCATATGAATTTTGCTCATTTTTAATTTAATTGGTGTTTATTATTTGTCATATATTTTAAACTATATAGTGTCGCCATTCGATAATCGGCGATCCGTATCTGTAATTGTATACTAATATTTATTCAAGAAGACTGAAATAACTCTCATATCAAAACTTAATCTGGAACTATCTATAATGTATTCATTTATACTTCCTTACATAAATTCTATTTATACTTTAAATCCATGTAAATAATACTGACAACAGAACAATGGTGACACTATATGAATAAAAATATAATTTTGTTGATTTAAATGGAAAATTGGTATTATTATTTTATTATTACAATAATTGTATGCTTTATCTTCTATTTTATTCTTAGAAATTTCGTCCTTCTTTTTAATTGGTGCAATAACTCTCTCAAGCATAGACAATAAACTAACTTTTAGACTTTTATTTCCTCCGCATTGCAGTATCCATGTATAAATAAGATATGTACAGATAATGATTTTATATAAAAATGAAGGAGTTGTACAGAGGAAGCCGGGAAGGTGGAGGGGGGAGCGGCGCCAATGTTTGTATAAACTATCGCTAGAGTATCTGTATATTTGACTGCGGGCGCGTCGCGCTGTGTATTGCGAAATGTATTATAATTCATCATATGGAAATTATTTAAATAAATTGTTTATGTTAATGCTTATCGTGGTTGTTTTAATAAACCTTTTATATAAGTTGACATGGGATATTCAAAAAGATGATGTTCTCCTAGCCGATTCCGGCTACGGCGGCCAATCTCATTGAGATTAGCCAACTGCGCAGGAGATATTATAGTGCTCAAGTGTACGCGCAGACACAACGTGCACTCTCTATTCCTATCACTCTCATACTCCGGTGGGACGACCGCTCGACACGACCGGTGAGGGTTAAGGCGCAGGACCGACGGCTTTGCGTGCTCTCTGAGGCACGGGGGTGAAACACCGCCAACTTCCCAACTTCGGGCTGTTACTGAGACTTACTATACAGAAAGACTCAATAACTAAACTTGGCCCGACCCGGGACTCGAACCCAGGACCTCCGGGTGTGCAGCCGTACATGCTAGCCACTACACCACCGAGGCAGTTATATTCAAAAAGACGTATTCAGTGGCAGCACACTCACTTAGAAAACCATGAAGCGGTTTTCGCACCTGTGAGGTGTTCATGTGCGAGTCATTTTTAACATCATTATTAATTACCACCAGCTAATACGCCAAGAGAAACTAGGAATGGACCGCTAAACTATTACAAAAGCCTGATTCTATATTTAATTAAAAATAATTAATACAAAAGAAATAATTGGTTGTATATATAAAAGAAATAACATCGGTCATTTCAAATAATCAGACCACATGATAGGGTAGTTCTTTTTTTAAATTCCGTCGCAATGGCCTGCATATTGGTGACGAAATTATAAATCAACACGTAACCGTATACCACCAATAACAACACCTGCACCAGTGACATAACAGCCCCCACCATTTCATTCCAATTCATAGCTTAAAAGCAAATAACTGGTGCAATCTAGACTTAATTTGTATGTATTTGAAGAATTATTTTTTTGATGATATACTCGAATCTAATTTAACAATAGTTCTCAGAAAGTAGAAAGTAGCTGAAAATTAGATAATTTTAGAAATTGATTCTGCTATTATTGACATAAAATGACACTCTTCAAAATATTCTCCCTTTTTTATTTTAAGAATAATTAACTACATGTATAAAGGTGTTGTTATAAAGACCATACTTTAAGTCAGAATACACAGTAGTTTAAATAATCTCAACACCACACACGATCCAGCCAATCCCTGACGGTTGCTATGTTAATGTATAAAACCGGATCAGGATGAGTACACGCCGTATGATCGCGGCTGGATCACGCGGCTGCAGTGTGGATTAACGCTCATTAGAATAGATCCTAATTTTATTTCTAACTAGCAATGGCCGCGGCTCCGCCCGCTTTCAGATGACCAAAAACCAAATTCTTAGGTTTTACATATTAGTATACACTTACATTGCAGTTTTTGTATTTTTTCACAGAAATTAGTTATTTTCCCGCAGTAAAAAGTATCCTATATGTTGACCCGGATAAACAGCTATCATACCAAATTTCATCAAAATCCCTCCAGTGATTTTTCCGTGATGTGGTCACAGACAGACAATAATTCTAAAAACTATAGATTCAGCCATGAACGAATTGTGGCTAATTCGTTCATGGATTCAGCCTATAAATCTATAATAATGTCTATTTTAAGATTTTACAAAAAAAAATATGTACAGATTCGTGCTAGTTACAATAAACAATATCTGTATCTATTACCCAGTATTGTTGTGGATCTGTTTAAATGAAAAGAAACTCATGTTACAGCGCAAATTAGTGGAAAGCAAAAAAGTGGATAAAAATGGATATGGAAAGCATAACATAGACATTTGTAAAAAGATCTAAATTTTGAAGATATACATTTTAATGTATTTAAAAATAGTACACAGAAAAAGTATTTTTGCGTATTTCCTTTTTGTAATGCTAAATCAAATCACGATTGTGAAAAAAACAGTAAGTGCTTTTGTTTATGAAAACTTATTTTTTTCAATAAAAATAAAATAGAAAAAGAAAATTACTAAAAAAGAATAATCTTTTATTTGAATAATATTAACCATGACATCGATTTTTTATTTAAAACGTCGATTCTAATAAATATTAGTCACATCTTGGGGCTCCTCCCTAGCGCTGGCGGCCGTCACGAACTGCAACACGGACACGCCCAAGGTGCCCGCCACGAACACCGCCATCAGTACAGAGCAAGTCACCAACCCCTTCGTCATCCCCATGGCTTATTACTACCATCTACAGCCTACTCCAAATTTAGATCTATTTTGTGTGCCAATTTCATGGAGAAATACATAATAATTACTTAAAAAATAGATATGAATAAATCAACTCTGCAATGACTGACAGAAATTGACAACTTCAAAATCTCCTTGTCTTATTCTAAGAGAAAAATAGATTTTGTAACATTAAAAAGGCCACCTAATACACACAATGTACATATATTTTTATGAAAAAAAAAACTCAATAAATAACAGAATCTATCCAATCTCTAACCGCTGCTATATTAACGTACAAAGCCGGATCGCACGCGAGTCCACAGTGCGGGTTGTCGCTCATTACACCTAGCAGTACATTGCGGTACAGCAGGGGAGCCCCCGCGCAGTAGTTGCAGGGAGTGTTGCGGTTCTCTACGACGCCAGCGCATAAAGGAACTTTCCCGCAGGAGCCCCGAGAAATGGCTTCCCCGCCCACCAGGTGTCGCGGCGACCAGGTGGCGGTGTCGTTGGGACAATGTTTTATTGGAAGCTTGTACACTGAGACCTGACGGATGTTTCGCACCAGAGCATTCTTGTCTATGTTTCTAAAAAATTAAATTCATTAGTGGTATCGTTTTTCTATGCACATTTTTTTAATATTTCAAATATTACTTTATATATATTTTTATAGTTAAATTTAAGTACATGGTTTTTATTTATTAATTTTCAAGGGTTCACAACTAGAACATCATTAATTAAATGTATTGGGGATAATAAAGTAATTAAGTACAAATTATTTTCCTACATATTAATTCTGTGCATAATTACATATATTAAATATAAACATAAACAAATTACCTAAATTTTCCAAAACCAAGGAGATCCATTTTATCCCCAATTGTAACTGTTAGATAGTCTACTAAAGTCGGCAGTGTCACAAATATATTTCCTACTTTAACAAGATCATCTTCTGATTTAATTGCAGCTAAATCGTAACTTTTATTCACACCCTGATACAGTGGATGCATCATGATATCTGACACAGCATGGAGTCTGCCTTGACCTCCTTCTCCAAGCCCTTTCATCATAACAAATGAATCTAATGAATCCAACTCTTCTATTGATTCTATGCAGCTTGCCGCTGTCAATGTCCATTTCTCAGCAACAATAGTTAGAGTGCAACCAAATGTCACATCTTGAGGAGGTTTATATTTCACAAGAGCTAAGAGAAACCCTTTGACTATATCATTCACAAGTTCACCATCTAATGATTTATCTTTAACAAGTATTCCTGTACTTGTTGCCGTGTCACTTGATTTGTAAATATCTTTTGTGTGTATTGTTGGAGATTGATTACCTTCATAATAATGTGTAATAGCTATAGTTTTCACAGAAGGCTTCCAAGTACATGTGATTCCCTTCGGCAAAGGAGTTGGTGTTCTAACTGTTTGATATGTTACAGTATATGTTGTTTCTTTTTCAGTTAAAGTTACACTTGCAGTTCTTTTTGTAGTTTGATTTATTTCTATGTCTTCTTCTTTTTTGAAACAGACAATAAAATGAAGTATAGCAAAAGTAAGAAAAACAATTAAGATTATAAGAAATACAAATTGTAGTAGAGATAAATAGGCTTCCATTTTTGTGAATGACCTGCACCATCCTTTTAACTCTTTACAACAAACATTACACATTATATATATCAAACATTATTATATACCATAATAATGTGTGAGTGACAAACATGACCACAGAGATTTTAACATACTTCATAATAAGCTATAATAAAAAATACTTTGTCAATAATTTTATGTTTCGTCTTTATTATTATTAATTTTATTTTCTACTCGATTCTTCTTTGATACTTTTTGGGGCAATTAATATAGGTTTTCTAAATGGTCTATCTCTACAGCCAAATCTTAACTGCCCTGACTCTTTGCATCCACCTAAACCTCCACCAAGTCTTCTAGGTTTCCATCCTTGCAAACGTCTTTCAGCTTCTCTCTCTACAATAATTTCACTACCATCAATAAACTCCTTATGCATTTCCCTTAACACATGTTCTACACTTGATAAACTTTCAAATTCTATGAATGCATATTGCTTAGATTTACCAGTGACTATATCTCTCACCAAGCGACAGTTTAATATTTTACCAAATTTCAAGAATTCTGCATAAATTGTATCCTGGAAAAAAACATTTTCTAATTATATATAACTAAAAATATACAACAATTTTACATTTTTTTTAAGAATAAATTAAACCTGTGTTGTTCTTGGATTGAGTCTGGCTATAAACACAGTGTGATATGGATCACCTTTCACTTTCTTATTTGGAACGTACTCTGAACATAATGCCCTTAAAATGGCCCGATCATGTGGTTCCGTATCGGTACCTAAAAATTGAATTATGATAATAATTTAATAATAAATTACAAAGATATCTTCATAATAATATACCATACATACAATCTATTGAACCTATCTTAATAGGATCGTATACATCCGTTGCATACTTTTGATAGTTATCTTCACGTTTCATTTTAAAAATTTAAATCAAAATGATCATGTATTTAATAAATACAATAAGAATAAATTTAACAAATTGTTTACAATTTACAAATATGCCGAATGCCGATTGTCAAATGCCTTTTGAGTTTTGGCTAACTGTCAAATGTCAAGTGTTTTATATTGCTGAAGTTGACACTAGACAGACTATTTGCATTTGGCAAACCTGAAGAAACCACAGTAAATAATAACCTCTTGATTCATGATGATGAAAAGTAATTTTTAAGCTACTAAATACATATTTCTTTGCATAATATTCATATATTAATGTTCAAAATAATAAAAAATAAGTATTGGATTACATATTGTCACTTTCGACCATGAATTTTTGTTTAAATTTACTTGAATAAACCAATTAAGGCCTGCTAAAAATAGTTTTTTGTTTCAGTTTTAGAGATCATTCAATATTTTGAAACAGTTTTAGTTTTATATAATTTATTTAATAATAAATATTGAAAACCAAAAATTAAAATATATATGTAATGGTTCATACTTTATTGCAATTGCAATTTTATTCGACACAGGTGTGTGTATCTGGGGCCTGGGCACTTCCTCTACCAGTTTATATTTAATACTGAGTAGGTATATGACAAGTTAATAATGCAAGCGATAAAGTTGTTAATAAAATAAAACTCATGAATGTAATTAAAAAAGCATGTTCCACTATTAATTATGACTAACTGAAAATTATGTTCCAATATAATCTTTGTTGTTCACATAGGCACAGCTATTTTACATGAATCTGACAAAGACTATTTGTACTAAAAACAAATACATAAAGTATTAAAAGAATTAAAAATTCACACAAGATGTGAGTGTGCAATACATTCTCCTTACAAAAAATATACTTTAGTAATGATAAAACACTTTACGTGAAATTTACAATTGGGTACAGAATTATAAAAACATTCATTATATCTTCACGGAGATACTTCACTTTTGTGTACACATTGAACCATATAACACATTAATTTCCGACATATTCAATGTTTCAAGTATACAAAGTAATGTACCTTATTTAATTATCATTAGTAGATGCAGCTGGCAGATAAGTACCTAGTGGAGGAATAAGGAACAGTGATTTGTGCAAATAAAGATTAAGTGCATGTACGATGTGCTTATTGGTTTGCCTCCATTCAAATAATTATTTCAGAGTTGTATACATACACAGTGTATGTTTTTATTTTAATGCAAAAGCTATTTTGAAGTTGAAGAAGAAGAGTGCTAACTCTTAATGTCGGAAACTAACAAACAGTTTCCACTTGAGAGTATGGTTAAATGCAGTAGTAATAACTTATGTGTAATGTACACCCAGCTATCCCTATGCCAGCCAATAGAATTAAATTAAACAATCTGTAATTTTACTCTTCTTAAATAACATATTTAGTACTCAAAATCACAGCAACAAAAATATTTTGAAATTACAATTCCATTAAATCAATTTTACTAAGTAAAATTTCTGACAATAACATTTCCAATGAAATATGATATTTAAAGACTTGTTTTGCCCAATTATAACAAATGTTGTGCATGTGCAACTATGCCATAAACTTAACAGATTTTTTTGAGTAGTTATCTAAAAAATTATCAAATTTATGAAAAATAGCTGCCCATGATGATGCATGTTAACTGCAGAGGCCATGAAATTATTCAATATAATTTCTATACATAAATTAATACATAAAGTAATGGAATTTTTGCAACATATTTTAAGATACATTTTATATTAACTCTCCTCACTGTGTCACAGTATAAGTTCTAAACACAGCATGTGGACCTATTTAATTGAGAGAAGGAGACTGGCCTTCATCCCAAACCACATCAATACTAGGCCACTTGGTCTGCAGGCATGTCAACATAGGATCAGTGGTGGCAGCGCGCATTGGGCACTCTAGAAGTGCCGCACGACCTGTGCCATATGTCACTCGTCCCCCAGGATTACTGCGTGACAACCCATTATAATGATGGAGAGTGAATGTGTCAGGAGCACCACGTTCACAACCAGGAAAGAATTCGTCCATGAAAGCACTCAATAAAATTATTCCTAAGTTCTCTGAATCTAGTTTCCTTCTCATCAATTCCACATATTCTGGTTCACTAACCAGATCAGCAGCACATAAAACATCCTGTAGTGCTGCTGAGGGAATAAAATTGTTACCTTCTGGATCAAATGATCTAAAAATACGCTCAGCTGATTCCCCAGCTGTTTCAGGTGCTGCTAGTCGTCTTTCAAAGGAAAAAAGCACTGTCAAATGGGTCTCAGAAGCCAATACCCAGACAGGATGCTTTGGGTTTTTGTAAAAAGAGCCAACTGTGCAATATTGCATGTGTTCCATGATAGTTAGAAATCCTATGTCATTTTGTCTCTCAATTCCCCGCAAACGCAGTCCACCCACAACCTGGTCATGATCCCAAACATGTGCCACTGCTCTGCCTGTGAGCATGAGATTAATCAGTCCTTGAGAGCCATATCCATATGTAGAGTGTATAAGAGGATCAGATAGCTCAGAAAGCTCTGCCTCTACAGTACTGACTCCTTTGCTTAGAATGACACTATATAGTAAAAGAAGAACACCATACTTGTCCTTCAAAATACGAATGTTTCTTGTGTAGAATGCTTCAACTTCTGATAATGTTTGAAAAGAATGAACCTCAATTCTTCTGTGAAAATGATCAATAGTGTCACAAGATTGTTCCTCTGCACTAACATTGAGGCTGGTGCTTGTCTCTGCCTCTGTATCATTCTTCCGATATACGGCAACATTATACTTAGAAGCTAGACACTGACTTAAAATCGTACACACAGCCCTAACAAGTAAGGAATTGCACTTTTCAGAAGTCAAATCTTGAAGGCTATGCCCAGGTGTTTCCGACAAAAGGATCTTGAGAAGAAACCCTTGCACGGGAGCAATGGCGGCGCATGGCCCGCCCTCTTGTTGAATGAGAGCACTTGGTTCATCAGGACTGAACTGAAACCCTTGGGCCCAGCGTCGAAATACGTCTTCCTTCACGTGGTCGCCCCATAATAGTCGTCTAGTACTGGATAGCTCGCGCTCCAACGTCGCAGTGCCAGCGCTCATGTTATCTTTATTTCCTAACGCAACGCTCGAACTACTAGTTTCGTTATCGTTCGAACCGTTCAGCATTGGCTCGTAGACTACGCCACCTACAATGACATTATAAAGATAAATAAATATGGACAAAAGCAGTCGTACTAGCTTGCTTTAAAATTAATTAATTCAAGCGAATTTACAATTACAAAAAGAACATAACCACGTAGTTATTAGTTAAATACTTACTAAAAATGCGAAGGTCATAGTAACTCTCAACATTTGTTAATTATTTATTTCCTTAAAAAAATGTCACTACCATTTGAATCACTTGCAATGGCATTATAAATCATCCACAAATCTTTATTTTAAAACTTTTCGTGTAGAAAAAAGAAAAGAAAAGCTTACGACATAAAGGCTGCCATTTTTTAAGAAAAATAGCAACATTCGGTTTCATGTCAGTCCGTTCCTGTTTACTCTTCGTGTTCTAAATTGCTAATATTTACTTAGTAAAAATATTTAATATAACAAAAATGTAAAAGAAAAATCATTTTATTGTTTTTAAATGATTTGATTCGCTATTTACTTATTTTTTTAATTTTATGTAGTAACTATTTAATTTATAAGTACAGATTACAAATTATAGAATATAGATAAGTTTTAATCTATATACATTAAAATTTTAATGTTGCCACTACAATATTTTCCTTAATGCAAGTTAAATATGGGGAAGATTTCTCGAAACGAGGGCGCCACACGTAGCGCCTATATAGATTCAGTCTGATAACTGGTTAGGTTGAGCAATTTTGCACCTGATTTTTGCTTCTATTGTGTTCGCACCTTACCTGTGCAATTTTTTGATGACACGTTCGGCTTAGTTTGTAGTGACCCTACTTGCTGTGCCAGCGGTCACGGGTTCGAGTCCCGCTGGGGGCATTTATATGTGTGATGAGCACGAATGTTTGTACTCCAGTCATGGGTGCTTATATTTATAATATGTATTTATTTAAAGTTATAGATGTATAGTGTATCAACTATCTGGTATCCATAACACAAGCCTCGTAGCTTACCATGGAACTAGATAGTGCTGTGTGTTATTAAAGTCCCAACATATAATTATAATATAATTAATAATTGTACCTGGAAGCAAGACCAGCTTAAGGAAGAACTCAGGAGAAGAGGTGCAACCTGTGGTAGTCCTTACTGACTGATAGATCAATACACAGCCTAAACCACTGATCGTAGAAACGTGAAATTTGGAGGACGTGTTTCTTATATGATATAGGCATCTAAAAAGAAAGCTTTTTTAAATTAATCCCCTGAGTGGGTAAAATAGGGTATTAAAGATTTAAGATAAAAAAATAAGAAATATATTTATTTGACTTTTTTCGTAATTCATCCCCTATATGGATAATACAGGGTAATAAAGTTTATATGGGCCGAAAATTATTTATGATCAGATTTACTTGAAACTTGGTGTTAATACTTTTCAATACAATTAAATAAATACGTGTTTTAGCATTTTACGAAATTGAATCTCAAAAGGGGGTAAAATGGGGGATGAAATTTTGCATGAAACTCTGTAATTAATATGTAAAAAAGTACAAAAAATGAAAACAATATATTCATCTGTAGACAGTTTAATAGTTTTCATATTACTTTCTTTAAAATGATGTTCACATAGACTTAATAATGAAGATTGTGATTTCACCAATTTTGTTCGTCTTATTGCTTTAGCCCACAATTTCTTCAGTTTTTGTCCTTTGGGAACAAATTTTGTTCATTTTCTTTGTATTCATGGCACTGCACAATTTATCATTATCGTTAAATTTTAAATAAAATGAAAAAACAAAAACCATCCACGCTATGGAGTTTTACATATATATAGGTCATAATGGGAGGGAGAAGAAGGCAAAATTCTTCCCCATTGAATATGGTCCAATTTGCTTTATTCATTAATTTTTTTCGTTAAAAAAATTACAAGGAATATCTAAATACAAAATAATAAATTAATTTATTTTAATAATAAAACTTATTTATATTTTATTTGCCTAATATTTAAAGTTGTTAAATAAAATAATACACATTTTAATTCTATATACGAATTGTAATGGAGCTAATAATTTATACAGATTTTGTACCTACTAACATTATATTTTATACTAGCGGCTCACCCTCACTGCGCTCGGATTCGTCGCTAGGTACGTTTTAAATAGATATAATTAGTTATTAGCCTGCTTTAGCCATATACATTTGAATTTTGTATTCGTTAATTTTTCATTTTTTCTCTTTATTAAAACCTTCCGTGGACCTTAAGGAACATACGAAAAAAAAATTGCCGAATTGATCCAGCCATTCTTGAGTTATGCGCTTACCAACATTCATTTTTATTTATATAGAATAGATTAAAAGTACATTTTTTAATTTTTATTAATACTGGTAACTCTGTTATTATCAATTTGAGTACTCATTTTACCTACTCCGTAAAATGTAAATTGAAATGCCAGTTTATTTTAAGTAATCATGGACGTTGGACGGTGATGTCCATTTTAAGTTTTTATTTTCGTGACATACCTACCTTGAGTTCTTTTTATATTTATCTTAATTTAATTAGCATTTTCAATTTAAAGTGTAAAAATGATTTTAATATCTTGTAATGTTAATTGAATGTTTATGATTTAGTTTTGTGTGTTCTGTTGATTATTTCAACATAATGAAGGTGGATCTTAACGTTTGGAGGCGACGCGCTGCGCTAAATTTTACAGGTTTGTTTGTAAATTGTTGTTCAATAGTATGCTGTTTCCTACATATTTTCATAAGTGATCTAAAACCATTTGATAAAATTTAGTTCATACGTTTTTATTGGAGCAAAGTTGTGAAAGGAACGTACAAACAAGTACGGGGAAATCAGAATTGCACATATTATAACGTTACTATTTACGTAGGATTGTTGGGTGTCAAATTGCAAATTATTATTTCATTGTAATTGATTTTTTGGACAAAGATTTCTTATTTATATTTTGCACTTTGAGACTACTTATGTCTAACAATATAATGCATGCCAACAATGAAAATATCTTATGTACTTATTTATTGCTAACTTTATAGCCAGTTTGGCACACATAGAAATAAAAGTGAATAGTAGTACAATATATAATAAGCTGTGTTTACAGACATCTTAATTAAATCATTTTCTAGCTCTTGAATTATTATAATAAGGTGTGACTTGACAGTAAAATACACAAACACTTGTGTATTTTGTGTTGGATCATACACCTCTACAGACCTATTTACACTTATGAACCTATTTTCCTATTTTGAATGTTCCTATTGCCTATTAAAATATAGTTTTCATAGAATGATTATTAACTCAGCATGACTTGGTCTAAAAGAATAAAATCAATCTAAAAGAATCTGTTTTATATTTACATAATAGACCATAGCTAAGTTTTAATTCAATTGTAATATTAATATTGTATTTTAGATAGTTAAGTAATTATAGTAGTTTTTGGTAGGTAGTAAAAAATATTACTTGACTCTCATTATTATGTCAAAATTGAAAATATTATAATTTATTGCTACACACTAAATCCAGCCTCACACTCTGGTTCATAAAACAGCATGTATAAATCATATATGGTTCCTTCATAGCTGCGTAAAAGAAAAACAAACCAAGCATTGCATTTGCCTTAAAAATTAGCTAAAGCCAGACTTAATAAAATCTTTATTTACTTTGTTATTGCACATCTTATCAAACATATACATAGTACTCACAAAACATATAATAGAGCACAGTAAAGGTGACCATCTTTTTTATGGGAGTACAAGGAAATCTGTAGTGTCTATACTCTCCCAATTAAACTTAAATTTTGCTACTACTTGAAAAAATAAAAGATATCTGTTGAAATCCGTCCGGCTATTCCATAGTGATGTAAGTTTAAACAGATAACAACAAAATTTGTAATACAGTTAGTTCTTTCTGTTAACCCTATTAGGCATATCACAAATACATACACATTACATATAATATTATATAGCTATTAAGTTAGATTTTTTTAAATCAAATAAACTTGCTACTTGAAGGATATGGCTATTCTGGTACGTTACTAAAGTAGTGTCTACTCTTGTCTCCTAAAACAGATTGTAGGACTTCTCTGCGGATTAATGATTTACTAAAACAAAAAATAAATAATTATAATTTAGAAATAGAAGCTATATTTTTTATTGTCAAGGGCTTTGAATGATATGTAGGTAGCACAGTATCGCGAAAGTTAAAAAAGCATGTGACGAAAAGTGAAATTCTAAGTTCGGGTGTCGGAGACGAAAGTCATAGTGGCATTGTCTACCTGTTGAACAGTTACTTCGGTATTAAGAGCGCTCGTTATTCGCCATTGGAAAGCGAGCTGTTTTGTGTGTTAAATACTTTCATTGCGTATATGTTTATAATCTGATATTTGCCATGAAATTGAGCATAATAAAAGAATTCGTTCCATCTTTTAGGTTCTCGCAATAAAATAATTTTGTAAAATAACAGAAGGAGAGTTTGTCAAAAATTAAGTAAAGCAACTCAATTTGGCTTAGGATTGGTTGGTTTGGATTGTTTGAAAATAATCTATGTTTATTTACATAATGACTAATACCTTAACTATTCATATATAATTACAATTGTACCTGATAAAGAGATAAAACAGACCTGCGTAAGTAAAGGCATGAATATTACATGGGGTGAACGAAATATTTAGGGGTCACGCACATGCAGCACGAACAGTTATATTATTTACAGGTGTTGTTTTCTGTTAGGTTGAATATTAAGTTGAATGTGCATGTAAGTATAAACGGGCAGGTGTCCGCGCAGAGCCGGTGCACCCGCGCCCGCCGAGTGCCGAGCTCGGTGACGCGCGACGCCTCGACCTTCGACGATTCACTCCCTTTTACCAGACATTTCTAAGTTTTCTACAACGACCTTTGACCGTAAACTGTAATCTTTTATTATCAATACAATATAAAATAAAATTGTAACTAAGTCGAATCTGTACAGTAAGTAAATATTTTTTGGAAAATCTTATAAATTGAAATAGTTACTATTATCAATACAAAGGCCGAATCTATAGTTTTTAGATTTTTTGTCTGTTAGTCCGTCTGTCACCGCGTCACGGAAAAGCCACTGCACAGATTTTGATGAAATTTGGTATGATTGTAGCTGGTTATCCGGGTCAACATATAAAATACTTTTTACCGCGGGAAAATATCTCATCTATGAGAAATCTATAGTAATCGTTAAAAAGTATCTAGGGACGAACTCGAGTGGAGCAAGGGTGAGTCGCTATAATATAATCAATATTGTATTATATATATAATAATCGCTATAGTATAATGTTGTAGGTATCTATAAGCTAACATGTTGAGCGATTCTTCAGGTACTGACTGATTTATTCATTGATTAAGAATTTAGTTACCTTTCTAGATCAATATAGATCCTGTAGTGAATAAAACCAAATAAATATAAAGAAAAGTTAGGATATATCAGTTCATTTCCTAACAAACATCTTCTCGCTAAGTTTCATAGAAAAACAAGTAATATTGCAATATTCAATTTTCATATAATGTTACCGATAACTAAAATGCATGGAAAATCTAAAAAAAATTATCATCACGCATATCGGTTTGGTAATGACACGCCTCGTTACTGGACAATGGGTGGGGTTCCCGCGATACTGTACGTAATACGTTTCTACATAAATATTGTTAACGGATAGCCAACATTCATTTTATATAACGCCATTGTCTCATTTCACCAGGGTAATAAAATATAGATGATTCGTCCGTGTGTCATTTAAATACTTATCGTTTTTGGATGAAACTATTATCTAACTTAATTTACATTTGTACGTTTACTTCCGCTCACATTAACATACTACAAATAATACAATATTGTAACAAGATGAGCAATCACTATATTCTAGACTTGTTTATTAGTGTTCCGTACCCGAAAAGTGTCGACCCTGTTACTTACGGGTGGAACCCTATTACTTAGCCTCCGTTCAACAACAAGCGCGTTGAAATTTTCACAGACTGTGTATTTCTATTGCCATAACAACAAATAATAAAAAACCATTATAGTGAATTTTAAAAAAGCTGCTATGCAAATTAAAAAAAATCGATTATGGTACGGAAACCTTCGTGTGCGAGTCCGACTCCCACTTGACCGATTTTTATATGATTTGTGCCAAATTGCAGTGCTGATTAGATACCTACTTAATTAACTCTAGTCCTTATTTATATTGTTAGCTTAGGAATCAAAGTGCTTTGTGTAAACTGCATTTTTACGGGTAAAAATAAGATTTAAAATTTTCTCCGATATACCTTTTATATTACGAGTATTATTTCCCAGCAATTGTATAATTTATAGCAAGAAGAATTGATTAATGTTTAGAAATTATTTTTTCAGAAAAAAGAATATAATTTTAACAGAACTTTTTGTGTATTTCGTGGATTTGATTTTTACGCTTCGGTTGCTTAGGTAGGGAGATTAGCTTTGGTAATTAAAAATTTAAAAATAAAACAGAAAGTATAAATGGCTGAAATTATATTTTATGCAGAATAGCAATATTATTATTAAAATATTTTTACTATCTTTATTAATATTATAAATGCGAAAGTGTGTGTACGTAATGTGTTAATTTCTCTTTCTTTCAAACAGTTACGGGCCTTTTGCATCGTTATCTACACTAATATTATAAAGATGTAAAGTTTGTGAGTTTGTTTGTAGGAAGTAATCTCTGGAATCACTGAAACGATTTAGACAAAATTGACTATGAAGACACTTTGAGATCCTGGGAAGGACGTAGGATAGGTTTTATCCCGGAAATCATTTCTTAAAGAGGTGATAAGAAAGATGAAAGTTTGTATGGGGAATTAATCATTTCTCAAGAGAGTTATGAAACTGAATCACACCTACGTATATATACATATGAATGTATTATAATATATATATATATACCCATTCCATACTGACACATATTCCATACTAACCGTTAAAACGTACCTAGGGACGAACCCAAGCGAAGTGAGGGTGAATGGCTGGTAAAATATAACTGGAAGGTGACAAAGGCTAGAAAACAAAGTGATAAGGTTCCCATGAGCCACTCTGGTTTTGTTACTCATTAATAACTACATAATTCAAGTTTTTTTTTAAGTGACAGTTTGTGAGCGACATTTGGCATACTTTAAATGTTCCAAATAATCTCGAGAAGTGCCTTTATATGTTTTCCTCATTAACTTTCAAAATGACTGATTAATGACCTTTTTAAGATATAATACCCACTTGAAATCTAATTAGGGGAAGCTTTTAAGACTACTTTTCTCACAAACTAAAAAATCTCTACCTGACTAACTGAAAAATACAATTCTTCAAATATGTATGTTTTTAGTTTATTATTCTTATGATATTATTTATTATCTTTGGCTTCACCAACATAAAAGTTGCTGTAGTAAAAGAGGCATCATCAATCATCAATTTCTATATTGTGAAAAAGTAATTAAATAGTATCTATTTGTCGGCTAAAAGTAAATTTAAAATCTATATATATAAAAGAAAGTCGTGTTAGTTACACTATTTATAACTCAAGAACTGCTGAACCGATTTGGCTGAAAATTAGTGGGGAGGTAGTTTAGAACCAGGAGACGGATATAGGATACTTTTTATCCCGTTCGATTGCGTGTCCGTTGTGACGTGACATAAAACTCAAGAACGGCTAGATATTTG